CTCACGCGACAGCCCTGGGAGACTGGCTGATGCCCGGTCCCGTCTCATGTACAATGACCTTTATTCCTTGCTGTGCAAGAAGGAGTGCAGTAAAGAGCCCAACAGGGCCTGCGCCTATAACGGCGACCGGATTTGACTTGGCATCCTGTGGTCACAACAGAGTGAGGGCTGATATTTGCGAGGAATAGCCTGACTTGAGCTGGGAGAATAAGACATACCATGATTTGCGTACGATCTGGTGTTCGACAGAGCACAATCTCATCCGAGTATACAGCTGGATGAAGGTCTACGGGTACATACAGACAACGTCATTTATAGCCCCGGAGTGGATACTTTCACCAAGGCTGGTACATGATCCGCAATTGGCATCGGATTGGCCAAAGGGGCCTCATTACGGCTGCTGGCAAGGTCCAAAGTGCCGAGACTCCCACATTTCCCTGTCCCTGAGACTCCACCACGGCCTTTCCCGGACTCCGTGGTTTGCCGGCTCAGTAAGGCTATACCATACTGGGAAGACCCAGAGGACCATTAGACATCTGTGGGGGTATTCTAAGGTATATATATGATGTGAAATATACAGTGCTTCTGCTAAATGAACCACTAAATACATTCAACAAGATGCCAAATAACACGCTATAGCCAATGCCTTTTTCATGCGGAGAGGTCTTCAAAGCCCATGTGACTGGAGCCTGCTCGCCAAGACTGCGGAGATGCCGACCGAAGGTTCAGCTTCACTTTCTCGAACCCAATCTTCACTACAATAAAGCCAATCCGTTGATAATCGCTCTATTACCATTAAAGAATATCCAAATATCTATGGACGAGACTGTCGCCGATCCCCAACATCGGGCGCAAGAGAGTCCAAGCCGTACTAGTCCCCGCCCGACGGTCAAGGGCCATCGTGCCTGTTTCCAATGTAGACGGTATGTGGTCCATGAATAGCGTGCTCGAATGACTTATTCTCCTCCTCCATCCACAGAAAGAAGACAAAATGTGAGTCTCCATGTACAGCATACAGCCCATCACCTACGAGCAACCGTTCTGACCCACTCCACTCCATCATCAGGCGATATGAGACAGCCAACTTGCGGACTGTGCCAAAGAACGGGCGGGTCCTGCAGCTTTCCCACCAAGAGAAACACGCCGAAAACACGCCGACCAGCCGCCAGCATTGGCAATGACGGCAGGATTGATTCACGGAAGCTTGGTAAAGATGCCGTCTCCTGAAATGTGTGTAGATCTCCAAAACTCATTCTCCTTCAAGAACGCATTGTGGACCTTCTCGAGTTACGGCCCAAGAATGGAGACGCCGTGGATATCCTGGCAGGACACTTGTCTGGGGTACACCCTTTGGCTGCTCGTTCCAGTGGCACTGGATCTCGTACCTTATTGACCTTGAGGGATGATACGGGTCCATATCAACCGACCAGCGATGACGTGGCCGACAAGCCTAGGTCCACCACAGAGACACCGACATGTGCCTTAGATGGAAGCTACCCCTGCGGCTCGGTCTCTTCCAGCTTCTCCGTACGATCAATGAAGGAGTGTGACGCGGGGTGTGGGTGGTGGCTGATCGTGCCGGAGTCAGTCCTTTCCGAGCTCATCAATTTGTTTTTTGACAAGGTCCAAGGGTGGCTTCCACTTTTCCACCGTCCTCGATTCTGCAAAACCTATCTCAGGAATGGTATCTTCGACAAAGGCATTTCCTCGCGCATCACCACGATCGACTCACTCCTGCTTTGTGGCATGTTTGCCCTGGCCGCCCGGCACTCCACCAACCCATGGTTCCGAGATATCGCAGCACAGGACCGGGGCCAGCGATTCGCCGATGACGCGTTGAAGTACTACGAAATGTCTGGCGTGTCCGAACAGACGTCAGCACTGCAGTACCTCCAAGGCTGTATCTTGCTGACATTCTACCTGTACACTGCTGGGCCGTCCCATCGTGCCTGGGTCCTTGCTGGCGTCTGCGTCCGTCTAGCCTACGAGATGAACCTGTGTAGCATGGACGAGCAGGAAGAGGACCACTCTGTGGATCCAAGCGACTGGTCGTACGCAGAGGAACGGCGCCGGGCATTCTGGCTAGTCTGGGAAGTGGATACATTTGGGTCTGTCATGTCCAGACGCCCGAGCTCGGTGAATCGCTCAATGATGGCCGTCCGACTCCCCGTTGCGGACGCGGCGTGGTTCGCCGACACCCCAGTCCAGTCCCCCGTCATTGATCCAAGGCCGTCTAAGGCTTGGGGCATCCTACAGGAGTCGCCGAACGAACACGAGTGGGCATGGTACATTGTCGCGCATTTTCTCATGACCATAGCCAGTGAATATGCGGCCAGTCGACACACAACTAGGCACGATGAGGACGAGCTTGCTGAGAGCATGGCATGCTTTTCGCTTTTAATTGCGCAGCGCTTCAGCCTCGAGAGTCTTGGATTTTCGCAGCCCATTGATGCCGCGAAGCACAACTGGGTGATTGGAATGCATCTCATGCTGGTGTGTGGCCGCTCGACCATCCGGGCTAGTTTCGCGGGGCAGTTCCTGGGCTTGTCGCGGCACCCGGCTCGAGTTTGTTTGCAATGGCAGCCCGAGCACATTCTTTTGAGCCATCCGTTTCTCGCATGCTGCCTCCTCTCGGATCTGGCCTACCCCTCCGAAGATGCCTTGAAGGAGCCGGACACGCTCGCTCACAATAACGAGGTCGTGAAGCTGGTCTTGCTGCAGTATGCCTCAGTCTGGAAGCTAGGCTCCGTCGTAGCAGGTAAGCCTTATTGGCGTTATGATTGTAACGGTTGTCCTGGTATTGACTGAACCCACACAGACCTAAGGGCGTCTTTGACCCGCGGCGACACCCCCTTGGTAGCCGCTCCGATCAAAAAGCGCTTCGCCCTGTACTTTCCATCGCGCGTCAAAAGTAGGCGTTGCCAAAATTCCAGAGTCTGCCAGCCCGGCCTGCTACCAGAGACTACCAGGTTGGGTATGAGAGAAGATATTACAAACACCGAAGAAACCACTTTCGACCGTCTTCTAGCTCCACAGGAATATCCGCACCAGCTACCACAATTCACCGAGCAAACTCGGTCTATAGAGCCAGGGATGACGGACCTTGCCAGCCCGCCTGCGGGAGATGTCTCCAACTTCCTCCACTTTTACGGTCTAAATGAGTGGGCGTTGCGCAGTTCGGCGGATTAGGAACCGTCTAAGAAAAGCTCGGGAGGAGGACACTGCTGGCCGTCATGACGGACTATGCCACGTAGGGTTTGATGCGTCTTGGGAAACAGTATCTGAAGAGTATCCGTTGGTTCTCTCGTGTAGACCATATGGATTCCATACCAAATACGGGCCTTTCGATTTGGTGAGTGACAGCAGACGTGGTAGTAGCCGGCCCTCGTCTATTTCTGATGGTGGGTTCCCATCTGATGGTGTTGGGAGCCCACGAATATGCGGCGAAACCACCTGAAACATGCTTAGACCCCTTGCCGTCAGCCTGACACTGATTGTATTTTGAGATGCCCACGAAACTTTGCTGTTGTCTCCTGTTTGTGTAATACTATGAAGAAAAGATCACCTGGCAGCAATGTCGCCCAACAGATGCATAGGTAGCGCCCACCAGCTATTACCAAGTAGCGAAGGTCGAGACAAGCCTCTTCGATCGATGTGGTGTTACAAATAAACCGTATCTCAATGGCAGGGACTTCGGTCCAAGCGGAGAAGGGCTTTCTCTCAACCCAGGTACAGTACGGTTAAGGTTAGACACCACCTTCGTGATGCTCAGCTGTTCCTTTGTCAACGCGTTCTCTGAATGAGCTTTCAATGGCAGGCGACATGCTTCCAAGGGTTTGCGACTCGACTGATGCGGCAGTGACAGGGGCATCAATGCGGGTATCGAACTGGGCTCTCTGCTCCACTATAAAATAGCACGCTGTGCGTGGTAAGCAGCTATTCTGACACGCCCTGGAGATTGCGATCAGGAACCCACATATCACCATTAGACCGCAGAAAGCCGCCGAGACAATCCAAGCATTTCGAAAGGCGCTCAAGTATGCCCTTTTCATCGCTGCGACTGCCGCCTGGGCGATTTCTGGGGTACCGCCAGGCACCTCCGCCGCCGCGTCCTTGCGTTGCGAAGACACAGCGTCAAGCAGTGCGGGCAAGGATGAGGAAGGCAGTCCGAGCGGGAGCACCGCCGCACTGACTTTCCTTTGGAGTTCGTCATTCAGGCTGCTGTTGATGACTGCATTGTTGATGGCCAGGCCGATTGCGCCTCCCAAGCTTCGGACCGTGGTCATCAACGCTGATGCCAGCGTGACCAGCTCCGGGGATACTGCAAACTGCGCCGAGACCATCGTCAGCGGCACAATGGAGGCCAGGGCGATGCCTGGTAGAATGGGAAGGATCCAGAATACATATCGGGGTGTGTCAATCTTGACTGTCGCCAGGAGAATGAAGAATAGTAGAAGAAAGATCCCGCCGAGGACGAGCGGCGGCCGGAGTGACTTGCGCTTCGAGGACCAGAACCCAAACACTGGGGAGCCGACGAGGCCCGTGAAGAACATGATGGCAAAGTTCGTAGCCGCGGAAAGAATATCCTCGTCGTATACCACCGTGATTTCATAGGAGAAGTAGGAGTTTGCTGCGAAGAATGAGAGGCCCTCGACGAGAATCACGACCAGGGAGACGGGGAAGTTTCGATTCCGCCAAAGGCCATGGTGAAGCATACCGTCCTTCGTAAATCGACACTCGTAAATGATAAACAGGACCATGGCGACGACGCCGATGATGAACGGACCGAGGATGTTCGCACTGCTCCAGGAATACGGGTTGTCGGACCACGCCAGAGTCATCGAGAAGAGCGCAAGAGCCGGGGGGAAAAGAACGTATCCCACCCAGTCCAGGCGTCTGAGCTTCTCAGTCGTGCTAAGAGAGACCTGTACTTCTCGCGGCGACGGGCTGTACCCTACAACACAACCCACCGCTGCGAGCGCGTACATACCAGCCTCAATATACCAGAAGACACGATACCTGGAGAGATTCCCATCGCGAAGCAACCCCCCACCAAGCAGCAGGCCCATGACCCCGCCCAAGCTGGACGCGACGCCGGCAGATGCCTGAGCGACCGGCCGATGGATCCTAGGCAGGACCTCCGACAACACAGCCAAGGCGACGGACTGGCACGCGAAGCCGAGGCCGACAATCGCGAAGCCTGCGATGATCACGCCGGAGCTCTGGGCCCGGGATACGATGAGTGAGCCGACTACGCCGGCGAGTGCGAATGCGACGAGGACGGGCTTCCGGCCCCAGTAGTCGGCGGCTTGGCTGATGGGCGGGTTCAGGGCGACGGTCATGATGGTGATGCACGACGAGTACCACACGGTCTTGTCGGTCCCGCCGACTGCCTGCGCCATTGACTGGGCCATGAAGCCCGTGGCGGTGACGGAGCTGAGCTGCGCGAGGTAGATGAGGTTGACGACCTGGACGGGGGACATGGTAAGTACCGTAGGGCGTTAACATGAGGAGGATCAGAGCGGGTGCTCATGGCAGACTAACCATAAGGCAAACGATTGTCTTTTGTTCGACGCGGCTTCTATGCGCCCCAGGTGTCATGAGAGCATCGCGATGAGTCGGAGACATGATGGATGGATCAAGGTGAGTATATGCTGTCAAATATTGCCCTTGGAGGGGTTAAAGGTTGAACAGACTTTCTCTGTCATTTATAATTCCGCAGAGCAGCAGGGCAAGTGCGAATTCAAGGGTACAGGTCAGAGCGGAAATAGAAGAAACACAAGTTGCCGGCATGGTCATGGATGTTCGAGCCGTCCACTGAAAACAACAGGACCACGGATGCCCCTCACTCGGGGATGGCAATTGCAGCATTGGCCAAGAGTAGGTCGGCATTTGGATTTCTTTTTGTGTTGAAATGGACGGTAAAGTATTGCTCTGTGGGTTTTGACCACGGACCAAACGGTGACCGGGGTGACCGGGGTGACCGGGGTGACCGGGGTGACCGGGTTGACCGGGTTGTTAGTGCCCTTGAGAGGAGGTAGTGGATCTAAATAAAAGCAACTAAGCATCCGCTTTACTTGGCCTATTACACTGTAAAATCTATGGTGCATCTCGTGCCGCTTACAACAAAGCCCAACACTGATAACCATATCAAGATATTAACCCTTGTTCTAGCAGCAATGGCACCCAGCCATGAAATTTTTTATAGTTCTCGGCCTGATAAAATATATAATATAATAAAGGCTATAATAAAAATAAACTATGTTTAATTTAACTATTAAAAATATTTTTAATAATATAAAAATTATAAGAATTAAATATAAAAAGCTTACTAACTAAATTAAAAAGACAAGTGCGCAGTAAGGCATAGAAAAAATAAATAAAAAGCTAATATATTAATATATTAATAGTTAAAATAAAATAACTATATATTATAAATAACTACTAAAAGTATTAAAAAGCGTAAAAATAAAAAATTAATTATTGAAAGCTTAAAGTTTTATTATAAAAGCTAAGCGCAAAGTAAAATGAAATATATAAGCTAAATAATATTAATATATAGTTAATATTATTAAAATAAATAATATAATACTTAAAAAGCATAAAAAAGGTAAATATAGGGTATTTTAACTTTAAAAATATAATTAAATAATTAAAAAGTAATAAAAATATGATAAAAATATGATAAAAATATGATAAAAATACAATAAATATATATATATATACTTAGAGGGGGTATCTTGTTTTATAATTTTAAAAAAACTTAAAAAAAGATTATAAGGGTATTTTAATATTAAAATTAAAATATTATACCTAGCTATTATAGGTAGCAACACTATATTTAGATTTAATAATACAATAAGATAATTAAATTAAGTTTCTATCCTTAACTTTAAATATAAATTATATTTAAATTACAGTATTTATATACATAAAAATAGCTTATTTTATAATACTTTACAAGATTTATAATTTAAATTACTTTTTATAAAGTAAAAATATAAATTTATAAATTATAAGGGTATGATTACTTAAAAAAATTATTATTATTACTATTATAATAATATAATTCCGCCTAATAAAAAATTTAAATTTTAATTTAGCCACGCGCCAAGGCGGCGGTTAGTTATATAATATATAAAATATTAAGTTTAACTTTAAACTTTAACTTAAAAAATTAATAATGAATTTTTACTATAAATACATAATCCTTTTTTATTATAGTAATTTATATTTTGCTAAGCTTAGCGCAGTATACAAACGCGCCTTATAGTTAGTATAATAGAAATAGGATATATGGTTAAGTTTAGGGATGCTTAATTTATTAAAAAGGCCTAAAGTAACACCGGCTGGCTAGAAAAGCTAGGTAATAAAACTAAGCTAGTAAAACCCTAATTTTACCAAGTACTAACAGAAGACTTTGCCCTGGATAAAAAAAAAGAAAGGAATAAAGGAAATTATAAAAAAGAATGATTTAGCTAAAAAGGGCTTTCAAATTAAGAATATTACATGGCTTAAAAAAGACAGGCCTTTAGGAAGGTCTGCATCCATGGGTATTTAATTAAATATATTAAAAGTAGCAGAATTAATTATTAATAATAGCCTTTTAGTAGGCTAAAAATATATTAAAAGCGTGAAACCTTATAAAATTAAACTAAAGTAATGCCACTGCTGCTAAAGATTTAGCTATCTTACTTAGTTATATAAAGAATAGGTAAAGTATAGCTACTATACTAGCTAGCATAATTAATATTACTATTTACCAGGGGTAAGACCCTTGTACTTTGAATTATAATAAAAACACTTTACTAAAAATTAAAAATATCAAATACCTCTAAACCCAAGCTTTTTTAATAATATTATTAAACCTTCGCTTACTATAGTTAAATATATAAAAATTTAGGGCAGGGATGGAAGCCCTTATTAATAAACTATTAAAGCTAAAACCTTAACATACTATTAATATAAAAACCATTAATTACTACCTATTACACACATGTTAATTACAGCGCATGGTAACTTTACCAACTGTTATACTTAAATTAAAATAAATCTATTTAATTCCGCAGCCTTTTTTATACAAATAAAAGAATCTTAACCTTATCATACCGCTAAATTTAATATAATTATTTAAATATAGTAGCTACTAAGCTTTAAACCCCGGAGTTATAATATTTAATATTTTTAATTTATATCCTATTATTAAACATATATTAGGCAGCCTACACCACCTTTGCTAAACCTATACTAAATAAAATCTAAAACTATATCTAATAATACTTTTAAGTAATAAACAAAACTATAAAGTTTATCTTAACTAGCAACTTTAATTAACACTATCTAGTATAAAGCCATTACCTAGTAAACACTATGTTAAAATTATTTTAATAAAAGGTTTATTAAGGGCTTTATAATATACCTTTATAAATTTTTTATTATATAAAATTAAAAAAAAAACAAGTGGTTAGAGTGCTTTTATTTATTATAATAGAATTTTTAATATTTAATAGGGTTAGTAAAATAGCCTTATTATAAAAAAGCTTACTAAGGCGCTTAATTTATAAAATAATAAGGAAATTATAATATATTTTAATAATACTAGTGCTATTATTAATATTATTAATTAAAAGTTTTAGTTATTACATGCTAGTTAGCTAATAAATACTTTATTTATAAAATATTTATAAGTAATACCTTATAAAGTTTTACTATATATTAAAAAAACCTTATAAATAAAATAATTAAATTATTAAAAGTAATTAAATTTAATATAGTTTAAAATTTAACAAGCCTTAAAAAAGCTCTTTAATTAATAAATTAAAAGTATAAAAGTTTTTATTATTTTTATTTTTAATAATACTTTTTATACAAAATATATATATAGCTTTATAATATAGCCATGTATTACTTAGCTAAAAAAATGTATTAAATATTTAAAAGGCCAGTGCTTAAAATATAATTATTTTAATTAAAACTAGCGCAGCATGTAATAATTAAAGTTTTTTTAATAACTTGCTGCTTGCTATACATAGATAATCCAGAGGTTTACTATGAGCAACGCTATTAGCTAGTCATCAGGTTCTTTCAGTAGGGGTCGGGAGAAATAACATTGTTGCTAGTGTTGTTGTATGTGCTTTATGTACGTTAGTAGGAGAAGGTTGAGAATCCATTAATTATTCCCCGCTAAATAGTCGGTTATCCTTGCTAGCCCTATGCCCCAGGCATTACCGTAACTTCAGACCGTAGATGTCCGGTGTCGCAGCCACATCATTGTTATCCCGCATGCAGAACAACACCGACAGGTACAATTAAACCCATTCCAACATAGATAGCACTGCATGAACATTGCAATACACAAAGCTAGAGCCAAAGAGAAGGCAAAATCGGCATTGCGTGATTTCCTACAACCCCCCAAAGGAGGAAAACACTAATGTCCTTCGGCACAAGCATCCGGCCCTCTCATGCGAGCGTCAGAGATAATAAACCAACACAGAATCTCCAAAGAACGCCTAGGGCAATCCTACCGCGCTATTCTACGCACCCCCGGCGCTATTCTACGCACCCCCGGCGCTGGGAGTCGCAGCCCCAGTCCCAGTCCCGCCTGCTGTCCCAGTGCCAACCCCCGGACTCGAAAGCGGCGACACTAACACCCCCGGCGACACCGGCGATGCCGGATGACTGAACCCAAACGAGCTGGTCCGACGATGCCTCTTCGGACGGGAGGCCGGGTCTTGAGCATGTGTATCTGCATCTGCAGTGGGTGTCATCGCCGTCGCCGTTGCCGTCGCCGGTGCCGTCTCCTTCCCTTCCAGCCCAGGATACATCAGCCTGACCGTCAGCGGCGCCCCGGTCTCCTCGTCCTTGATGGCGCCGGGCGGTGGCGGATGCAAGAGCGCGCCTACGACGATCTGCGTTGGGGACTTGGGGGCTTCGAACCAGAGGATCGTTGTGAGGAGGACGACGACCATGCCCATTATTAGGACCACGACGCCCAGGACCTTTGTGCGCGAGTCGATGCCGTATTTCCAGAGTTGGACTGTCGCCCAGGATGTTAGTGTTGCGGAGGTGTAGGGGTTTGCTTCTTCCTGAGCGCGCTGGGTGGAGCGGTTTGAAGGGGTGAGGAGGGTTGTGGTGTAGGGGATCAGCGAGACGGCTTGCATGAGGGCGTTCTGGTGGATTAGACGGAACTGTAGAGCTTGTTCTTCTGGCTGGAAGGTGAAGCGCTGGAATGCTTCGATGAAGCGGGATGCGGAGCCGCGAGTTCCGGGGACGATGCCGTCTCTTCGATTCGCGGACCAGGCGGCTAGTGTCCAGTCTGGATGGAGGGATATGGTCGCTGCGTTGTTGTCAACCGAGCCGGGCTCGTCGTGTAGTATGCCAAGTTGAACCAGTTGCAGGAGGTTTGTGACTGGGGAGGGACTCAGGGCGTACGCTGCGAAACTGAGGAATGCGGTGTTGTCGCACCAGATGGCGGAGTCGTTGGTATAGCCCGGCATGGTGTATTCGTAGGTTTGCTGGGAGGCGGAGATGTTGCGGTAAGTGGACTCCCCAGGGTCTGAAAAGAGGGCGTCCCAATCGCAGGATCCATTGGCAACACATGACGAGGAATCGGGGTGGAGGTAGCGTGCTGAGGCCGTGGTGTAGATTGAGACCCCTAGGTCGAGCCGGCTGCTGGTTGGGGCTTGGATTATAAAGGAGGCGGAGGATGACGATGGGTTGTCTTCCCAGCCAGAACCCCAGCGAATACACTTTGTAAAGTTTGTCTCTCCAAGGCCAGCGTAGCAACGTACCTGCCGGTTGTCGGAGACCTCTATGACACTGGGGGCCCGGTAGAACCAGCATGTCCCTGCAAGCCCGATTGTAGGGCCGACGCGCTGCAGTTGGACTTGGAGAGACTGGTTAAACCGATGGGAATCGGGATAGGTATCTCTGTCACCATACGGCACATTCGAACTCGTAGCAACATGATAGTTCACTAGGTCTTTTGAAAAGTCCCGTAGCAGCTGCCGACTTGCGACCCAGCGAAAGGGTTCGGACACATTCGCACTGAAGGACAGCTGTTGTTCCTGCGATACGGGGGGAAGGAGCACGCCTTCCCGACCCTGGAACTGTCGCTCGGTCGCGATGGCCGCTTCGACGAGCTCATCTAGGCTAGATGCGTACATGTTGGCCGTGCAGTTGTATAGTCCGTCAGCAAGTGAGCCTGGCTTGCATGCTGCAATCCGGTCGTCCGTTGGAGGCTCGGAGGCGAGGAGTTGGCCGAACGCGGTGGACTCGGCCTTGTTGATGTCTATCCACTGCAAGCCTGGTATGACAAGAGTGGCTGTGGCCACGCCCATAAGATTTGCGACAGCACACATGACCATGACCAAAGCAATGAAGGAATATAGGATCCACAGAGTTGGGACACGGCCCTTCGTAGCCGGAACGCTGGCATTTCGACCTGTCTCCACAGCGAGGTCTCGAGCTTTCATCGCCAGATCCTTCAGGTACAGCAAGTCCATAAACTCTGCGTATACCAGAAGGAGACTGACTGGAAGGCGGTTGTCCTTGGCAGAGAGATAGAGTGCAACGCGGTAGATGAGGCTGGCGGCCACATACATGAACCAAACCTCTAGCCCCTTCGCTACGAACTGGAGTGCGCCGAGGACATCACGGTTGGTCTTGTCAAGCCGCTCAATCTGCGACACTTGGCTGGTTGAGTTGGGGTTTATCTTACAGTGGCCGCCGCAGTTCAGCCCCGAGCCGACGATGTGCCCTTTGTAATTCAGGATTATGAGTGCCAAAGCTGGCGCAAGCCAGAGAAGCCCAACAATGTTGCGCGGGTGTAGCAATCTGACGAAACCGTGCTTCGACCCGTTGAGGAGATCGCGGCCGCGGGGATAGTGGGAGGGCGAGAGGTCGGTGGAGGACACGGGGACCGCCTGAGTCTCAGTTTCCTTCATTGTCAAGCTACTAGCTGTACTGTATCGCCAGAGTTTGCGGGAAAAGAAAAGCAATGACGAGAAGGGTGCGGATCAAGTTCAGGCTGCGTGGAACGAGGAGGCTCTATAGCATCACATATGGTGGCCTTGGAAGACAGCTCCGAATTGCCGGCCGAAGAAGCTGGGTAGCCAGCCAGCCACTACCCTCTGCAGTGAAACTGTCAGTACCAGGACTGGCTAAGAAGTCCTGGAACACGGAGTACGGCTCACTGCTCCTTGCCGCGGAGAAAGAGATGGAGAGATGGACCTCCATTAGATCCTATTCGTCTGGGATACCAATGACAGTTTTTTGACCTTCTGCATCTGAATCAAGAGGTCGAGATTGGTTACACAAGTTCGTGAATCCCTCTCAGCCTTGCAGAACAAGACTGGGAACTTTTTGTCGATTGGCTGTATGCAACATCCCCTCCTCACAACAAGCAAACAAACATGAGTTCGTGGGCATTCGAACGATGCCAACTGTTCTGCACATCAGCACATCAGCGCACCTTTGGGTTGTCGGAATCGCCGGTCGTAAAGGAATCATGGTAACTAGTGCCGGCCGCACCCTATTGATCATTCTCTCCGGCTGTTTTGACCTTGCCTGGACTGGAAGGTGGAATCAACAATCCCTGGTGGGGACGGTTCATAGCGGTATAAAGAGCCTCAGACGGACAGAGGGGGGATAGGTTTGTTATAGGGACTTCAAAATACTTCCTGCCAAGTCAGTGAACACTCAGTTATAAACCCCAGCCACTGACCATGCACTTTCTTACCGTACCACCCATTCGGGCTCTCGCATTTCTTCCTCTCCTTGCCTACCCCGTCTTATCCCAGAACAACACCGCACGCCCACTCTCGGAAGCAGCCCCCGAGCACGGCGGTGGCCTCTGGGGCGAGGAGATCGGTAACTCGTTTCCTCCCAATACCCGCGGGGGAAACACGTTGTTCGTTCCCCCCGACAACACGTTCCCCCGTCGTGTTCGTGCGCGTCAGGCCGGAAACGAAACAGGGACAGGGCCAGGGCAACAGCAGCTCCTCTACCAGGTTTCAAACCAGCTGCTTACGCAGGCGACGCTGCGGGCTTTCACGGGAAGTGTGATCGAGACGCTTGATACTAATGCGGGCCTCGGTGGGGGTGGACAGGTTGTGCTTACGCGTGGGTTGCGTGACGCTGGTAACCGGACTGGGAATTCCTCGCTTGGGTGTGTCGATGAGGCTCAGCCGGTTCGTATCTATGGTGGGTTAGGGGAGAGTGTTGAGATCTTGGAAGCGGACATTCCGTTTGATGGTGGCATCTTCCATATCGTTAGTGGGTACGTACCTGAACCTCCAGCCTTGTCCATGTGGATGATATATGCTGATGCGTTGGTCGGATAGTCCATTCACCCGACCAGCGTCCCTGTCCTCCTCTCTTCAATCCACATCCGAAGCAAGCATCTTCAGCAAGCACATCAACCCCCGCCTCTCTGACCTGGATATCATGCCATCGATTACGCTCTTCGTCCCGGTCAACGACGTCCTCTCGTCCAGCAGCAGTCTGAACGCCGACGCAACTCTTTCCGATTCGGAGATAGCCGACCTGGTCAATGCCCATCTTATCTCCGGCGTGGCCGCCTACTCACCTCATCTGATAACGGGGGCAAAGTTCGAGACCGTAGACGGCGCAGAGATTGTTGTCAGAGCTGAAGCCTCGGGTGAGATTGTATTGAATGAAGAGGTTAGGGTTGTCCGGAGTGACATCATTGTCACCAACGGGGTTGTGCATTTGATTGACCGAGTGAGTCCCTCATCCACCCGGGTGTATTTCCATGCCGGTGATGCTAATGTTGTCGCGCTCTTTCTGTTAGCCGCTCTCTACCCCTGGCTCTGCAGATGGTAGCCAAACCAGCACTGGTACTGCCACCGCGGCCCCAACCGCGACTTCAACTGTCACTGGCGGTGATACTGTTTTCACCGGAGCAGCAGGCTGGTCAACGACTCGCTCCTCAAAAACCGCGGGATTTGCCTGGCGCATGGTATGTAGCTTGGCAACATTGCTGCTGTTGTAGGAGGCACAAATCCCATCTGGTCGACGAGAAGACACCACGAGTATAGGTAAATCAAAACCCCAGGCTTGGGCCGGTCAGATGGACGGTTGGGAGAAAAAAACTGGGGCCTATTTGGAGTGGACGCGAAATCGATGATTGAACGTCGTAATGTTTAATGTGGTTTCCTATTTCCTTCAGTGCGTGGCCGTCCATGGGGATGTATCCAGATTGCCTGTATTCTCATCCACCGGGACTCTTTTCCAAGCCAGATAAGAAGAAGACTTCGGCCATGGTCTCCGTGGGTTTGACTGGTCAGTGTTTAGTGGTACAGTAAGCCATGGCGTGCGGGGTTGACCAAATATGGCATCGCAGCCCATGATGGACTTCGCAGATATTCTTGTGGTTCATGCTCCTCGCAGCCGCCCATGGTCCTCCGAAAGCCGCTTCGATGCCACTCCAGACCACGGCCGCAATACTCATGGTCAGTATCTGGTTGATTTAGCCCCGCGGTTCCTGGCGGGCGTGATGCTCAGGCGGCATTCATCTCCTAACCATGGTGATGGATAAGGCGAGCTCCTGAAGAAACGGAGCATTCATGTCATTGAGAGATCAGTAGAAAGAGGACCGAAAGGAACCGCCCCCTGAAAGACTCAGAATATAAATTGGAGCTTGTAACCACGACAAAGGAGTAACTTACCTGTCTCTAACCTCGTGCTCTCGCGGTCCAGAACGTACTCTCGTTGAGGCTTCTAGCCTTCTCGCCCGGCTGTACAACAGAAACATGACGACAGGAAACGACTGTTTGTATCTAGTGAATTCTATCTAGAACTAGTCTATCAAACGGACTATATAGGAGGCGGGTTGAGATCCAAGCCCTCGACCTTGAGCGAGAACTCATTGCGCGAATAACTGCCCGCCAGATCGAGGTCCAGTCTACCGCGAAGACAGTCCTCGAAATCAACCTCGACAATTTGCAGAGCGCTGTCCGGATCGCTATTGTCGTTCACGTCCCAAATGGGACCAGCGAGAACCTCTCCGAGAGGACCGATGATACACGAGCCGCCTCCACTAGCCCATGCATCTGGATCTATACACTATCAATTTCAATCCGTGAACAGAAGCGTGATGCGTACCTGAGTTTACTTTGTCGCCCTCTGGTGCTTGAGTAGCCCACCCAGGGAGCTCTTTATAGCGACCGCATTGACTTGCAGACAAGACAACGGCCCTGCCTTCCAACGCAATCGTCCGCATCAGAGGCAGCCAAGTCTCGCGACTGTCAACCGTCGGAGCGAGGTAGAGATTGACGTTCTGGGAGTAAAGACTCTGGCGAAGCAGCGGCATGTAGTTCTCCCAGCAGATGGCAGCGGCCAGGGTCAACTTGACGCCATTTATCTCGGTTGTAACTGCCTTGAGCGTCGAAGGGGATCCTTGAGCCCAGACAAGGCGTTCCGAGCCGGTCCATTGCGTCTTAGCTTAACGTAGTACAAAGGGGTGGTAGACCTACTGGCATGACCTTTCGCCTCTTGCCCAGAACGCCCCTGGTGGGGTCGACGTACAATGCAGAACAATACAAACTGCCCCCTGCCCGCTCAATGACCCCGACAATCATCAAGATGCCGGTTTCGTTAGCGATTTTCTCCAAAGTCTCTCGGGTCCCGTCTCCACGGTACTGCTTTCCTTTGGCGACGGGTAATTTTTTGTCTACCCAGTCGTCTCCGGCGCCGGCTGGAGTGTCTCCCAGGTCGACAGCGCCATTGAAGTAGTGCAGAAACTGTTCGCGGCCGTGGGCTTCGCGGAAGCCAAAGCGAGTGCCGAAGGTGGCGGTGCGGGGATAACCTCCGAGGTAGGCCTCGGGGAAGAGGAGGATGTTGACGCCTCGACTGGCGGCCGTCAGAGCAGTGCGCTTCAGGGCGATGAGAGTGTTGGCGAGAGTCTGCCGCGAGTGCGACTGCGAGACGGCGACTTTGAGTTTGGTCATTGTGTTGTCTTTGACTCGTAGTCTCGTACCTTAGCAGAGTGTGGGTGCGAGGAACAAAGGATCGGAACTCCGCCCGCGTGGGATTTCTGATCTAGGCCCGATCTGGAAAGGGTCAAGGTTGTTCCGCTCCCGGCTCCCCTCCCTGTCTTTGTTTGTCTCAAATCGCTGCATTCTTTCTTCACTTAATGGCTTCAATACGGTGTACGCGAGAAGACAATGGTTTCTCATAGTCTGGACCTCAGGCCCCTGCATGGCAGAATGGCTACCGTGGCTTTCCTACCCAGCCGGATTTGTTGCTTTGTACCAACATTGCCCAGAGTGTGAGGGCTAGTATTTAGCGCCTCTCGTATATTCTGCTCTTGTGTTGAGTGTCACTAGGCGAAAACGGATCGATCCTGCGCTCCAATTAAGCCACTTCGATCTAGCAACATATCCACCGGCAGGATCGCGCACCCTGCGTCATTTTAAAACCGAGATTGAGTTCTCATATAAAGACCACCTGCTGGCAATGCTCTCGAGATAACGAAGCAATCTGCCTGTTTCTCCTCTCCAACTGAACCACCATGTCGTTCAGAGTTCTGATCGTCGGCGGCAGCATTACTGGGCTGTCGCTCGCCGCAATGCTCGAGCGCTACGGGATCGACTATATCCTCGTCGAGAAACACGCGGATGTCGCTCCTGAAATCGGGGCAAGTATCGGCCTTCTCGCTCACGGATCTCGAATACTCGACCAACTGGGCTGTCTTGAGGAACTACTCCCCTGGGGCTGTGGTGTTCAAGACTTCGTAACCACGGGACCGGACGGAAAGGCCCTGGTGAAACATGCACACCTGGGGACGTATCTAAACACCATGTATGACCAGCTGTCGCCGTTCCACTTCACATACTGACGCTCCTAGGCTCGGTTACACGATCTTTTTCGTCGAGCGCCAACGAGTCCTTCGCGCCCTGTGGAATGGCATCAAAGATAAATCCAAGATCCACCTTTCAACCGCGCTCTCGAAAATCGAGCATCTCGACGGAGGCGTACAAATCGAGACCCAAGATGGCCGAGTCTTCACCGGGAGCATCGTGGTTGGCGCTGACGGAGTGCATAGCGGGGTTCGGAATGAGATGTGGCGCCTGGCGGAAGCCGATGGCATTGATATTTCTGGTGATCGGCGGGGTACGTGCCCTATCATGTTGCGAGCTGGAGCTGATGCAAAGAAGCTATCCAAAGCACTGTCAGCTGCATATTTGGAATAGCGCATGGCCTGACCCAAGTGAAGTTGACAGAGACCTTGAAGAATGCCCGTCAGGACCGTCACTATCTGATCATCGGCGCGCCAAACGAGCTCACGTTCTGGTTTCTCTTTTTCAAGAACAAGAAGAACTTGCCCTGGGACCGCCTTCGGTATACCGACGAGGACAAGGAACAGTACGTGGCGGAGTTTGGCAACGACCAGGTCCGACCGGACCTGACCTTCGGCGAGATGTATCGGTCTTCGACGCGCACAGGCATAGTGCCCGTGGAGGAGTTCGTACTGGGACGGTACCACTACAAGCGGGTTATGCTACTAGGTGATTCGATACATAGGGTAAGGTCAACATCACTCGATTGACAGTTCATGCTGACCGTTCAGATGCACCCTGTTAGTGGTCATGGAGGCAATGCCGCCATTGAAGACGCCGCGTCTTTTGCGAATCGTCTGAAAGACGTCCTCGAAGGAAACCCGAACCCAACCTTCTCCCAACTGGAAGAAATCTTTGAAGAATTACAGAAAGAGCGAATTCCCAGGATGAAGCACTTGACCCGCAGCGCCGCGAAACTTGCAGGACTGGAAATGTTCAGCACTCGTCTACTAAAGCTAATAATGCTGTATTTGTACCCCTCAGTTCCGGTCGAGAATATCCTCGCCTCACTGGGCGAATCGATGACCCAGGGGGAGCCGTTGAAATATCTTCCTTTACCGATGCGATCGAAAAAGCTCGTTCCATTTGATGACGAGATACAGCTTCACACAAAGAACCGGTCATCTACGGCATCGTATGCATGGACCTGCCTCTTCTTCCTGATCGCATCGCTTCGATTTGCACTGCCGTCAAACGGATTGCCATTCTCAGACCAACCCGTCTTATTGTCGGCATGGCAGTCTTCTACGCACGCTTCATACATAGCCGTCAACGCGTTCTGGGCGATCGAGTCCTACCGCTCGGCATTCAGTCTAGGGCCTATCGTCAGTCCGATTCTGTGGATCCTTTTCGCGCAGATTTGCGGTTGGGAACTTGCACTCCCCTTTTACTTTGCCAGTTGGGTAAACGGCAGCTATTCTCGAGGGTTTTACCACCCATGGCCCCGCGCCATTCTTCCTGCTGGCGCGCAGGCTCTCCCGCTCGTAGTAGCCGTTGCAGCACCTGCCCCGACACTGATCTCAGATTTTCTCGCGGGGATCCCGCAGTTGGCCTGGTTTAACTCACTGACTCTCGTGCATCTCATCATCCCGGTGGGCGGCTATCTTATTGACACATTCCTCACGCGTCGCCATGGCCTAAGGTGGGAGCCATTTTATCAGTTCGGCGACTGGGACATGACATACCTCACCTGTTTCTTCTCCTTGACTTTTCTCGTTGCAGCCTACAGGCACATCAGCTTTATCCTGGCCCATGTCATTCCTCTCGTGAACCACGGCCACGGCCTGCTTCTGTTACGCTCTCCGGAACTCGTCAACTTTGGCGTCTTTTCACTTCTCATCGCCGCCTTTGTACAGTTCACCGCATGGGATCTGCGCAGAGTCAACGTTCTCCGTACGAATCTCGCTTTAGCTGCCTTGGTGATATCGGTTGCCATCATTGTTCTTGGTCCCGGTGCGACGCTGATCGGCACTTGGTGGTGGCGGGAAAAGGCCTGGGAGAAAGCTCGACGTAGACGGTCCGATGAACGGTACGAGAGTGTCAAGGGCGGCGTTGCTTGAGTCCCGTCTGCCAGCGACATCTCGAGCTCCTCATTTGAGCCTTCACGAAGGTTACGAGTACGAGGATCGTACGATGATGCGTGGCCTCACGTGGGCTCTACTGCGTGGTCTGCTCACGACGCCATCAGGTCTCGTCTCTGGTTGAAGATGTCCGTCATAAGTACTGGACCGGAGGATAGTTGCGGCGCGGTAACGTTTCCATGCTTTCAAGATGAATCACCCGGGACATCTGTCCGGAAGTCTAAGATAGGTAGTTATACATCTCAATGATTCATCCCATGCTGAATCTCCCTTCTCCCTTCTCAATATCTCATCTTATACCCAGTTATCTCAAGCTGCCCCCATCCATCACTCTACACCTATAACATCTCATATCACATCTAACGCGCCATCTCTCTTCCATCGTCCATTACCTAAACCACTCTCCATCCTCTAACTTCCCATCACAAAATGCCCTCCCTCGCACCCCCAAAATCCACCTCCACCCGCTCCTCCACCCCGACCAAGTCGCAAAAGTACATCCGCGCGCACTTCTGCCTGATACACCTGAACAATCACCTCGAACAGACCGAAACCACGCCCGTCACACTCGAAGACGCCTCCTCCGCCGCCGGCATTGAGATCTCCCGCGTTGGCTTCGTCCGCGCCGCTCACCACGCCGGGAACAATGGTATCGAGCTCGCCTTCCAGCCCGCCTTCTTCAGCCCGCTGCGCAGTGCTGACTTCGTTAGCCGGGGCCACACATCTCGTGATACCGGAGACGGCCATCTCGAGCATCTGGACCATGGCCATAATAAAGCCCAAAATGAGCGTGGCGAGAATTCCGGGTTGAATACCCGGCCCCGTCCGGACTCTAGGTCCGCGTCTAGTTCTGCCACGCTCGAACAAGAGCAAGAACCCGTTGCTGTGACGGTTGCATCGCGCGTCCCGTATACGCCTGCAACGCCGCGGCTCCGGCCGGTGTCGGACGCGAGTTGCTCGTGCCCTACCTCTGACTCTTATCTCACTGGTATAGGCGATATCCCGGCTCTGGACCTGGATCTGGACCGCGTCCCGGTCTGTCCGGCTCCGGCGCCGCGGCTCAGAGCAGTGTCGGACGCCAGCTGCCCGTCTCTCTGCGAACAGGATCCCAACTTGATAGGCGCAATCCCGACCCCGGTCGAAGACATGAAGACCCCGCGCTCTAACCTGAACAATGCAGATGAACTCAGCCGCGGCCATGAAGTCCGGATTGAGGTCCGCGAAGTCGAAGAGGACGAGACGGACACGGCCCATGTCCGGACCGCCAACATGCAGCCTGGGCCTGGTCCTACTTCCCGCCGCGGCTACGGCCATGCCAATACCAGTACTAATCCTAATCCTAATACTAATGCCCCCGCCCTCCCACCTGCACCATTCGAGGTCCTCGACCCCCCCGAACCCAAACCAAGCGCACTACCAGATCCAGAGCTGGAAAGGCAGAGTGAGAACCACACCTGGATCACACACACCGAACCCCCCGCCCCAGTCCGCCGCCTGCGCACCGCCCCGCTGTACCTCCCGCACACGCCGCACCACATGCACCCGAACCCAGGACAACTCCTTTTCAGGAACGCTGGCAGGCTATGTTGCAGTATCGAAGATGCAGCTGAGGAGATTGAGGAGCGGCCGCGGTCTGTTTCACTGGGAACCTTCTCCCTCGCCGAGTCAGGTCGGGAGTATAGATACCCCTGGGCTGTGGGGGATGTCTATGCATATGTGCATGACCTCGACGGCTCTCCTCATCCCAACACGATTGTGACCGTGCTTATTGGGGCGGGCGGGACAGATGAGGAGCTCTGCATGGCGGAGTTCAAGGCGGCCGTTGGGGTTTTGTGCGCTGTGCATGAGAGGGAGAGGGGTGAGGGGTTTGTGTCTGTTTCTGCGGGAAACGGGCCGATTGCGGTATGTTCTGTCCATTTTCTGTTCTTCATTGCGTTCTCTTGATGGGTATGCTGACGGTGATAGGTTCTGCTTCTCGCGTACTTCGGTTCCGGGCATGGGCGGATCATGCAGGTTTATCATGACGGGGAGAATCTGAATGTTCAGTATTCGCCCTTGCTGACGTTTGATATGAAAGATAAGCTTACCGAGTCGCTTTTCACTCGATATACCGCTGGCCGTCCTGTAAACGCCTGAATCTGTGTTCCGTTTGATCTACGCATTTACGTCTACGCTGTACTCGGAGTCGGCTTGATAAAAATACCGGCGTTCTGTTTGATTTCTGTACACATACTATCATCATCGAGGCATTTGACCAGTCCGCAGATTGCAATACACGAATGACCACCACCCCTACCATCATAGATCCGTCCTCGTAAGTTCCTGCTGCGTCAAGAGTATGTCGTCCGCGATCTTCTCGGCCAGCATGTCTAAACGGTGAGTGGTTGCCAAACATCGAACAAGATGACTTACAACACGTAGCTTGAGGATGCCCCGGTGGAAGAAACGGGAATGAGCTAGCGTCTACGACTCGTAGCCGATTGACCCCGTAGACACGAGCCCTGCTGTCAAGAACAGCCATGCGGTCGTCGGGTGTCCCCATCCTGCAAGTTCGCGACGGATGCCAAAGAGTCATCACGTTGTTCCGTATCCAGTCTAAGATTTCCTTGTCCGTTTGCACTTGCGGCCCTGGGTCGTATTCCTCGCCGATGACCACCGGATTCATATCATCACTAGCAAACGCTTGCCTGACTCGCTTGAACGCTGCAACAGCCAACTGCTGGTCCGACTCCGTCTCCAGCCAATTCGGGTCTATGATCGGGAGGTCCCACGTGTCGTCGGACGCCAAAGTAACCGTACCCTGAGACGTTGGGGCTGTAAGTACCGCGAGGATAGAAGCATATTCGTATCCATCGTCTGGTTGGTCGTAATAGAAGTCGGAGACGTTGCCCACGTATCCTGCTCCTGACAGGTACTGCATACGTTAGTACATCTCTTGATCAGGGTACAGGACTTACCTCCACTTCCGGCCACCCATCCCCAAACAGTGACAGATTGTGCCTCGTCCCTTCAGAAAAGCCTGTTCTCAAATCGTCCGGGATCTTCTCCCATGCCAGGAAGTCGGCGATCGGGCTGGACAAGACTCCCTCGTGCTGTTTGAGCCAGCGAAGATACTCTTGCACTAGGTACTCGGGATTGTTTGCCAGCCTGGTCAATGTCTCAACGGCGACTCGATAGCTGGGGCCGAAGAAGGGGTGGTCCTGCATGCCCTGTCCAACGCCAGGCAGTTCCGATATGACGGGTATATTATGTTGCTCCAGGTGCTCTCTCGGGCCGATGCCAGATACCATCAACAGCTGAGGGGACTGGAAGACACCAGCGGAGACGACAACCTCTCTTGTAGCCCGCAGAGTCGTGGATATGCCAACCTTGTCAATCTCGACGCCAACAGCGTTCTTGTCCTCGTCAAACAGGATCCGCTTCGCCAGCGCGTTCTTGTAGAGTCGGAGATTCGAGGGAAGTAGACCCGGGAGGAAAGCGGCCTGAGAGCTGCTGCGTGACTGGTCTTGCGGACGGATCGTCGACATGCAGTAGTGGTATCCCTCCAGCTCGCCGTTGTTGTACTCAGATGATTGCGGCAGACCAATGCCCTCCATGCCGCGTGCGACCCAGGTCGAGAATGGCTGGACAAAGTCGGTGAATGACACCTGTAACGGGCCACCAGCAGGGTCAAAGGCACTGCTATTGTACAACGTCGTCGCATTCGCCAGTCTCCGGGCAAGGTTTGGAGGGGTAAAGGCAGCACTGCGCTGGTAGTACGGCAAGACATTGTCAAAGGCGTAGCTGGGGTCGTCGACGGCCTCCGCCCACTTGTCCAATGCCTCTCTGCTCGGTCTGCATCATGTTATTCAGGTTCTCATGGCGAAATGGACAGCGTACCGCTGGTAAACCATGAAGTTCAGCGCCGACCTGCATCGTCAGCGAATGGCCGATGGGCCCGAGTTAGGGCTACTGACGACCCACCCAGGCACTTCCCCCGAGCAAAGTGCATGCGCCGCCCATTTGCGCCTCGTTGCGGCGTGGTGACGAACCCCCAGTCGGCGCCGCTGGTCGCATCCGGGTCGGAACCAACAGGCAGGACGTCGGCGCCTGGAGTCTTCGCAAGGGGATAGCTGATCTCGTAGTAGGTGCCGGCCTCGACGACTGCGACCGAATGCGACTGGGCGAGGCGGACGGCCAGTGCAAGGCCTGATGTGCCGCCGCCAACGACGATGTAGTCGAATGTGCTGCAGAGAGCCTCGGATAACCAAAGAAAGATAAGAATGGCGTATGAGGATAGCATGGTGAGGATAATCTGCGGGCAACACCCAGCTGGGCCGGTCGCGCCTAGTAATAGCCAGCCGCGACCGATCAGCTCCTTCCTCGCTGCAGTCCGGTGCTACCAAGTACCTTCTGACCAGTGCAGGGTTTCTGGGTTAAATCCGGTATCCCCTTGTGACGGGTTCCATTTTGTGTAGACCGGCGGAACTCCGCCAGTGCTTACAGCCTCCCAGGCACCGAGATTGGGACCTACGTATAAATCCACCACCACGCACCCACAAAGCTAAGGATACCGCAAACCTCCCGTCCCGATCACTGACTACAGCGTATGACAATGGCCGTGATCTCCATCGAAATCATCTCCGACGTAATCTGTCCCTGGGTGAGTGCTTTCGATCCCTCTCAGCAAGCCTTGGGTACCCGGGATAGCACACTGAGAAGATGCGCAGTGCTTCATCGGCTACCGCACCCTACAGAAAGCTATCTCACTATACCAAAAAACATACCCGGGCGGCTCAAAGGATGAATTCGTCATCGAGTGGAAGCCGTACTTCATCGACCAGGTTGCGCCGGAGAGCAGCGTGCTCATCAATGGTATCTTCCCCCCCATCTTTCGCCAACGGACTGAGTAAAATGGCTGACACTGGTCTAGACCGCATGGCGCGCCGCATGACACGCCCTCAAATCGAAGCTGCTCAGACGCGGCTGAAACGGGTCGGGAAGAGCGTGGGGATTGAGTTTGCGTTTGGCGGGTATATGGGCTCGTCGCGGCTTGCGCACCGGGCATTGTATTTTGCGTCTGAGAGGGGAGGGAGTCAGATGCAGTGTGCGCTTGCGGAGGTGCTGTTTAGGTATCAGTTTGAGTTGGAGAGGGATGTTAGTGGGGTGGATGTTGTTGTTGAAGCGGCGGGTGAGGCGGGGTTGGATGGGGATGCTGTTAGGGTCTTTCTGGAGGGGGAGGGTGGGAAGAAAGAGATTGAGGAGGAGCAGAATATTGTAAGGGAGATGGGGGCCAAGGGGGTGCCGTGCTTTGTTGTTGGTGATGGGAAAGAGGTGGTTGATGGGGCGGGGGATATGGAGGAGTTCTTCGGGGCGTTTGTTAGGGCAAAAGGGTCTGCTTGAGACTTGACCTGCTCTTATTTAGGTATGGATGCTGTTTCAATCTACTCCTTTATCCTCCTTGAACTCGGCATCGGCCTCGGGATCGGCTCAGGGGGGCGGGCCGGTCCGATCTCTCAGGGAACGCATGGAGAAGTATACGGTATTACTATATACTATATCGTTATGTGACTTAGGACTAGTCGACGACCATGCCATACCAACCGACGTCATCGACCCTGGGAAACGTATACAGCGGATCTCCATCTCCGCAGTGGAGTCTGGACTGTTCTCTGCGTCAAGCAATAAGAAGATGACCTGCAGCTGCTGCATCATCCAGCCAATGACCCGCAGCCACCTGCAGCACAGACATGTGTCCTGCTGGCAATCGAGCCAGTCCTGCATGCATGGCCTTTTTTGCAGCCAAGCGCGCTTGACGAGGGGGGAGTGCTTATTAACAGTTAACAGGCCCCGCGATTGGGCTTGACGGTAGCAAAAGCACTTCTGATCCTGTCCAGACTTCAGAATCGGAATCAGATTGTCCGGCTTACGGTACGGTGTCGAATCTGACTCTGACCCATCGCATCTCACGGATACGAAGAAGAACAAAGCAAGGCAAAAGCAAAGCAGAAGCAAGGGCGAAGCAAAAGCAACCATGGACGACAGGTCGATTATGTCTTGTGACTCCTCAGACAGTCGCAGTCGATCAGTTAGCGAGTCGTCTGTCAGTGTCAGCTCGAAACTCCCTTTCCTGAACCGCCCCATCGAGTTCCTGGAGTATTACCCCAAGCGACGCTTCCACCCTGTGCATCTGATGGATACCTTCCAAGACAATCGGTATAGAGTCATTCGGAAGCTGGGGTACGGCTCGTTTTCGACGGTGTGGTTGGCGCGGGATACGCAGTACGTCATGCCATCACGGTCACTTTTCTCTCAGCTAAGTCTGTACTCCGTAGACTCAATCGCTATGTTGCGTTGAAGATATGCCAGGCCGACCCGGAGAATCAGAGCGACTGCGAGGCCGAGGACGACACGAGCTCATCAACCGAGACCCAAATTTACGAGCGTTTGGCAGCCTCGCACGTCCCACATCCAGGATCCAGCCATTACCTCCCCCTGCTCGACAGTTTTCGCTTCAGCGGTCCAAATGGAACACATCAGACTCTAGTCTACGAGCCCATGGCCGCCAGCGTTACGGAGGTGAAAGACGCCCTGTTCCCTGACGGGCCGTTCCCGCTCGGGACGGCAAAGGCGATTCTCTGGCAGACGTTGCTAGGGCTCGACTTCATGCTCGAGAACGACGTCGTGCATGGCGATGTCCAGCCGCGGAATCTGCTGTTTACGTTGGACGAGTTGAAGGATGTCCCAGAGGCGGAACTGGCTCAGGACACGGATATACCGCTTACGCCCTGCCTGGAGACCGAGTTAGAGGGAGGCGTCAAGGGGCCGCGGTATCTTGTCCCTGCGGACAGTCTGATGCGGTACCTCGATATCTCACGGCCGTTTACGATCAAGATCTCGGATTTGGGCGGATGTATGCTTGCGCTACCTACCTAGCTATCTATGTTACTGTGGAATGCGAGCTGACCGACTACCCTAGCATTTCGAACCTCACACCCACCAAGCACACCATCGCCCCCCCTGCACCTCCGCGGCCCAGAGACGCTCTTCCAGCGCTCCATCTCGGAGAAGCAGGACATGTGGAGTTTCGGCTGTCTGGTCTTCGAGTTCATCACGGGCATCCCGCTTTTCGATCTTAGCGATCACCCCGTTTCAGAGATCACGGACGACATGCACTTCATCGACATGTACAACATTCTCGGATTTCCAGACGATGAGCGAGCACGAGATACGCACTGGCCAAACTGGCGGAAGTTTTTCACGCCAGCGGGGCGACCTGTCAACCACTTTGAGCGGCGGCGAGAGCGCGATTTTGATCGTGGTGGGAAACCTATTGGGACTTCGCGGACCCTCGAGGAATTGCTGGAGGATGGGATTGCGGGGAGGCTGGAGGGGGAGGCGCTGGGGACAACGAAGGGTTTGCTACGGGGGCTATTGCAGTTTGATGCGGAGAAGCGGTTTACGACCAAGGATGTGTTGAGGCACAAGTGGTTCCAGGAGCAGAGGGGGAGTCATTAGGACGTCTGAGTATGGCATGGCAACCTTGGAAGATCAAATAGAATGCGGGATCCATGACATGACCGAAACAAGTTATTCAACACCAGATCAGACTATTTAGTACATTCGACAGCAACAAAAGCCAAGAGACATAAACACCCAACTGTGGCTACGGCCTAGAACTTGATATTAGCATTCTGGCTCCCCATCCGCCTCCCCTCAACATAAACCACAAACTGCACGCTCGCCCCACTCGGCACCATCTCCAGATCAAACGACAGCTTCTTCATCCACGACCCCGTCTCCGCGGACCGGAAGTCCTCTAGACTGTCAAACGGCACGTCAAGCGTGCAATCGATCTTGCAGTGGCGCACGACGCTCTTCTCCAACCGCGTCGGGGCGTCGTGGTCTTCGCACTCGTATAGCTCAACGCTGAATTGAGGACCCGGGTCTTTGCGGTATAGACGGTAGAAGTTGTATCGGACTGGGTCGGTTGTCGAGACGTTGTCGCCCTAGATATGTTAGTAGTGGAGAAGAAGAGAAGAGTGAAGACGCACCCGTCGCAGATACCAGTTGAGCTGGTTGTTTGCGCGCCACTCGCCCTCGTCCGGATACCAGGCTTTATCTTCGTCGAGATGTTTGGCGGCGTCGAAGGGCGCGTGGTAGACGATGCCGATGCTGGTTCTGGAGATGGACGACGTCACGCTGATTGGCGCTGCCACGCCGTATCCGTTCTGCTGGGTGCCGCTGCTGTCGCTGCTGCCGTCCAGGAACCCCTTGTATACTGCTCCTTGGCAGATCGCAGTCCGCGGGCGCATTCCGCCAGACTGGAGGATTGTGATTCCGGCGCTGGAGTGGCGGTTCTTGAGGTGTTCGTAGAGGTATGGGCTCGCGCCGAGACCGCCGACGAGGATGATTCCCTGCTGCTGTTAGATATTTCCAATGATGGGTGGTAGACGTACCTTCACGTCCAGGCCCTGGCTTCTTGCTTTGTTGATTTGGCCGTCGACGAGTTTGTCGATCCCGGCAAAAGACTCGGTGAATGCTTCTTGGATGTGGGAACTGTATAGCATTAGCGAGATTATGCGTAGAGAGATAGTACATACCTCGAGAAATGAATGCGACCCTTCTTAATAAATGGCTCGCGGCTCATGTCGTCCAGACTGTTCTTGCCGAACGCTTCGGCCGGGATGCTCACGATGTATTCTTTCTTCGAACTCTGCGGCTTAAACTGCGGCTTGATGGCATGCTCCCACTCCCCTTTGATGATCTCCTTGATACCTGCCTTGCTGAGGTGATCCCAGCGGCGTCCGAGACGCGACTTGCATGCGTGCTCAAAAGCTTCGTCAATGAATATACCGCCGCAGAGCCCACCTATACCGGTTAGAATGCCCGCAAGCATCGTAAGGATACATACCAGTTCCTTCAACTGCTTCATGCATTGCAATGGGGTTGACGGAGCCAATCTCGTAACTGATCAAGTCCTGCTACTGTGAGAGGAGAAAGGTGGTAAAAGCAAGACAACCTACAACTGTACCACCACCCGCGTCGCAAATAACATAGACATCACCCGGCTGAGTCCGTCGACCAGGTTCACAAAGCGTCGATAACGCTGCAGCCTCCGGTTCAGGGACGAAGCTAAGCATCGTCTCACCGGCTGGCCGACTGTCCAAGATTCCAGCTTGTCGAGCAGCTTCTTCCATCCCTTGTCGTGCATAACCCTTCCAGATGGCGGGCACTGTAATGACAACGTGGAATCGCAACGCGTCAATGACATACTCGCCACGAGACTTCTTCACGGACTCAAGAATATGTCCCCACAGAAGACGAAGGTAATCAGCGATCAGCCCAACCGCAGTCTTACCCGTCTCCTTGAGCATCTTGCGCCCGCGCAGGAGGAACTCGGAAGAGCGAGTCTCTTCAGTGAGATCCTCGTCCTTGACAAGGAGAAGCTTGAACCACCGGACTGGGTCTGCATCGTCGGGAATCTCATACCCCCAGAAGATCTGATCGTCTTCGTAGAAGAGCTCGGTTGGCGCTTTGCCCTCTTCTCGGCCAGTGCCTGGCCAGCTGGTGATGAGATTGATCTGATCACTGGCGAAGTCGGCGACCGTGGCCCATGCGACACCAGAGTATCTTGTAGGGTTAGCATCGAAAGTACGCAATGATTGAACACTCACGTTGTTCCGAAATCAATACCAATCACCATGACATCGTCCTCGTCATCTTCGCTCGGTGTCGCAATCTTTGGACGATAGGCCATGATCCCGTCGGTCGGTGTGAATGTCATCTTGCGGTGAATTAAAACAAACTGTAAAAGGAAGGAGTGGGATAGTTGTATAGTGAAGATGTTTGAGGGGACAGCCGCTCAGCCAGGTTATATGAAGTGGTGCCGCCGACCCCGGGCTTTCAGCCTCGAGCAGTCGATTCCACCTTGCAGCCGGGAATTCTTGCCAGGCTTGAACCCTCCTCATGCAGCCAACTCATGCATCCATAAATGGCCTGCCAATGGTAGCCCCGCGTGGAGCGCTCGACGGTTTGAGGAGCACAGCCTTTCGCGCGGCTTGGCTGGACAATGCGACGGCCGCTGGTTGGTCGCATTCGCACGCTGACACTCGTACGACGAGGCTGAGGCGCTTTCGACCAGGATGCGACGGGCCAGAGAACGCAGGGAGTCGCTTCGTGCAATTCTGGCCGACGAGCACCACCAATCGTGGAGCTTGCCAACACGAGGCCGGGCTAAGCTGCACCCCAAGGCTGTCTGCCCGCCAGCTTGTTTATACCACCGGCCGCGCACCACAGAAATGTTGTAATCGATTGGCTTTCGGCCTTCTGCTGTCTGCACGGCTGAGCAATTGCCACCAGGTGATATATCCCCTCCTTGAACGCCGATTAGGAGCCACTCGGTGAACGTGATAATGGGCTAGCCTCGCCGCAATCAGCTGAGACGAGGCTGAGAAACTCAGGAAACATCTGGCGGGTTCGATCCCCGTCAAACGTATTTCCTTATCTATTTTGGTCTGCCGACTACGGTTTGAGTCGCGGTAGTAAAGAACTTGCCTTTCGCGCGACATGACGCAAACACCCCCATCCCGCAGCGCCGATGATCATGGCCAGAGGTTCGATAACCAGGATACCGAAATGCCAGACGCAGAATGCGAACGATGTCTTCAAGATAAGCGACCCGATATTCCCGGCCGGGTTCATTCTCATGTGCACACGGCCGCGGTCACCGCAACAACAATTACTGAAAAGTTCATGACCACGTTTTGGGGAAAGCCCGAGATGAGGCCCTCCTGCCCGCCTCCACCTCCACCGCACAAGACCCTGCAGATGCCTGATGCGGTGCAAAATTCGACCGATGAAGAGGGAAGAAAGCCCCAGCCGGTCGACGAGGGGGAGCCAGATCCTAAACAGAACAACGACGTGATGGCCTTCCAAAACCTCGCAGTGGAAATGAAACAGAAGATCGAGCAACTTGAGACTGATCTTGCAAACGCACCGTCAGCCGACTCAGTTCGCGCACTGGAGCGTTCTCTTCAGGCCGAAAGCGCGCAGAAAGAACGGGCCCAGCAAGAAGTCCGACAAAAGACCAACGAGTTAGACGTCCTGCGAAAGCGCTGGAAGCAAGCCGCGCGAGAGTTGGATAAGTCCCGGTCCCAGAGCCAGGGCTTCTACCAAGTGACAGATAACTACCTCATTGAGCTCACCACGCGGCTGCGGTACAACATCAGGAACTTCGCGCTTCAGTACTTCGATGGCGAACTCAAGGGACCGCGGCCAAGATTCGACAAGCCCAAGGTATGGGACAAATACATGCAGACGACGACCCCGGAACCGCTGGACTGTGAGGCATTCATGATTTCGGAACGAAGGCCCAGTGCTGTCCAGGCGTTTCTGTGGCGATTTCTCGTTGGAGAAGTGTTTGATCATTTCCGATGGGCGGGAGAGCTGGGCATCACCCTGCGGAATATGTGTCTTTTCCTAAGGCCTGGTATGTCCAATCTGGTCGTTCAAATTGTGCGTCACTAACCCCGCAAAGAAGGACAATATCCTGATTCCAATGAGCCTATCATCCCTGAAGAAGAGCGCAAGTTCCAAGCGTGGATCGCCGGCACAACCGCGATGGTCCTGGAAGCCGGAAGCACATCGAAGAAATCAAAGGCGTTCACAGAGCAGGTCCAAGTAACGATCGAGTCGCTGAATCGAAAAGTCCGCGAAGTAATCGATCATTTCGTCGTTGTGGAGGACCAAGGGTACGCGTTGGAGATCGCTCGGATTGTCGAGGAAGCTGTCAAGCTTGACACAGAGATCAGTCGTCAGGCCGCGCGAGTGGAATGGGTGTTTCCAGCCCCGGCGAAGGAGATCCTGTTCGACTCGGAGGTCATGAGACTAGGGACGGTGGAGGCAGAATCCAAAGCGAAGGAGAAGCAGCTGGTGCGGTTGGTGGTTTGTCCGGCCATGAGGAAACGAGGCAAGTCGACCGGCGACGACTTTGGAGCACCCTCCACTTTGCTGGTCCCGATGGAGGTTTCTTGTGAGCCTGTAGTGAGAAACGAGGCGAGTCTCCGGAAGATGTTTGTTTAAGCAATTGCGAACAAAGCGGCTAGCACCACTGAGCTGACTGACCCACAAGGTCATCACAAGTTAGCCAAGCTTGTATACTAGGTACTAGTAATGAAATACTTGGCTTGGGAGAGTAAATATAAAGCAAAAAGTAATTAGCTGCTTTTCTCGAGAGAGCTTAAAAATACTAGAATTTAGTAAAAGAAAATTAAACTTGTCTGTCGACCAGGCGCGAAGGAAGCACTACGCAACTACTTATCCCATAGTCTTAGTCTAGTAGCGTTGTTGCAACTTTACTTGCACCTTCACAGCTAGTGCAGCACCAAGCCAGCCAAAACGAGAATCATCGACGTGGGCTACCTTTCGTGGGGCTTTTCCTCCACTCCGAGATCCGTTCGCCGGACCTCACTATTCCATGCCAAATATTTCACTGTTCTCGCCCACTCTGGGTACCTGCGATTGACACCGGAGAAGCCTCTTGCAACCCTAATCCTTGGTGGGGAAATGGTTTTCATTGAAACAGACTCCCGTATAGTGGTCGCGCGGATCATTATCGCTCGTATGCCGAGTTTCTCTGCTCATCTGTTAGCTTATAGCTTGATGATAAGGCTGAGGCTTTGCTTGGACCTTTGGCAAACCTCCTTTGTTCCTGATGGCACTAGATGTTTGGGGGCCTCGACGGCTTTCGCGAAGCCCGGGCCTTGCTGGATCGCGATAGACTCAGGCCTGAGCCAATCGGAAGTTTGAGTGGCCACCGAGAGTGTTATCTCTTGTCCGTTTTTGGCGATGCTTCCAATGGGAATCTTCTTGAGAATGCGGTTGAATGACATGTTGTGTCGAGAAGGCGCGTGTGAAAGGATATAGGTCAAAGCAGGTAGTTCGACAGATGTACGAACGCTTCCACATGGTGCATTCTTCGTTGATATTTATACACCTTTTCCCAGCCCACGGGGAGCATCGAGACATGACTTCAAGCGCCCAAGAATCCTGTTCCAGGAGCCCGAGCACGGTTCAAACAAGAACAGGGTAAAGGTGGTTGGCTGTGGGTGCTCGAACTTTAGACGCCGAGTTGATCCCGAACAATGTACCTAACCGTATCTTGGTCAAGCTGCTTCCTGCAGGATCGTCTGTGCGCTACTTCGCCTGATCTGACTGACAAGCCGTCCAGTCCATCTCCAGAGTTGATATTGACATCGCGCCGTGTATACTTCATTGGAGGGGCCTATCAGCACCTGAATAACTGAGAGGGATGATTCCAGCCAAGGAGCATGGGAAAGATTGTCTTCCCTCCCAATAATGCCATTTCCATCCAAAGCCATTCGAGCTCGGTTACCTATGCGTGGGAGGGAAGTTCTCGGACTTTGCACAAAATAAGCACATTCAGGATCAAGTACAAGATTGAGACATTCAAAACAATAAAGTCAAGACTGATTAAACCACTGGTCTTCTAAGAGTTGTCGTGCTGATGGCCTATCTCGAGGGTCTAGCCTCATTATCCTTAGCAAGAATTCCTTATCGTCTTGACAGATTTCCTTAGTAGTGGTAAGATGAAACGGCCGTAGAGTCTCCGGTGGACTGTTCTGCATGACCCAAGTAAGAATCGCCAACCGTTGTTGGTCCGCGATCTGTTCGTACGATTCTGGAAATGGACCGAAGCATCTATGGTGCTTCAGAAGAATCTTCACATCGTACTCATCATGATCCGGTGGAACATCCGGCTTGAAAATGTGAAATCCAGATCCGTAGAGGAGGCTGATAAGCTGTTTTGCTTACATCGACGTTAATATTCGTTCTCAGGTTTTCCGCCGCGAGGTTGAAACTTGCCGTTGCACCAAATGACCAAATATCTGTTGCAGTACTCCATTTCATTTGAAGGTGAGCCTCAGGGCTTCTGAATATAGGAGTGCCGATAGGGTCCCCACGTTGCGCATGAACAGACTCCACGTGAACAGTGCTTCCAAAATCTGCCAGCTGAACATCTCTAAAACGAAGATCAAGCTGACTGTAATTCACTAACACGTTGCTGGGTTTAATATCTATAGCCCGTCTGTATTAGCAAAATTCGGCACCAGAGAAGCAAAGAGCGACTAATCACACCAGTATGTATAAATCCCTCATCATGCAAGACGGCAAGCGCCTCGAGCACCTTTCTTGCAACAAACACCACCTCGGGATGAGTAAGCCGTTGCTTGTTCGATGCATTCAGAACATCGTCATCGAGGTATTTTAGGATAAGTGTAGGAGGGGAATTAGGATCTTCCAGCTCCTCAATAAGTGGGCGGATGGCAGATGTTCGGCGTTGAAAACGAAGTAGCACATCTCGCTCGTTCTGTAATCGAAAGTGCCGGACACTCTTTGCGATCACTTTCTGCTGGGAGTCATTCCTGTGAGTATTCATGTTAGAATAGTAGTTCACACCGAAACCATAGAGGCAGGGACTGCTTACGTCGCAAGCCAGACACAGTCCTGGAGTTGTTTTCCAATGGTGTAAAGCGCCGTTCGGCCTTTCAAAGTCTGGCCAAGGAATAGCGCCGATGGCATAGCGGAATAGCTTGATAATTTGAGCGGCCAGTGACGATGAATGGAGAGAATAAAACAACGTCGAAAGGAAGGGGGTGAGGTGTGATGACTAATTGTCCTGCCTGGGCAGGTGAGGGAACGTCGCGGGCGGAGTCCCACCAACCATCCCGCAAACATTCAAGCGTCATCGAAAGCCACCCGGCGATATAAAGCAACATGTCCGACCAAACACAAGCTGGAATGCTCAAACAACTTAGGCAGGACCTACTGCGCAAGTATGAGCTGCATGGGGAGCGAGTCGGGGAGATTTGGCGCGCCTGGAGCCCCGCCCAACGCGCAAAGGCACTAAAGGCTGGGGCTGCAGAGGGAGTGATGCTGAAATCCCGCACTGATCGCTCTCTAGGCTTTACTCGGCTGCTGATTCCCGAATGGAATATCCAAGATTTAACAGCGCCGTCCCCGGATCCTTCCACTTTGATGGCCCACCTCCGCCATCGCGCCCTGTCCCCTCTACTTGAACAGTATGCTCAAGGTCCGAATGGACAGCCTGGCGATGCAGACGTCATCTTTCACGGCATGGAGCGCGGCCTTCAATACTCGGAGTCATATCGTTATGAATTCACGCAGTTCATCGACGAGGAAAGCTATGGTGTGTCTATGGCCGCTAGAGACGGCAACATGTATCGACAGGTCATGGCCGGTATGCAAGCTGCAGTCGATAGCAGGCACATCGTTCCCCGATCGGCTGGAGAGCTTATCTTGGCGAGGCAAGTTTCCATACTACAGGCTTTGAATATCCTTGTTGAGGATATTCTTGAGCTGGGTTCGTCCACAAGAGCCACCGCTGTCCCGAAAAAGAAGCAACCCAAAGAAATAAACCGGGCACCTCCAGCTGCTGCGGATTCTAAGCCGGCGAAGCTGTCCCTGGACGAGATCCTTGCTCGTGCTCAAGATCAGAAATCATCTGTTGAGGATTACCTTGGTCTGTGTCGGAAAGAATGCGCCTTTCTTGCACCGATTGTCAATATGTGGTTCGCAACACGCCCCGAGCTGCTCCCGGATGAAAGAGGGCAAAGACTACCATTGCATACCGACAAGTACAAAAGCACTGCCTTCTTCGAAGCGCTGCACTCCGCCGTTATTGGTGTCGCTGTTTGGGACTATATCTGCCGACTGCTCCAAACTCTCATCGACAAGCCGGACGACAGGCAATATCGGACCATGGTCCTGCAAGAGATTTCGAATGTCTGCCACTTCGAGTACGATAGGGTGCAAAAGCTTTTCAAGCGCTACGTCCAAACGTGCACCGGGGCGAAATACTTCAGACGCGCTTCGGGTGGAGGAAAGAACAAAGCGGTCCGCGTGGTAATGAAGGGCAAGCCAGAGGCTGTCGTTCAGGAGGATCCACAACTTGGCTATCTTCTCCATCTCTGCGAACCAAAAACGAGCGCTATCAAGTCCGTCCAGTGGATCGCTAAGCTTGACGAGCTTCACCACGCAGAGCCGAGGAAACTCGAAGAACTGTTTGACTCGGAATATGATGCCCTAGGCGACCTTGCGGTTATTGCAGCCTTCATTCAGTCCCTGGCCGCTTCCCTACCCTTGCCCCCTCCCAACGGCACGAAGGGACAAGTATTTGTCTCCAGATTGAAGAGCCTAACTACGGAGCTGGACGCGCTTACGGACGATCTCGATCTCAGCGACTTTGTTGTCCCTATTGATAATCTTTTGGAGCCTGGGGTTGCTGAACGCGCTTTGGTTGTGCTCAACAACTTCATTATCAACAAGGCCGGGTCTGAAATAGGCCTGCTTTATGAGGGTGTCACGGAAGAGGCTCTGAATGCGGTCCAGGTTCAGTACTCCGAAAACCGAGCGATCGAAAAAGACCTGCAAACTAGGTTATCCATCACAGAAGTATCCACCCCTACACCTGAGGTAATTATCCAAGAGCGCCGTGAAAAAGCAAAGACCCGTCCTGCACACTCGTCAGTATACAGTATTGTTGGCGATGAACCTGCCGCTGGAGATGCTGAAGCGCCGTCCCGAAAATTGAAGGTCAACAGGGATGCATTTGAGGTTTTCTCGACCCTCTTCTCACGGGCAGAAGCACAGGGACAAGGTTCCATTACCTGGGCGGCATTCCAAAAGGCAATGCAAAACCTGAAGTTCTCCGTCATTCCAAGATTCGGTTCGGTCTTCTCGTTCCTACCCCCGGGCGACCCTTCTTTGTCGAGACCTTTCACAATTCATCGCCCTCATCAGTCCCGCATCGAGGGGTATAAACTGATATACTTTGCGAACCGCCTGAAGAGAATCTACGGATGGGGGACGGACACGTTCGAAGTTGCGTGAATAGTGACTTGATTGGACTCCCATACTAAGAGTGGCTTACCCGATCAGAATGCGAAACGTACATGGGTACAAACAATATATTTCAATTGTCAATCCGAACAAAGCTTTTCAATATACCAGTCTCTTGCCATTAGGTATCATCCTTTTCATCCCCGACGGAATCCCTGCACTGAAGTGTCCGGTGCTACGAAACTAATGCGATCTCCATCACCCGGTCGAGGGCGGGCTCAAGGGCCTACTATCTGCCGCGATCAACTCGACGAGTGGACCAACGATAGCTTCATCATATCCCAATGCTAACAGCGACGAGATTGTGCTAAGCGGTTTTCCCTTTCCCCCTTCGATGGCGTTCCACAATCGGTCCTTCATGCTGAACTCGATCTGATATCCTCTGATCACCTCTTCTAAACGAGGGCCGTGGTCAAGGACTGCAAGCTGTGGATTTGGGCCCAGCATGATTGTGAATGTAGTTGGCAGAAGTGGATCCAATCCAGGAAAGTACACTGAAAGACACGGCATGTTGCGGTACCGATCCAGTTGAACGTCAACACCACCATCCCCCGGCTCGTTGTCTTGAATCCGCACCTTGAACCCTTGCGGTATTGAGTGTAGACCTGGGAAGCGAACAGCGAGGTTTCCGGCGGGTATCCTCGCGGTTAACTCCCCTCTCTCCTGCTGGAACGTGATCGACCATTCTCTTCGTGCGTTTGGAGTCTGCGGATAACATTCATCACGCTCGTCAAAACTGTCGTCTGCTGCGTCCTCAATCACGCTTGCGTGCCCGTCCCTCCCTACCAGTATCAATATCTCAATCCTAGACGGGTTTGAGCAACCATTTCGAGCAGATATTCCATGCCCCATAGTGATGATTGAGCCCTCTGATGCTAGAACTGGATACTGTCTTATGGACCGGTAGAAGGTAACCCCTCGACCACCGTCGTAGATCGTTCCGGTGAAGAGATCCATGAAGCGCCCTTGCGGCGGGAGCCACGCTTTCACGGAGGCCAGGTTTGTCCGCAAATCCCGCGGCTGGACAATGGGAGCAACTAGCAAGTCGGTACCGAGATAATATTGATTCGGGAATTCGTACGCGTTGTTCTCGTTTGGATATGACCAGTACATTGGCTGGACTAGCGGCTCGTCGTTGCGAGATCCAAGAACGCTCTGGGTGTATAGGTACGGCACCAAGCGATGTCTGAACCTCAGGAACCCGGCCATGGCCTCACTGCATTCATCCCTGTAGAGCCAAGGCTCTTTGGACATCCAGCGCGAGGAGGTCGAGTGGAGCCGCATCACCGGCGAGAACACCCCGAGTTGAGTCCACCGCACGAGAAGCTCATCGTCACGGATTCCTCGAATATGGCCACCAATGTCGTGGCTCCACCAGCCGTATCCGATATTCGAAGCAGTCGCGGTGAACTCCGGCTGGAACGCGAGCGAGTCCCAGCTCACAACGGTGTCTCCGGAAAATCCGATGGGGTATCGATGGCTTCCTGGCCCTCCATACCGAGAGAAAATCAGGGGGTAACGGCCATTCCGCTTGCTATCGAGATACTGGAAGTGGTTCAACAACCATAATGGATCGAACCCGGGGATCTTGGAAAAAGGCCCCTGCTGCCAGTCAACCCACCAGAAGTCGCATGCTTCGTTCTCTAGTCTGCGGTGCAGGATCCCAAAATAGGCCTCCATGAACTTCGGGCTCGCGGGGTCGAACAGGATCGGCTTCTTGTCACTGGTATCGTGGCCGAGAAAACGTGCCATGTCCTCGTATGCGGCTTCGTGCGCGTGGATCCCGGCATGCGGATGGTCGTTGAGCGTAATCCGGAGCTTCCGATGATGGATCTCGTTCCTGAAGCGCCCCGGGTCAGGAAACAGCTTCTCGTTCCAGGTGTAGCCTGTCCAGCCGGCATGAGGCACCAGTTCGTCGGACACGTAGTGCCAGTCCATGTCGAGGACGGCAACCGACAGTGGGATGTCATGCTCGCGGAACTTGTCCATCAACTCCACGTACTCATCCTGGTGATAGGCATAGTACCGACTCCACCAGTTGCCCAGGACAAAGCGTGGCACCTCAGGCTGCTTTCCGGACACAGCATAGAATGCCTTGATGGCCGCTTTATAATCGCGACCGTAGCAGAACAGGTAGCAGTCGAATCGCTCCCCGGGCTTTCTTGGTGCTACGAAGCCGTTGCTGTCGAACAGCATGCTCTTCGAGTCGTCAATTACCGCATAGCCTGCTTTTGAGAGAACGCCCTGGCCCATATCGCATCGACCGTCGACTCCATCTAATGTCCGCGCCGTACCCCCAAGGTTGAATTCCGTTGGAGTCCCAAATCGCCACGGCGTTCCATATTTGACGCTCTTGCCGTTGAAGTGGAAGATGAGGCTTTCCGGGCTGAATTTCTGCTTGGTGTAGCTGACGTGGAAATGGTCTGTTATGATTTCAAGCTCATCGCCATTGACTACTTGAAACTTTGGGGCAGGAAACTCTCGATTAATTGCGAATGTTGATGCTCTGTCCTCGAACTGGCCATCTTCTGCCCACTCGAACCGGATTAAGCGCTCGTTGAGGAGAGTGAAGCGGTAGTTGGGGCCTTGGACGACCGCATCAGGGTTGGCGATAGGGTGAGTCTCGAAGACGTATTTCTCCATGGCGATACTGGGTTGAGACTGGAAAGAGGCAAGGTGATGAGAATAAACTCAACCCCGCACCAGCAAAGAGTTACGACAACGCATGCAGCACAACACAGCGATTTCTATTGGCTGTCTCAGGATCTACACTCATACGGCCTTATCCCTTCCTGCCTGCTCCTTCAAATAAGCATCAAAGTTCAGCACTGCCTTGCCGAGCACCAGGGCGCCTTCCTCGCAATCCTCCTTGTCACTCCACTCCTTCGCGCAGTGACTGATTCCATCCTTTCCTCGCACAAACACCATCCCAGTTGGACACTTAAGTCGAGTCATGGTCGAGTCGTGTGCAGTTCCCGTGCGAGATCCAATGCCCTTGTCGCCGCAGGCTCGACGCACGCAGTCAACTGCCTCTGGCCAGAAATCCCCAGGCAGGAGATGGACCGGTCGGGTCACATCATACTCCAGCCCGTGCAACGCGGCAATGCCCTTGATCGAGCGAACGATATCTGCGCCCATCTCTTCCAGCCCCTCTGTCTCCCTATGCATCAGACAGAAGACAACCTTTGTCTTTGACTGGATGTTGCAGGCGCCCCACGGTCCGCTTTGGATGTTTGTCACAGTCGTGTACCCATTCCTGGAATAGGCCAGGGTCTCCAGCTGCGTGATGAGCTTCGCCGCACCGGTCAACGCATCCCGTCGTCCGTACATTGGATATGTATTTGCGTGGCCGTCCTCGCCGGTGAATACTACTTCGTAGTAGGTTATTCCGTGCCAACCTTCCACCCAGCCAACTGGCTTCCCTGCTTTTTCCAGGTCCGTCGCCTGCTCAACATGAACCTCAAAGTGGGCGGAGATGGGGAATTCCTCGAACGTGTTCGGTCCGTCGCCGACGTAGCCGATCTTGGCCAGCTCACTCCCCATCGTGATGCCTGAGCCATCATTCGAGAGAGATGCATGCGCTTGCTCCACACCCGTCTGTCCTGCGTAGACGGTCGATGATCCCAACGGTGGAAAGAAACGAGCACCTTCCTCGTTGGTCCAGTTTATGAGTGCGAGAGGAGCCCGCGTCTTGATGCCTTGTTCCTTGAAACTGCGGATGACTTCGAGACCGGAGAGTACCTAGCAACGTTCAGCCTTCTTCCCTGAGTTTGGGACTACGCTAACATACCCCGAGTGGCCCGTCGAATTTTCCGCCCGTGGCGACCGTGTCAAGATGGCTTCCCATGGCAATCGGCGGAACAGTATCATCCTCGCCGTCGAACTTCGCAAACTGACTTCCCGTCGCGTTGACTTTGTACTCTGCTCCTAGCGCCAGCACCTGATCGCGAAACCAGTCCCGAGCTAGCTTGTCATTTTCGTCGGCGCATAGTCGAGTTACGCCTCCGGGAGACGGGGCGCTATACTGCGCTGTGAAGTGGATGTCGTTCCTACACAGGGTCAGATACGAACTTTAGGCTACAGGGAGTCTCCATACCATAATCGGTCGCCGTTTATTGTCAGCTTCTGTGCTGCTGGCACGTTTGAGTTCCACCGTCGACCAGCGACAGGGTGTTTGCCACACAACGAAAGAGAAACTCGCGCTCTGATCGCGTGTCTGAACATTGCTGCCTAAGCGATTTTCAAGATTATCCTGTCTTTGAGACCATGGTTCAGGACCCCATTATATCTTTGGTGGAGATCGCGATAACCAAAAGAGGGGAAGTTGGAGAAACATATCAATGCGGAAGGCAGCCGCGCTACTAAGTATTATCACCAAGAGAAACCCCCTGCCTGCACGGCTACTTCATGGCAGGTACTCATTCTTCATTTTGGAGGCTTTTCCGCAAGAGCGCAATGAATCGGCCGAGTCTCTTCTTCTCGCCCTTTGGTGACGTCGATCGAGATAGGGCTTTTTCTATCAGCTCTTATCACTGGGTGGAGTCCAGCGCAATAGCTACCCCAAGTATGGAGGGGTGTCTATGTCAGAGCTTATCATCCTTCTGATAGATCGGCTGTCGCCCGCTTATGCAAGTGGGACAGCTCCAACGCTATCGCAGATAACCTTGACCAAGCATCATTGATCGATAGCCGAGATGGTGTTCATTGGCTCAACCTGCTTGCGGTCTACTTATCAACCCTATCGGATGCTCTATGCTTCGCTTCAAGAATTGGGGCATGACTCCATTGCCGTTGGGGCTCTCATCGGGTTGATTAGACCTCATCGGGAAGGTGGATTGAGAGATACCATGTCCTGTTCGCCGTGACTCAATACTCTTCCGCGGGGTACTTGTATCTCCATTGGCGATACTGCGATATATTGCATCTGCCTCCCAGTCAGTGGGCTTGCAGCTGTCGTGAGAACGCATATCCACCATGAGCACTACCGTGGCACCCGTCCTGCCTGAGGGCGCCGGATATGGCGTTGTCGTTGGCATTGGTCTTTTCTTCGCACTGCTCATGGCATGTGTGTCATATCTGCAGGTATGTTCCGGTCGGAAAGAAGTGTTGAAAGAGATGTCTAACCTGGGCAGAACCGATACACGCAATACTCGACAAAAACCAGCGAGGAGTTCAACACGGCCAGTCGCAGTGTCAAGCCTGGCTTGATCGCTAATGGAGTTGTCTCGGCGTGGACCTGGGCCGCAACGCTCTTACAGAGTAGCACGGTGGCTTATGAGTATGGCATTTCTGGTCCATTCTGGGTATGTGCTTCTTCAATTCCGGGGTGCCTTTATACTAATTGATGCCTGGGCAGTGTGAGTATATACTATTTAGGCCATGTAGGATTCGTACTGATGTGTCCAGACGCTGCCGGATCCACCGTGCAAATCTTCATGTTCTCCATTCTCGCTTGCAAGGTCAAGCAAAACGCCCCGTACTGTCACACCTTCCTTGAGATTGTGTATCACCGCTACGGCAAAATGACGCATGCAGTGTTCGTGTTCTTTGCGCTCATGACCAACACTCTGGTTGCAAGCCAGCTGTTACTTGGTGGCAGTGCGGTCGTCACGGCCCTAACCGGCATGAACGTCTATGCCGCTGTCTTCCTCATCCCCCTCGGCGTCTGCATTTATGTTGTCCTCGGTGGTCTGCGTGCTACGTTCCTGTGCGACTATACTCACACGGTGATTGTCATGGTCATCATCCTCTACTTTATGTTCGACGTCTACTCGAGGAACGAGATGATCGGGTCGCCATCGGCCATGTACGATCTGCTTAAAACAGCTGCGGTCGAGCGCCCAGTAGAGGGGAACATCGATGGATCCTACGTCACGCTCAAGTCGAATTCGGGTCTTGTCTTTGGCGTCATCGAGCTATGCACCGGCCTGAGCACGGTGTTTCTTGACCAAGGCTACTGGCAGCGAGCCATTGCCAGCCGACCGACTACCGCTGTCCGAGCCTACATCATGGGTGGTTTGTCGTGGTTTGCGATTCCGTTCGGGTTCGCGACGACACTGGGTCTTGCTGCGGTCGCCTTGACAAACAATCCCAAGTTCCCGACATACCCAAACACCATGACAAGCAGTCAAATCTCGGCCGGTCTCGCGGCTCCATTCGGTGCTACGGCCTTGGCCGGGAAGGGTGGTGCAACTGCGCTACTTTTAACGCTATTCATGGCCGTCACTTCCTCGGCGTCGTCTCAGCTCATCGCCGTCTCGTCCATCCTCACATTCGACATCTACAAGACCTACATCAAGCCCAGCGCCACTCCTCAGCAACTCATCTTCGTCTCGCATATCATGATCTGCGTTTTTGGCGTGGTAATGGCATGCGTCGCCTGCCTCTGGAACGGCATCGGGATTGACCTAGGCTGGCTGTTCCTGGTAATGGGTCTCTTGGTCGGTGGCGCCGTCTTCCCAGCCGCCTTCACGATTCTGTGGAAAGGTCAGACGAAGCTCGGTGCCATCTCGGGTGCGATTGGCGGCCTGGCGGCTGGGCTGATTGCCTGGCTGGTCGAAGCCAAAGTGTACTACGGCGAACTTACCGTCGCATCAACGGGCGCTAACTACCCTACGCTCGCCGGTAACATGGCCAGTGTGTTCACGGGCCTCGTTCTTACTGTTGGAATCTCTATTCTCAAGCCCGATGACTTTGACTGGGAGAAGACCCGAGCGATCAACGCGCCCGTCGCGCAAATCCCGGAGCCGGTCGTCGAATCGAAGCCTCCAATCGTTGAAGCAACACCAAACGAGAAGAGCGAGAAGGCCGCCGATGCCGCGCTTGTTGATGACCCCACGGCTCTGCAGAGGACCTTCGTCCTGGCCGTGGTCGTGTCCGCCGTTTTGTCGTTGATCATGGACATCATCATCCCCATCCCGATGTTCCTTAGTCATTATGTCTTCTCAAAGGGCTTCTTTACGGCCTGGGTGGTCATCTCGTTTATATGGGTGTTCGTGGCGTTCATCCTATGTGGAGTCCTGCCTATCGTGGAAACGAGACGGTTCTGGGGAGCGATGTTTAGGAGAATTATCGGTAGAAAAGAGGTTTTGGATGCACAAGGGCAGCAAGCTCAGACCTCCGACGAAGATGCGGAGCCAGTGAGGATCGACTCCAAGGCATAGCAATCCCCAGTACAGCCGTCAATATGTTCTTAGCAAGATCTATGTACAAAGATATATGCTCTATCCTCTCGACAGACCTGCCACCGGTCGCACCATCGACGTCTCCGAGTATCCAGGGACAACCTCGTAATTGTGCACAGCCTTACAGTCATGTTTCTCATACAATCCCCGTCCGGCCGGCGACGCCGATATGAAGGTTACGAGTCCTTTCTCGTCCGCCCGATCAAGACCCCATTTCAGCAGCTTCTCGCCTAGCCCGCGACGGCTGAACGCAGGGTCTACGGCGAGCAATTGAAGGCCTACCCTAGTTAATCACATATTCTCGGAAAAAGGGTAGATATGGCAACATACAGTAGTGCGGCTGCTCCCCGATCGCGGTCCTCCGCTCCCTCTCAACGCGCGCAAAAAAACTATCGCAGAGCTCGGCATCACTGCCAGACGGCCACTGGGTCTTTTCCTTCTTCTCCCCTTCATCAATAGGCGTGCCATCGTAGAACTTCCACTGCGCGAACCCCGCGATCACGGGGTCCTGGCCTGGTGCTGTCCCGACGACTTTGACCATGTCTTTTTCTGGTCCGGATTGGGCTTCTTCGGCGGACTTTTTGTAGTTTGCCACTTGGAATGCGTATCCTTCCTCGTTGCGAGGCATGAGTCGCATGCTGAGGGGGTTGTTGAAGGCGGAGAAATATATTTCTGCTATGCGGGGGGCGTCGCTTGGGAGAACGGGCTCGATGGAGAAGTCCATGGTGGATGTACTCTGGCAGGAGTTACAAACAGCTTTGGAAGTTGTATCTTGGTTATTGTATAGCAACAGTGTAACAACTGAGAGTTGTCGACCTGGCCAGACTCTGTTGCCTGAAACTGAAACACCACGTCATTGGTTGCTATGGCGGAGACACTTTGTTCCGAGCGGGTGCCTGAGGCTGCGGCACGTGTGACGATCAGCGGTGAAACGGGTCCACACCAAAACATTCCTCCAGCTTGTCCTCAACTCCCTTCCTCCTTCAATTCAACACCGAGGACCCAGAGACCTCAATTGACCATGAGCGAAGCAAAAAAGACCGTCGAGCTGACGGCCGACATCGACTTCATCGATACTCCGCCCGCCAAGCCCTCGCAATTCCAGACCGGCGACGACTGCGGAATCGAAGTCACCAAGGTGCGTTTGTCTGTCCTCTTCTCCAGCTGGTGACGCGCGTTGCTAAATTATCCCCTGCAAAGGCCGCCGCCATCAACAACCCGCCCTTGGCGGCTGATGGGCCTGGAAACGAGAGCTTCTCCAACTATGCCCTGGGAGGCGCGCTTGTTGGAGTCCCCGCTTTCCTGACCTGGTTCGTTGGCGGCGGGAAGAAGACCTTCCTCTTCTTTGCGCTTGTCTCTGTTCTTCCTGTCCTCGTGGCTTTCTGGACCTACGTCTCGACCTTCAGCCCGCGCACGAATGAGAAGGTCAAGCTGCCCGGCCGTCCGGTCGAGCACTACATCACGTTCAAGCGCGACGAGGACAAGGCGAAATGGCACGGCAAGAACAAGATCCCCATGCAGACTTTCGCTGAAATGTACCTGGATGGTCTTGTTGAGTTCAACGGCGACACTCTGGATGTCATGGAGTACCGCCACGACTGGGCGAACTTCTCCTTCACCTGGGACCTGTTTAAGTTCATTGTTGGCACTTTCTTCGTCGATGTCCTGTTTCACACCAAGGCGCAGGATGAGGAGCAGGTTCGTCCTAATTATGATAGCGGCAATGACCACTACGCTTGGTTCCTTGGTCCTCGCATGATCTATACCTCTGGTATCATCTCCGACCCTGAGAAGGAGGAGACGCTTGAGGAGATGCAGGATAACAAGATGGCCGTTGTTTGCGAGAAGATTGGCCTCAAGGAAGGCGAGACGATGCTTGATATTGGCTGCGGCTGGGGCACCCTCGCTCGCTTTGCTAGTCTGAACTACGGCGCCAAGGTTACCGGACTCACTATCGCTGAGAACCAGACTGCCTGGGGCAACGACGCGCTCCGCAAGGCTGGCATTCCCGAAGAGCAGAGCAAGATTGTCTGCATGGACTACCGTGATGCACCCCGCACCAAGTTTGACAAGATTACCCAGCTCGAGATGGGTGAGCATGTTGGTATCCGCCGCCTTACCGGTTTCTTCCGCCAGTGCTACGACATGCTCCAGGATGACGGCGCCATGTACGTCCAGCTCTCTGGTCTCCGACAGGCATGGCAGTACGAGGACTTTATCTGGGGTCTCTACCTGAACAAGTACATCTTCCGTGGTGCCGACGCCTCCACTCCTCTGTGGTACTACGTCAAGTGCCTGGAATCCGCCGGCTTCGAGGTCAAGGGGTACGTCACTCCCATTCTCTTCAAAATGGCAAACTGACGCTGACAATCGCAGAATCGACACCGTAGGCGTCCACTACAGCGGCACCCTTTGGAGATGGTACCGCAACTGGGTCGGCAACGTCGAGGCCATCAACGCCAAGTACGGTCCTCGCTGGTACAGGATCTGGGAGCTCTTCCTCGCCTGGTCGGTTATCGCTTCCCGCTAGGGTTCCGCTACCTGCTACCAGATGGTTGTTGTCAAGAACCTGAACTCGACTCACCGTATCAACGGTGTTGCGTCGCAGTTTGGCATCGCTGGGGCCCTTGCTGCTAGCCGTGCTGCGGGCAAGTCGCGTCTGCCTTAGATCAACCTTCAACCGCTGAAGTTGACGAACTGATGAACCCGCAGCTCGACCGCTCCTGAGCCGGCGAAACAAGTTATGAAGTTAGAAAGATTTAGCCCCGAGGCTGCCGAAAGTTTCCGAACTGTCGCGTCACGTCGTTTCTGTGACGGAGCGTCCGCGAAGGAAATGTGGCAACGAAGATGTTATGTATGATATGTTGTGATGTACGACACGATCAGGACCAAAAATATAGATAGAAATAAAATGGTGATATCAAGTTACCCAACCCGCGTCCCCAATCCCACGCGAGGATATTCCAGCCATGCATCCCACGCAGCACCCAGGTCCTCCTCGATCATGCCGAAGATATACCTCCCCGCCTCTCCGACCTGCCAGATATGGCGCCCGTGATGCAGCAACAGCGCGTAATACGCAAGGACAATCAACGCTTCCGGGTTCTTCCTCGCTAGTAAAGCCGTATACCTCGGCGGCACGAGAACATTCCAGAGGAAGAGCATCTGGAACCGCATATTCTCGTGCTCGCCCTTACCTGGTCCTGGTCCTAGTCCTGTGGAGAGCGCATCAAATCCCAGCTGGAGATACCGAATCGCCGCCAAACACGCCCCCTTCTCTCCATCATCTAGTGTCGGAGATTGCAGCACTAGAACCCGGAGTCCGTGGCATTCGGTCCCGCGCGGTCCGGCAGATGTGAACGCTTGGCTGCGGAGTAGAATTGATGATAATTCGCTCGACATGAGGTGCGTCCAGCCGGTCATCGCGACGGTGAAGACGCCGCGGTGGGTGGAGAGGCTTTGGACGTACCGCGACAGGAATGCGTCGATGCCGCCCGTACCTACACAAGAGTGCGCGACCGCGAGAGTCTCAGCCAGAAGATGGTGGCCCAGCACCACGGAGAAGAGACAGATAGCCACACAGTTCTCCTTGCTAACGTCGATCTTCTGCGCGTTGAACAGCGCGATCGCACGCGTTTGGAGAGCGGTCGCTTGGTGGCTGTAGTGTGGTCGTTTGTCGGGGTGCAGGTATGCCAGATGACAGGCTGAGAAGGCGAGGAGTTGGTGCAGCAGATATGGGGCCTTTAGTCCGGTTTTCAGTGCTTGGGATATAGTCCCCTGGTATGGCTCGACGCCGTCGCCTAGACTGAATATGTCGGATGCTGAGGGGGAGGTGAGGTGGATGAGGAGCTCGGCGTGCTGGATATTTATCGGGGCGTCTGCCGGTATGGCGTGCAGCTGGAGGACAGAGTCTGGCGTCGACTCGCTGACTGAAGAGCACGGGGTTTGGGGTCCATTGCCGGTGTTTGTCGGGGACGGTAGACTTGTGCAGCTGCCGGTGCTGGTGCTTTCGGTCGAGAAGCTGCATTCCCGGCTGGACATGCTACAGAGAAGACATCTGGGCCGGCGCTCGTCGCACTGGTACCGACCGCATCAGTAACTTCATTGGCTGATTTACAACGGATGCGAGCACCTTGACATGCCGTCTCTTGCTGCATCGACCGGTCCGTTAGTATACGCGACAACGGTGGACCTGACGAGGTAGGACTAGGCAGACGTACCACTCAACACACCCATCGCGGGATTTCTTATGACGACGTCGGATCATCGCAGTCTGATCAAACACGCGTATTACGTTAGATGCGAGCACCGGCCGGGCCTACCATAATATACCCCAGCCCAGGATCTTGGTCCAACTGCAGCCTGCAGCTGCTCCGCCCCATTCTTGCTTGGCACGATGCGCGCTATGCTCTCGACAGTTGGATTCGCTTAGCTAACACGCGTGTTCGGCTGATTCCGAATCTAAGTGTTGGATTGTGGCGGTTTGATTGGTTGTGTGGATATCTTCCTAGATCCTCCTATGCATATCCAGCAGGGCCCTGTTGGCAGGAGGACAGAACCCCCAATCTCCTGGAAACCAACCAACATAATTCGAATTGGAGTCCCTGTAGGCTGCAGCCGATACAAAGACAGACACAGACACAGCCGCTGACGCAAATTGAGTGAGACAGCCGGTATATAAGAAGCTTCTCCGTCACAGTAGCCACCATTTCCTCCGGACATCTGCTTCCTTCTGCTGCGGGCTTTCAATACCAGCATGGCAAACGGAGAGCCTGGTATGTCCATCCACATCACTTGCCATTGGACTTTGACTGACTTTCTTGCAGTTCTGTGGAGCCTCTACGTCTACGCCCCCAACAAGGGCGCGCCGATATTCTTCACCATCGCCTATGCCATCTCTGCAGCGGCGCATATCTGGCAGTGCTGGTACACTCTCCCCTTCGCCCTTCAGCTCTTATTGTCTTCTATCCGCTGACAATGTTAACAACAATAGTCGATACAAATCATGGCGGCTGCTCGGCCTCCACCCCCTCTGCGGCGTCCTCTTCACCCTCGGGTATGCGTTTCGCGAGTACGGAGCGTACAACTATCTATACGACGAAGAGGACAAGTTGGTCTTGATTATGTTTGTATTGAGTCAGGTGTTCATCTACATTTGCCCGTGAGTGACTGCCTCTCATCTACCATCCGCACCACCAACTGATCATCCGCAGCCCCCTCCTCGAACTCGCCACCTACCACGTCCTCGGCCGCATCTTCTACTACGTCCCCCATCTCGCCCCTCTCCCTCCACACCGCGTCTTGTCGACATTCGGTGCATTGATGGCGCTCGTCGAGATACTGAACGCCCTCGGCGTCTCGCTCTCGTCGAATCCGTCTTCTTCACAGAGCCAGCAAGGTCTAGGGAGCCGTTTGACGATCGCTGCGCTGGCGATGCAGCTAGGCGTTATACTTACCTTCGTGATACTCGCGGGGATATTCCACCGTCGATGCAGCAAAACCAAATTACGGACCACGGCCGTTGCGGTACCTCTTCGAACACTCTACGTCAGTATGGCTCTTATTCTCGTCCGGTGTATATACCGCCTCATCGAACATACGGGGTCTACGACAATCGACATCAATAACATGGACGTGCTACGATCCCTAACCCCCGTTCTCCGCTACGAGTGGTTCTTCTATGTCTTTGAGGCATCTCTCATGTTGCTGAACTCGGTGCTGTGGAATATTTGGCATCCTGGACGGTATCTGCCGCGGAGCTATCGGGTGCATATTGCCAGGGATGGGAGGGAGGTTGTGGCTGCGAAGAGGGCTGATGAGAGGGTGATGTGGCAGAAGGTGGTCTGCATGTTGAGTTTTGGGGTTCTGTATAGGAGGGAGAAGGGTGCTTGTGAGGGAATTTGCCTGGGGGAGGAATGAAGGCACAGGATTCGGCGGATTGTAGACTTAAACGGTCTGGAATAGTACACCATTGAACCTACTGCGTGCTATCTATACCCAACTTTGCAGTTCCATATATGTGTTCGCTCTCGAAGAAGGACCATACGCAACCTTTGATCACACCTGAGGCATGGACTTTCAGCGCAACTTAAGCTGCGGAAGGGGGTACGACCATGGTCTGGTCCTGTTTGGCCTGACATGTCCTTCAATCCAACTGTCAACAACCTACTGCTACCTAATCCTACGCTATTGTCCAAATCACAATCCAGTTATCCGAGCAATGAACCAAGAATCTAAACGATTGGACAACCGACAGGGTGCGTACAGACACCGCATCCGGGACCTGGTCTTCAACCACCATTGGCATAATCTCTATTTCCGGTGTAGTTTATAGTCGCGCCAGGCCAGCTACAACAGGCTCAGTGCATTTATGCCGGCCAAGTAAGCTTACTCCCCCATACTCTCGCCTCCAGTGCAAATGTGATGGAATCAACATCGATATAAGGACCGCCCATCTCGAGGGCAACATCAAGGCCGGAATTGGGGGGATATGGATGGACGGGCCGGTAGCCCTTACGTTGAAGCACACAACCGTGCATCGCCGGAATTTGGTGTGGAATATGCTTGACTGCTGGAAAGACATACGTGGAAATGCTAATGCCGTATTCAGGACATGCGGGTTTTGCTGTTGACAAAGGACGCCAACGCTGATGTTGCAAAATAGCAGAATCAGGAGCCAGAAAGGGCTCCTGCGAGACAATCAATGCTTTCCAAACTGCGAGAATACCTCCTAGCCAACGTACTAGCCAAGCTGGTCAATGTGACGCTCTGGAGCGCTGTTAGAGCCAAGGCCGGGGATATTGAAGCTGCTGATACCACCGCCCACAATCCCAACGCCGCCATTGACGCCGCCGTGACACGGCTGGAACTCACCAGTTCAGTCATGGGAAAGTGAATTGCTTAGCCGGCCAATGGCAACCCGGACCTCGCCTTGTGAAAGTCGGTACGCTCGCCTCGGCCATATGGGTTGCGGTTGGAGACGCAAATCAGCCCTGACTAGGGTACTGCCTCCAGGCCTCCCAAGGCATGCTCGACGTCTGAGTATCGTTTACACCTCTCGCTTCACCTATCCTCTCGGTCGCTATCCACCTTCCAAGCGATCCTTGAACTGTGCTCTCGCCTTCTCTTGAGGTAGCTGAAGTACCCGGGTTCCGACACGCTCCAAGATCCCGAGTAACGGCATGGACTCCACGCAGAGGACCACGAGCCTTTGGTCTGCTGTGATTCCGTGCGTTCTCGCAACTGAATGTCTGGCCGTCACATTACCGGGAATGAGTTGAGTCACGGCTTAAAGTCTGCCCACACAATGCATCGGAGACGAAGTCCGCAGCTGTCATATATAGGCCGGGATTATCAATCTTGGGCTCTGAACATCGGGGCATCTCCAGTGCGATAGCGCTACAACGACAACCAACAGTGATCCCTTGTCAGGCATCAAGAGGACAACAGCAAGGCCAACATGCCGGGACTCTGTCCCCGCAAAGAAACCGCACGGCGCCTTTCCATCCTCCACGACGACGAAGGGTTCCTCGAGAAGACGCAACGCCGCAACGCCACCAGTACCAGCGCGACGGCCTGTCCGAGACGGAACGGGAATGCGTCAATACTCTCTTTGCCTGCTACGAGGTCCAGATCCTCGCTGTTCAACGCGATGCCTGCGGGAGAAAACGAACAGGTGGTTCATGCGTTGAGGCAGGCTGGCAGAGCTCTGCAACGCTTGCCGCACACGCCTCTGTACCGCGGATACCGCTGTACGAGGGACAAAGGGCCCTGGTTTATGACGGGCTTTATGGTTGCTCGCTGCATTGCGGCAGGAGGATGCTGTGCGAGGGGGTGTCACTGTTGCGTGCAGCTTGGCGCCAGAGGGGAGAATGCTTGATTCGTTTTTTTGGGGGATCTAGAGTATATGCATGTTGTTTTCTTTGGTCAGTTGATTGCTTTTTGCTGGTCGCATATGTTCGTTGTCTGAGCTGTATTCCTTGCGCTAAGGTAGCCCTGGATGGTCTAGGAGTTGGATATGCAAGTCTAGTCGTTCAGCCGTGCTATTGGCAGCTGTTTGTTAGACCATCTCCACTGGCCTTTCATCACGAAGTGTCCAGCAGTGACTCTCGAAGTGCAGTTGATATGAGCTGAGAATGGCCGAGAACGAACAATGTGCATGGCCCTATTCCTCCTCCGGATTTGACCTTGCCCTGTGAAAGACTCGAGAGAAGCAAAGACCCAGGGGACTACCCTAAGCTCACATCAGCATTATTGCTCACTGGGTAACGCGAATGAGTTATTCGGGTAATGGCAAAACGACTGAAGGCTATCAAGAATAGGTATTCTGGACGTGGACGGGGTCTGCTTTGCACTGTTAGACAATGCCCCTTTTACTTGATGAACCGTTTACTTGCGACGGATGTAATACAGGCATAAACTGCCTCAATAAGGCTGTTATGGATCTAGGAGACAGACCAATGAGATTTCTGCACGATACTATTCGAGAAACAGATGCCTAATCAGTATTTCTTCGGATCGTCATATGATCACTTCTCCTCTATTCCAGGCGCTCTGCAGAACCAAGCTGAGCAAGCTGACAGCTGAGACTGAGACCTAGGCAGCTAGCTAAGACAGCACAAGCAATCATCCTCGCATATTAAGGAGTGGTGGGTCATCCTCTGTTCTATTTTTGTCTCGTCAGCTTCAGCACGGCTTCGCTCGGAACTCCGGGATATAGGTAGGTAAGCTTGTAGTTCTGCAGCCAGGGCGATGGCGATGGCGATGGCGACGCAATGCATCCAGGACGCCTAAACACTCCAGCTTGGTGCCCTGACTGGTAGACCTCGAGCATGTCTCACCCCGTGCATCACCCCGGCGAATGGATCGCGGAAGCCCGGATGATCGGCACTGGACTTGCCCTTGGGGCCACAGGCGCTGTGGGGGTGTATATTGAGCAGCAAATCAGACCATGTTTATGGACGGCGCTGAGATCATTGTCTCATCTCACTTGCTTTGCCTCAGACTCAGAGATTCAGGATGATGTTGCCTGGGGACGGGTATAAAGGGCTCGGACTCCCTACGTATACTTGGACTTTCAACAACAACGCAACAACAACAACAACAACAGCATCTTATTCAAACCCCATCTTTCTCTCTACATTGCCACATTCCCAGCATCAGTCTCAGTCTCAGTCTCAGTCTCAGTCTCCAAAATGAAATCCCTCACCCTCACAACCCTCACAGCCCTCACAACAACGCTAGTCCCAACCCTCGCCCAAAACGCCGGGCTCAACCTGCCATCCGGCCCAGAGCTAAAAGCAGGCAGCGATGTGATCGTGCAAGTTACGCGTCCTGTTCGTCTATCCCCTCCTCATCCCATCTCTTCTCTGAAACTCCATTAACAAGTCTTTGTAGAACTCCCTCACCGGCTCCACCGAACTCGCCGTCGCAATCGGGCTGCAGTCGTGCCCGAATAGCGAGTGCATTGAGGCCGATGAGACGCTCGGGACTGTCCTGTACCATGGCGCCTTCAACCCCGTGTACCATGAGTATTATCTGCCGCCGTATGAGAACTTTACGGTGAGTGTGCCGGAGGGGGTGAGTAAGGGGAAGGCGGTTGTGGGTGTTGCGCATGTGGCGCTTGTTGGGGTATGTTCCTTTTCTTTCTTTCTAGAGACATGGGGTGGATTGGATGGTGCTGACTTTGGTAGGCGTCGAACTGGCCGTTCCTGGAGGTTTTGAATAAGACTGTTACTATTGTCTAGGCGGATGAGTTTATAGTGTCGGATGTATTTGAGGTATCGGATGGATTGCTTGTGCATTGGCTTGTCTTGTGGATATTGATTCGGTATATAGAGTAATGAACAGTTTCTGCTTCCGGTGATGTGTTCGAGGTTTTATTCGGAGCTGAAGCTTCTCACCCAGTGCATGGTCTTGGTTGAACTACAGGAATATATGGAGTACGCATTCAGTCCACGTTGACAGCATACGGACAAAGTGCATTGGGAATGTGAGCTAACAACAGGCATGAATGAGTAGTGAGGGCTAACAGTCGTCCATCTATCAATATGTCTAGCAATACCACAACCAATCGCTATGGATAATGCATCCCCTGAGGCCTCTGATACGGCGTCCCTTCCGCCGGCTGTCCTTGTCCTCCTTCGCGCTGCATCTTGACAACCTCTTTGTCCGCCTGGATGAGCCCGCAAACCGGACAGCAGAGCGCACCAAGACAGTCCTCGACCATCGCTCCTTCAACACCATGTTTCTTCTTCATATCGCCCTCTTTCATGCCCAGTGCCGACTCGAGATGGGTTTCGGTGATGGCGTATCGCTGCCGCAGGTCGTTGCGTTTCTTCGCTTGGATGAGGAAGCCCGCGCCGAAGCAGTTCATGCCGAGCCAGATGAGGCACTGACCAACGGTTAGTATGCTTTCAGAGTGCAGAGCGAGTTGGCGACGAACGCGATCGTTGACGGGGCTGTAGTTTGTCAAGGATGGGTCGTCGAGGCGGGCTTGCGTTCGGCCGAACAGGATGCATGGGCAGCACCAGCCCATCAGACCTTCAAACCGGTTAGCGAGGCAGTCCAACTCAGCTGGAGGAGTAGACGCACAAGTGTCGACGGGAGTCAGAAAGTCGAAGAAGGAGTAGGACCACTTGCGCCCGGCACCAGCAGCGTAGGGAGCGTCGTTTGCCATAATGATTGAAGATATAACGATAAACCAAGAGGGAGATGGGAGATTATTAGGTTGGTCGGACGTCGTAGGTACGCAAGAATAAGTCAATGATAACGATGAGAATGCGCAGGAGTCTGAGGATCAGGAAGAAGCTGGAGAGAGAAAGGGAGACGAAAGAGACGGGCAGTGCGAACCCGTTGAGCAGGAAGGGCCCCTCGAGCCATGCACCTTCCCTCGACGATCACACTGGGCAGAAGGGCATGTTGAGAATGCTCTCCTTTCAAAATATAGACGGGCTTCTACGGCCTGCGGGCACTCAGCAACCATGGGCTTCGTGAGAGAGACACATAGACCGACCACATCCATGTTCAATGTAAGAGCGCTTGTCCAAACGTTGAAGGGATCAAGTCACCCAGGTTAGCACTGAGGATTTCACGTATCATCCATCTGCTATACGTGCTCGATATTCACCACAGCTCTGCTCCCAGGACAATGACATGGAGAGATCATACTTGATTTCATGCAGATACCCCCACACATGCATCATCGGAATGCTCCGATGCCGGATGTTGATCGTCAACTCCCCCACATCTGCCCCTCGGGGTCCATCGCCTGCCCAACTGCCGAACTCCTTATCTTGGCCTACAGCTGCTCCAACAGATTAGATACCAACGTCTCCAACTACCTTCATCTGTCGCCGAGGCTCTGTCCTCTTTGTTCCCCTGCGCGGTTGTCTCTTTGTCACCCGGACATACTGACTCTCACCACCATGACATCAACGAAACAATTCACGGTCGCCATCGTCGGCGGCGGGATGGGCGGGCTGTCCCTCGCCATTGGACTCCTCCGGCGGCAGATCCCAGTCAAGATCTACGAGGCTGCTGCCGAATTCAAGGAGGTTGGCCTGGGGTTGACGATCGGGCCGGCGGCGCACCGCGCCATGCCGCTCATCGATCCCAAAATCAGGGAAATTTACGATAACCTCATCACGACCCATGCGGACTCTCCGGGATACGAGAGATTCAAGGAGACCTGGTTCGAGATTGTGCGGGCGAGCGATGATGAGTTGGATGGAAAGCTGGTGCTTGATCTCAAGGCGAAGCCCAGCGGGCAGACGACGGTGCGCCGGGCGGATTTTCTGGATGCACTGGTGAAGCTGGTACCGGACGGAACTGCGCATTTTGGGAAACGACTCAGTACTTTGACTGAAACTGGGGAAGGCATGCAGATGCAGTTCGAAGATGGAACGTCCGCAACAGCAAGCGTGGTCATCGGCTGCGACGGGATCCATTCCAAGGTCAAGCAGTTCGTCCTAGGCCCGGACGAGTACGCCGCTACTCAACCGCGATACGGCGGAATGTACGGGTACCGCGCCGTCCTAGACATGGAGACGATGGTCAAGGCCGTTGGAGACCACCGGGCGAGAGTGTCCACCATGTATGTCGGCGACGGGGCATACGGCGTCACGTACCCCATCAAGCGGGCGCAGAAGGTCAACGTGGGAATCTACCCGTTGCAAGCGGAGTGGGATCAGGAGAGCTGGATACGGCCGGCTAGTAAAGAGGATATGAAGAATGACTTTCGGCATATGGGGCGGTTGATTAACAGCTTGATTGAGGTACGATCCTGCTTTATTAACATGAAATGCCAGCTAATACAGTGCAGTATATGCCAGACCCAACGCAGTGGGCACTCTACGAGCATCCGCATATATCAACGTATGCCCGTTCAAAGGTTGCCATACTCGGTGATGCAGCCCACGCCTCCACGCCCCATCAAGGTGCCGGTGCTGGACAAGCAATCGAAGACGCGCATGTCCTCGCCGAGCTACTCGGTGATCGTAGAGTCGTGACAGCAGATGATGTGATCGCAGCCTTCACAGCATATGACCAGGTTCGACGGCCACGCAGTCAGCGGGTGGTGAGCAGTAGCGCGGAGAATGCGCACCTTCTCTGTCTACGGTTACCCGGGGTAGGCAGCGACGAGGAGAAGTTCAAGACGACATTACAGGAGAAGCTGGCGTGGCTGTGGAATGAGGATGTACAGGAGCAGGCGGAGAGAGCGAGGAGGATCATGTCGGGGATGTTAGAGCAATGACAACAACGCAGTACTAAGCACCAAGTCAAACTGAAGGGTACCATGCAAAGCGCCTTGGTACTCGGTATGACCAGGCTGAGCCGTACAGAGCCTCCTCTCAGGATCTAGACCAAACCAAGCTGGTCGAACAGCCTGCCACCAATGTACATATAAAACAGGGCAACCTTCACACCCGAATCCTCAATCAACAACCCATATCCCACCTCTACTCTCCATACTCACCCCATGATTAACGCCACGGAAGGCCTGGCGTCGTACCCGAGCAGAAGATGCATTGGTAATCGTATCGGTTTCCACTTTGCCCGCAAGAAAATACCAATGAGATGGTCCTCTATTTCATTTTGCACGGGCAGCACGTGTGCACCCTGCAGACGCAGACTGGACTCGGGGACTTCCGTGAGAGCGTGGGGAATAGGATTCGGCAGTGGCCATGGCCTCGTCCGGATGATTGGCTGTTGCAATGGTACCTGCCTGCTTGGAGATCGTGTGTGGGGATGTCTACTGGTGAAGGCCAGCTGATGTTCCCGACATCCGCGAGGAGTTATGGGATAGGACTGAGAGATTGGTTGTTTGTTTGAAGTGATAAGGAAAGAATGATATCCATCTCTTCGTGTACGGTACGAGGTAGGGCTTACTACATCACTAACCCTATACAACAGTAACAACAACGCGATCGTATCTGGTCAACGGGAACTCCCCATCGTCTGTCCCCTGGAGCACAATCGAAATCGTGTCTCCCTCCTCCGCGTCTTCAGGGATAGTCATTCTCGCCCCGTGATTCTCCAGCTCTGTGATGGCCACAGAGCGCGGGTACGTCCCTTCCTCGAGATACTGCCACCAGCTTGTCTGGACAGTGTCATTGTCGGGATCATTGACCTCGGCCGCGAGATCAATCGTCGTCCCAGCTTTCCCCTGCACACTAGTCTCATTGGCGATCTGCACGGTCGGCGCGTGGTTTGCGCGCGTGTAGTTCGCCTCAAGCGTCCACTGCATCCGTGCCGCGAAGTCGTTTTGGACCGGTGCGATCCACCGTGTATACGTGTATCCCGCGTCTTCAGAACCGGTGGAGTTTTTCTCGCTGTCGACGAGGACCCAGAGGTCTGGCGAGCTGCTGTTCTGCTTGGCGCGGCCGCCCCAGCTGCCGAGGGTTGGGTTGGACGGGTCCTGCAAGCCGGTGTTGAGGATCGGGTTGAAGACGACGTTGTCCCCTTCAGAGAGGAAGGCGTAGGGTTCGAGTGGCTGGCAGGTTTGCTTGGAGTTCTCGTACCAGCTCAGGTTGCCGAAGACGTCGAGGGCGTCGCCGGGCATGCGCTGGTTGTCGAGCCAGGAGCGGTAGAGGCTGCCGTAAGGGCCTTTTTGGATGTTGGCTTTTGTCCAGTTGCCTGTGAAGTAGACGTTTTCTTTCCCGCCGCGAACGTTACCTTGGCCCCTTTCGCAGTTGTAGGCCCACAGCTTGTATGCCGTGCTGAAGTCTTCGACTCGGAGGGCAGGCCAGTTGGGCGCGATGTAGTCGGCGTAGGTGGTGTCCTGGAAACCGCTGGCCAGGATGACGGCCTTGCGGGAGATGGCTGCCTTGGTGTTGTTCCACCCTCCGGTGCTGGAGTGCTCGTCTTCGATAGACTTGAGAGCACGCGCAATGACATTGGTGCCGCCCCAGGCTTGAAGGTACAGTGTTCTGTCGTCGTCATCGAGCAGCAGGTCGCGGATAAAATCAGAGCCCTCGGTATCCTTCTCCATCTCGCCCTCGAAGTCGACATTCCCAATTTTGACGATGGATAACAGCTCATCTGGAGTGGGGTAGAACGGGTCGTGGACGTTCAGGTTCGGCCAGACCTCGGCGTATGCCTTGAGGACGATGTCCTGCACCGTGCGCGTACCGGTCCACCGCCAGTTCCACTGCGGCGTGTCGTACTCGCGGTCTTCGAGGAAGAACTTGGTCCCGTTTCCATCGCCCGCCCAGTGGAAGCGGCTGGATGTGTAGATGATGCCTTGGGTGTCCAGCTCGTTGGTGTAGAGCAGGTAGCGGATGAGCGAGGCGAGGTCGTCTTGTTCGAGGTCTGTTGTGACGACTGTTCGGGGCATCGAGGAGCGGTCGGGGTAGGATTGGTAGGCCGTGGCGCTGACCAGCAGGCCGAGGGCGCAAAGTGAAGAAGAGAGAACGCGCATTATAGGTGAGTCAGATGCCCTTGGAAGCCTTTGAAGTTGATTGCAAGTCAATTGTAAAGCTGGGGCCAACTCATTCGTCTTATAGTGTCGGCGACCGGCCACAACAGCGGCATATGTAAGGGTTAAAGTTGCCTAAAGCGCGGCCATTGTGCACAGTGCTTGGAAGACAGCATGGCGAGCACTTGGTCCACCAAAAGTCGTCATAGGACGGGGTTCTGGCCCGTACGCTTCCCCAGGCTCCAAGCATGGCCGCACCTGCGGGGAACCCTGTTAGACAAACGTGGGGAGATCAGAACGCCGGCTCAGGGACTCGGAGGCAGGCGCTTGCGATTTCCTCCACAAGACGGACAAATACCGGCGTAGTCCGTGCCCTGGTGACGCCCAGCGGCTAAACGGCCTATTTGGTAAAGAAGACCTGTTTTAGAGCGATTTGCCGGGGCCCCACGGGGAAGCTGCAGCCGACGTCACTGCCCTAACCCCGCCGGAGTTCCCCTTCTTGGGTGCAATATATACTCCAGTACTGCTCCTCCGTATCGGACGAATCGGACAGTATATCACCTTCTTGTTGTACATCAACGGCCAGGGTCTGTCTTGTGCCTTTCGTCTTGAACCAGCCACTTTGGCTGCTCTGATACGTCATCTTGACTAAGTAGATTTCCTGGTGTGTGGGTGTTGATTTCGATAAAACTATCCCCTGGTCTCGAAGGACGCAATGGTCCTAGTCCGAATCCCGACTCCGTACAACTAGGGTGGTATGTTCTAAAGTGTCACGGGCATACATCAGGTATTTGCCCATCTTATTCAACTACGCAATTGAGAGCATTCGCTCAATAGCCCTCCGTCATGTTCGATGTAACCGTGCCTGAACCAGACCGCGCCAGCTCAAGCCTCACGCACAGACTGTACAGCCATGGTTCGGATGCGGAAGTCAACTCTCGTCTTGGAATGCGTGTCCTTTGTGTGTCAATGCAACCAAGTCTTTGTCGACGCCAGAGTAACCCACCACGATCTGTCCCGAAACGGCAGTGGACAATGAAACATCCTCAATAAGCTTACCTCAATAAGATCTCAATAAGCTTGCTCTAAGCCCTCAATAAGCGCCAATAATCATGTCTTTGCCCTTGTGCAACTATGCATAATGAACACTCCATGTGTAGTCTCATGTGGATGATGATGTGTCAGCTCTTTCATTGAAGTATAGCATCTGACTGCAACGTCGACGATGGGATGTCGCATGGTAGGAAGGGGTTCAAGAAAGATGTGTATAAGTAAAAGCAATCCACCCAGCAGGATCTGGGGTTCTTTCTCATCGTATTTTACTTTACCATCTTTACCAGAAACTGGCTTTCTACAGCTTACTTACAAACTGACAACATGAAGCTCACAGCTCTCCTTACTCTCTTCTCGGCCATCTGCACGGCGGTACGTCCCTGCTCCCCCCCTCCCTCCCCAGTCCATGAACGTATCTAACACCCCCAGACCGCCAGCACAATCGGCACCCGCGCATTCAAGGGCCACACCCCGATCTTCCCAATCCCGGGCCTCGAAGACCGCGCCTTCAAGGGCCACAACCCCATCTATCCAATCCCGGGTCTCCAAATCCGCGCGTCCCCCAACGAAACCGTCCCCGCCACCGGATCCCTCGAGGAGATCCGCGCCCGCGCCCTCGAGATCAATCCCAACTGGGACGAGGAGTACTATGGCCCCGCGCAGAAGGCTGTGGATGAGCGCTTTATGATGCATGGTTCTGACGACGACTCTGATGACGATTCTGACACGGATGCTGAGTCTGACGCTGATGCTGAGTCTGGCACCCACCTCTCCAAGCGCCTAGCGAAAGACTTCGACGCCGAGGGCATCTACTGCACGCGCGAGAAGAAAGTCGACTGGATCAATGCGCGGCGCGAGGCAATCCGGCTTGTCCTGCTGGACGGGGCGCCGAGGCTTGGTGCGGGCCCGGGCAAGTGTAGCCGGGTCGGATGCACGGCCGGGAGTGCGATTGTTTGGTGTAATGATGTGAGTCCAACCTTCCTTTTTATTATGGTCCTGTGTAGTGGCTTGTTGCTAATGATGGTACAGAACAGGGAGGTCCTCAAGCTGAAGAGCTGGGATGAGGTTGCGGATGGGGCGTGGGCGGTTATTGGCAAGTGTCGCTGGAGCGAGAAGGGGGAGGGCTTTTATGTGTCTGGCCAGGCGCGCCATAAGAATAACTGGAATGTTATTGTGAGGTCGGAGAAGTGTTAGGCGGGGTTTCTTCTCCTGTCTTCCTGGTGCCCGTGCCTTTGGACCCTGTTCCCACTGATGTGGTTGATGACATGATTGCCCTGAATATCGATTCCTGCTGAGGGCTAGGCCCATAGCACTACTGTCTCTTCTTGATACACTCTTTTAACTTATGATAGCAATAAATAAGAAACTAGTACCCTATATACTAGATCAATAAGCTTCCTTTGTATAAATTCATCCTAAGTAGAACCACAAACCCGCCCAATCTCCCTCCCCATCCGATAATGCGTCCCCTCCTCCATAACATGCCTAAAATCCAACGCCCCCTCAAAAGCCAAAACAACATCCGACCCCCCAAACTGGAAATACCCCAGCTCTTCCCCCTTATGCAAGTTCACCCCCACCCCCGCTGTAAGAACAACAGACGACACAACCGCCATGCCAACCGGCAGCACGCCAACCAGCCCGAACCCCGTATCAATAACAACCAGCCCCCGAGTCTGAGAGATATGATAGCCCAGTTCATTGGGGACGGTGAGCTCAGTCTTCCCATCCCCATTCCCATCACTGCCTGTAGGTTTAGCGTTCACAGCCATACAATTCCCCCCCTGAATAACCCTCGCCTCAACAACCCTCCCAGGCACAGGCGCATGCACACGGTGATAGTCATTCACGTCCAGAAACCCATGGAGCCAGACTCCACCACCAAAGCGCTCTTTATACGGTGAGCCTTCCAGCATCGCGCCAATCGCCCACGTCACCCCCTTCGTTGTCACTGTGGAATCCGCCGAAACGCGATGGCTCTCCTTGAACGAGAAATCAGCCGGGCTGGTAATCACGCTGGAATCGCCGATGGACGCAATTGGTCGAGAACCTGGTTTTACGTGCCGCGCGAAGAACGCGTTGAATGTTTTCCACCCGCTGTGTGGTTCGATGTACTCGTCCATGTGGTAGGAGGGGTTCGAGCGGAATGTGTCAATTGCTCCTGCGGAGGCTGGGGAGTCCATGAATTTGCCGAGTTGCGTGCTAAAGCGGAGCATCCAGGTTGATAGCCATGTTAGTTTTGAACTCTCGGGGTGATTGCAGGTGATCACGGTGCGCAGGGTTGGTCGGATTGGGCTCTGATACTGGATTACGGACGGCTGGTCGAGGATGAACCACATCGTCGTTATCCGGAAGAGGAGCTCTTTGGGTCGGACGGCCTCGGTGGGTATCCAGGTGAGCAGGCTGTTGATGAAATGGAGGTAGTCATCGAGTGTTTGGATTTCCTCCATTCCCGTGACGTTAAAGGATTGTGCGGTGCGGACTGCGGCTTCGAAATCGTGCTTTCGAGCGGAGGAGGAGAGGATCCATATCTCCAGCGCCCTGACTATAGCCTCGTAGTTTGCCTTGGCCTGCGGCAGGGGTTGGGCTTTGAGCTTCTGCGACTCGGCATATGGATCTATCCCCGGTCGTCCGGGTAGGGGCGCGAAGGCAAGTAAGGCGCCGGTCATGGTAGACCTAACTGTATAGCACGTAAGATAGGGGACTAGAATGGAGAAGATGTGATCCACTTGCTTTCCTTCCTAAATGCCGATGCCGATGTCTGCAACCTAAATACTTATACTGCCTGTTTGGCAGTGGGTAGATCTAGTGTGTGACACGCCTCGGGGGCCGAGGGTCGATCTGGCTGGCTGAACACTTGGTAGGCTGCATCACGATTCGCTGGCTTTTGGTATCGGGCATGCCGAAGGCTATATTGCTTTTGTCAGGTGTGCTTTGCGTCCTGCGGTGTAAAAATAACTCCGTCCGGCCTATCGGGTCGAGGTTGAAGAGAGATCTTGGTTGTCGTCAGATTAAGAAGTGAAGTTGTACAAGGCAACAATTCGGTGCCTCGGTACCTAAGGCAGCAGCCGTCACCTGATCGGATCGCTGACTAATCTCCCAGCACTTCGAAATAAACACACGACCAAGTTGCGTTTACTTTCTTCTCCTCAATGCTCTGCCCACCCTGCTAACACTTTCTCTACGACCTCACACCCCTTATGATGGGGCTCTTCTCACTACTCCGTTGCTTCATGCCCGATTTTACCTGGCCAGACAACGTCTCCCGTACAGTCACTGGCCAAATCCCCGAAACACCCCGTGCGACGCACCCTCAGGTCCGCCGGTTTTGGGGCATTTTCCATAAATATCTGCGGCGGTTCTCTCGATCCTACTGCGGCTGGGTTGGGGCTACCTACGATAATCAAATTGCCCAGCTCCCATTTGGGCTGATCCTGAAGTGGTCGGATGGTACTCGGCTGGAAGAAGTCTTGACGATGCAGGTTGCGAGGAGGGCAGGGCTCCCCGTGCCGAGGGTGATCTGCTACGGAGAGCATCCGGACAGTCCGCATGCTCCAGTCTCGATTCTGATGACTCGCATCCCCGGCGATGAGCTAGGCAGGGTTTACGAGACGCTCAGCGACGCGGAACGGAATGCAATCCAGCTGCAGCTGAAGGGCTATTTGGAAGCGATGCGGAGGTGGGAGAGCCCGTGGGGGAAGAACAGGGTTTGCTCTCTGTTGGGCACGGCTATCAGGAGTGTCCGTGTCCCTAATCATCTCGCTGGCCCTTTCGAGTCGGAACACGAGTTCAACGAGTACCTCCTGAGACCGGCTTGGTCGGGCGGATTCCCATCCAAAGCAGAATACAACGATGCGCTTGACCGTGCTAAGAAAATGGATTCGATGTCTCACCAAATTGTGTTTACGCATGGCGATCTCAAACACCACAACATCCTTGTGCGAAATGGGCAGGTTACAGGATTTCTGGACTGGGAGTCTGCAGGCTGGTGCCCTGAGTATTGGGACTTTACCACAGCACTCCGGTTCACTCGGGAAGATTTCTGGTGGTACAACTTTGTGATAGGGCTTGGGGGTGATCAGTACTTGGCAGAACTGGGTTGTGAGCGTGCATTGACATCTTTAACAAGCACTTCGTACTACTGGTGACATGGATTGGCAAAAGGATGAAGGCCTCAGCTCAGTAAGTCCTTAACCCTTACTGCTCCTAGCTGGTTCATGGTTTTCTCCATCCCATTCACAATTTACTAAACATCCCCCCCATCTCCCCTTCCCACGGCATCCTCGTCACCCCAGCCACAAACTTCCCCTGCTTAGGCCTCCACATCGGCCAGAACCTTAACGGCTGCATCTTCTCCTCCATATCCCTCCACTCCTCATCCGCATCTTTTCTGGCTGGCTGCACAGAAACCTTCCGATAGGGAATAAACCCATGGCGCATGAAGATCGGCACCCCCATCGCCGTCACGGCTTCCATGTACGCCTCGAGCCCCAGCGCGTCGGCCCGCCGGCACTCTTCTTCTAGCAGGAGGTCGGCGATCCCGTGCCGGCGGTAGTCGGGGTGCACGAAGCCGATGTACGAGTCTGGTTTTGGATGTGAGTCAAAGCCAGGTTAGGTGGGTGGAACGTACACAGATGAGCCCGCTGCATGAATTTCTGACGCGGCGAGTTGAAGAGCGCGAGGCACGCGTCGATGTACGCTCGTTTACTGCCGGATGGATACCACAGGGCCGAGTCAGACGCAGTTTTGGGCTTTGCGAAAGGATTTGTTCGGTGGATTTTGATGAGCAGTCCGCCGACGATTTTGTTGTTGTTCTGCGTGTCGATCGCCTTGAGCCAGATGCTGTCTGGGTCTGAGCGGACCCATTGTCGGTGCAGCTCGATGAGGCTTTTTAGGGCTTGCTCTTTTTCTTCTGGGGATTCGTCGCCGAAGATAGGGTAGAAGAAGCGGAAGATGGATTGGTGGGGGTTGTTGAAGCTCTCGACTTCGCAGGCGATGAGAGCTTCAAACTCTGGGCTGGAGAGGTCGACTTGGTGGATTTGGAAGCGCATGTTGTTATGAGTGTCTATAGTCTTTTGATTGTTGCTAGGGCTGGGTTGTTTCAATGCCCACTGGGTCCTCCGTTCCGATGACGGGTTTCTCCCCTTTTATGGCCCCATGATCCCTGCTGTTACTGGTGAGATTAGTGTTTCCAAGATCCTCTACTCAGTCTGTTAGACCAAGGGATGACCATGTCAACACTCCAATCAGTCATACGAGCTGCAGGTGTGCAGCTGCGCCTCCTTGCTTGGGGCACCCTCGTCCTATCCCAGGACGCTTGGAAATCCCACCCTCGAGCTAACTGGACGCTCAGTCTCTGTCAGCTCGCCATGACCTTTCCAGCGGGCTTGTCTGCATGCTTGTATTCAATTGTGCTACCCAACGTTAACCTGACCGTTCCTTCTGTGCTACGGAGTACCCCGCCAATCGCTGTCTGGGCGTTGAACCAGCTAGCCACAGCCATTTAGAAATCTCCATCTCGGCCTTCTCAGGCTGAGTACGAGGAAACGTACTTGGCCGGCATTGATAATATTGCCTTCCAGATCCAAGTGAGATTCGAACGGGGTCCCATGAAAGATAGGGCTATGAAGCCCGACGGGCTTTGACAGGCTGAATATATATTTCTGCACCCATCCGAACCGTGCTATCTCCGAGACTCTTCCGATCTTTTGAGTGGATAGACAAGGAGACCACCTGCAATGGCTGCCTTGGAGGATCTAACATGTAGCAGATGTCGTATCAGAATTATCCAAGCCGCCTAGTGATAGGTAATGTCATGATAGGACCGTGGCCGAGGCTCGTCGCTCCCCAGCTTATCCCCGAGCCCCGACGCATCAGCCCACCACCTCAACGACAATGACGTTGGCACTGTCATCATCCCATATGATATAAAGGCCACAATCTCAGTTCCCATTGCATGATCCCTGAGACCTCATCCCCATCCCCACCATGCCGCACTACCACCCCCTAACAGCTCTAACCACCAAAACAACCGATCTCCTCGCGAGATCCAACATCCTAACCTATCTACGCCCACAACCCTACAACCGCGGAAATCTCCTCCGCCTCGCCCTCAACACAGCCCTCATCGCCCTAATACTCCCAGCCGCCTACCGCGACTATGAGGCGTACCTCTCTCTCGGACCCGGCGGACCACCATATAACGTCCTCGGCTGGCTGACAGTCAGGCTCTTCTTCAACCCGTTCAAGCGCGAGATGTTCGGGACAAGAATCTACGATGCAAAGATCGGGAATGGCCACAGTGGGTTTCTAGCTGATGAGGAGGTGCCCGCGCGCAAAGGCGAGCGTCCGGCCATGGGACCCTTCGCCGCGCCGCAGAGGCAGATTAACCAGGTTCCTAGCAAAGAGATGCAGGAGGTACGGACGCAGTTCTCATGCAGTCGTAGCCTGAGAATTGCCGGATGCTGACGCGGATAGAAATTCATGGCGACCTACGCCTCTTTCCTTGATCGCAACGCCCGCCTCCTCGACCGCGTCCCCTCGATCCTGGAGAAATACACCGATGCCGCGCACGTGGCCTCATCTATCCCCCTAACCCCCGTCGCAAGGCAGCTGAAGCGCGAAATCTGCCATGTCCACGGGACGAGCGATCACAGCGTACATGTTACGCTTGCGCCGGCGGACTGTGCGCCTTCCAACCCTTCCCGTTCCTATCGTGGTTTCGGAGCGTTGCTAACTGGAGCAGGTAAACGCGTCATTGACGCGGGCTGGGGCCAGCGGTTTCCGCTTGCGGGGTCGAGTTTGTTGAGGAATGTTACGTTTGGGAGGCTCGGGAGCCTGCCCGAGGAGTTTGTGTTTGTTTATGCGCCGCGTGATGAGGGGGAGATTGAGGTTGTGATGGGGATTGTTAGGGCGGGTGTAAAGTATGTTGCTGGGGTGGAGGAGGTACTGTGACGGTACTGGTGTTGAGAAGGGAAGGGGAATTGATGGTTGAAGGGTCCTGATGAGATGGGTCCGGATGTTTAGAGATCTCTCCCCCCCCACTGTATGATAGAAACAGTCAGGATGGGCGCAATAAGACCTAATAGACTCTACTCTCCAGCGTCGAAGCCCCGTTCAACTTGCGAGTTCAGTTAAGTAAGCATGATCTTAGATCCAGGCCGGCGATATTTCGACGCAGCGATAAGGATGAAATCATATCCTTTCTCGGGATAAAGAATCCGCTTCCAAATTGTGTCATTTTGTTTGTTTATGTACAAGGTCGCACTATTTTCCAAGGGTGTCGCCCAGCTCCGCAGCGCGAGACGTAGCCGCCTTGACAGCCTTGTCGACGACCTGGTCGAAGTTCTGCGCGTTGAAGCTCTCCAGCGCGGCATGCGTCGTTCCGTTCGGGCTGGTGACGTTCTTGCGCAGCTGTGCAGGGCTGTCGGAAGACTCCGTAAGCATCTTGCCGGCGCCGAGGCAGGTCTGCGCCGCAAGGCGGGTGGCTTGCTCGGCGGGCAGACCGAGGGCGGTTGCACTGGCGATCAGGTGCTCGACCATCGCGAAGAAGTATGCAGGGCCGGAGCCTGGGTTGTTAGTCTGGAAATAGATTGGGCCGAGGAAGCGTACCAGAAAGACCAGTCACGACATCGAGCAGCTCCTCCTTGTCAACCCACTCGGCCGCCTTGCTGACGCTGCCGAGAACGGCATTGACGAGCTCCTTCTCCTCTGCGGTGACGTCCTCGCTGGCGAACAGGCCCGAGGCGCCCTCACCGACAAGGGCAGGGGTGTTGGGCATGACGCGAACGAGGTGGGCGGTTCGACCGTCAGACGTCTTCAGCCACTGCTGCAAGCTTCCGAGCGTGATGCCGGCGGCGATGCTGACGACAACCGGCAGGGTTTCCCGCTTGGACCAGGCATCAGCAAGCTCCTGGCACACGGCCTTGGTGACTTGCGGCTTGACGGCGATAATCACGAGGTCGGCGTTGCCGCCGGCTTCGACGTTGGACGTGGTGGTGTTGGCGCCAAGCTCGGCGATCTTGTTGCGGTTGACGTCCCATGGCTCGGAGACGGTGATGTTCTGCTTGTCGACGCCCCGGTTGAGGAGACCGCCGATGATGGCCGAGGCCATGTTCCCGCCGCCGATGAAGGCGAGCTTGCTGGATTGGAGGGAGGGCATTGCGAGAGTGTTAGAGGTGTAATTAGGTAACCAATTGAAGAGCAGGAAATGTCAGAAAGTTGATCTTCGCTGAGGACGCGGGGTAGTCTTCGAGAAGTGTTTTGGAGATGAAATGGTGGGGCTCGGAGTCCGGCCCGATCACGTGCAGCAAAAGTGGCCTGGTAAATCAGGTGTCGTTATCCGGGTCAAGGCATCAAGGCAGCGACCCCGAGTATGGCCGTCGTCAGCACCATAAAATTACCTGGATACGAGTCTGGACTGGGCTTATTTGTCAATCAAAAGTACAACACAGATCCCCTCACTGGATCCGAGTATTACTTGTCCAAGACCAGGATTGGCCTGTCACCCGGACTGCCATCTCCACCGCAGCCCTGGGTGCAATCCGGAGTATCTCTGGCAGCATTTCAGACCAGTAGAAAGCCAGCCATTTCATCACATGTAGTGTCCCCCGCTCCAAGACCGGGGACCCCGTCCCTCTCGCTGACAGCGTTGCGGGGGTGTTAGCCCGTACAGAGTGCGGGGTCGTTTGCTTGCCACTGGATTGGTAAGATTCTGGTACTGGATTTTTGGAATGCGAGCCAGATTATGAACTTGTCCTTAGTAATGGGGAAGCTGGCCAATTGGACTTAGTAAGGAGGCAGGGGCTGTGTAATGTTGTACATTACCAATGATTCATGACCGGCCAACACTACAAAGTCTCGAGGGGTGTTGTTTTGTCATACCGAGCCTACTTAACACCCCCGTGCCTCCTTCCCTTCCCCTCCTCATCACCCTTCTCTCATCTTCTTCATCAACAACTTCATCATCTTCATCATTTTCATCACTTCCATCATCCTCTCATCCAGCGATTGACTACAGCACCAAATGGGCTCCAACCAGTGCCCCTACAGCCGCCAGAACGCCAACATTGGCGGCGGCGGCCAGCGCAACAAGGACTGGTGGCCGGACGACCTCAAGCTCAACATCCTCCGCCAGCACACCTCCGTCACCAACCCCTACGACAAAGACTTCGACTATGCCGCAGCCTTCAACAGTCTCGACTACTACGGCCTCAAGCGCGATCTTGAAGCCTTGATGACCGACTCCCAGGACTGGTGGCCGGCCGACTTTGGTCACTACGGCGGACTTTTTATCCGCATGGCCTGGCACAGCGCCGGAACCTACCGCGTTTTCGACGGCCGCGGCGGTGGTGGCCAGGGCCAGCAACGCTTCGCTCCCCTCAACAGCTGGCCTGATAACGTGAGTCTGGACAAGGCTCGTCGCCTGCTGTGGCCCATCAAGCAGAAATACGGCAGCAAGATCTCCTGGGCCGATCTCCTCATCCTCACCGGCAATGTCGCCCTCGAGTCGATGGGCTTCAAGACGTTTGGTTTCGCTGGTGGACGCTCTGATACCTGGGAAGCGGACGAGTCGGTCTTCTGGGGAGGCGAGAAGGAATGGCTGGGCAACGACATCCGCTACTTGAGCGGCGAGCTTGATAACCCTCTTGCGGCATCGCACATGGGTCTGATCTACGTCAACCCCGAAGGCCCTAACGGAAACCCCGACCCCGTCCTCGCTGCCAAAGATATCCGCATCACTTTCGGTCGAATGGCGATGAACGATGAGGAGACGGTTGCCCTCATCGCTGGTGGACACTCATTTGGAAAGACACACGGCGCGGGCCCTGCCACCAACGTGGGCAAGGAACCTCACGGCTCTGGAATTGAGCTTCAAGGCCTGGGCTGGAAGAGCGGCTTCGAGTCCGGTACCGGCCGTCATGCGATTACCAGTGGTCTGGAGGTCATCTGGACCAAGACCCCTACTAAGTTTAGCAACCAGTTCTTCGAGTACCTGTTCAAGTACGACTGGGAGCTCACCAAGAGCCCTGCTGGCGCGAACCAGTATATCGCGAAAGATGTCGAGCCTTTTATCCCCGATGCGTTCGATCCGAACGTCAAGCACAAGCCTCGCATGCTGACGACTGATCTTTCGCTTCGATACGACCCAGAGTACGAGAAGATCTCTCGTCGCTTCCTCGAGAATCCGGACCAGTTTGCCGACGCTTTTGCACGCGCCTGGTTCAAGCTCACCCACCGCGATGTCGGTCCTCGCGTCCTCTACCAAGGACCCGAGGTGCCGTCTGAAGTCCTCATCTGGCAGGACCCAGTTCCCACCCTCGACCACCCCGTCGTTGACAATGACGACATTGCCTCCTTGAAGAAGGCCATCCTTGCCAGCGGCATTGACCACACCGATCTCATCTCCACAGCGTGGGCGTCGGCGGCGTCATTCCGTGGCAGCGACAAGCGCGGTGGTGCCAACGGCGCTCGCATCCGCCTGTACCCACAGAAGGACTGGGAAGTCAACAAGCAACCGTGGTTGGACAGCACTTTGAAGGCGTTGGAGAAGATCCAGAAGCAGTTCAACGACGCCCAGTCGACCGACAAGCGCGTATCAATCGCCGATTTGATTGTGCTGGCTGGAGCTGCTGGCTTGGAGAAAGCGGCTCGCGATGCTGGCCATGACATTTCCGTCGCTTTCACCCCCGGCCGCACCGACGCGTCTCAAGAGCAGACAGATGTCGACTCGTTCAAGAACCTGGAGCCCATCGCCGACGGGTTCCGCAACTTCGGCCGCGGCACCCCCCGCGTCCGCACCGAGGACTTCCTCATCGACAAGGCGCAACTGCTCACCCTATCTGCCCCCGAGCTCACCGTCCTCATCGGCGGTCTCCGCGTGCTAAACAACAACTACGACCGCTCCAACCTCGGCGTCTTCACCAAGCGTCCCGGCCAACTCACCAACGACTTTTTCGTCAACCTGCTCGATATGGCTGTGCAGTGGAAGCCAGCAGACGAGAGCAACGAGATCTTCATCGGCGCCGACCGCAAGTCGGGTCAGGAGAAGTGGAAGGCTTCCCGCGCCGACCTAGTCTTTGGCTCCCATGCGGAATTGCGTGCGTTGACTGAGGTTTACGGTAGCTCAGATGGAGAGGCCAAGTTTGTCAAGGACTTTGTTGCGGCGTGGGAGAAGGTGTCGAATCTCGATCGGTTTGATCTCAGGAGTAAGGGTGTTGCGCAGCGCGTTGAGTCTCGTCTGTAGGTTGTAGGTTGTAGGTTGGTAGTCTAGGTTGGTAGTCTGGCACTGCGAACTGGAATTGAAATACCTTGTTGTACTTAAGCACAACTTGCACTTGCTACTCAGTTGAATGATGAATGAAATTGCTCTCATTGAAATTGCTCTTATCTTACCCCAAATATTGAAGATATTTTGGTTCATGCTGGGTCTGTTCCCCTGTTGATACGTTAGGGCATATGCCAGACAGGCAGAACGGAAGGAGAAGGCGAAAATTCGGGTGGCGGTTCGATGGTAGGGTTGAAGTCAGGCAGGTGCCAGGGCCTTTACGCCTTTATATGTAGCTACCATCGCACATTTACTCGGAATGTTCTTCTTAACTGTGATCACCGCTACAAGTGCACCTGGCCCATCAATCTCAGGCATACCCATTGCTTCACCACAAAATTCAGATATATTCAAAGCTAGAGCGACACTGACCTACATGGTCTCCTAAGTGGCCCTCCTGCTTTATCTACACAACCGGTCGCAGGATGATAGACGATACTGCCATCGTGCACAAGGATCCCGCGATTGCCCAACATGCCGGGTTGTCTGTCCCTCATTGCATGGTACTTCGTTCACACCCACGGCGCCCACCCACCACCGGCCGGTGCTGGTGCCGAGCGACCAGACCCGAAGCCCCCAGAAATCTGGGAGCCCTGGTCATATCCACCGGGAGCTCCGCTGGAGCCCCCAGGAGCGGCGGCGCTCGGGGAGTCGGTGGGGCTGGTGCTAGACTTCTTGCTATTGCCACCATAGCCCCAAGAAATACTTACACTTAGAGAGTCGGTCGGGGTCGAGTCCTGGGCGAGGCCGCTGGAGCTGGAGCCCGACGACCCCGTGCCCACGCTGGTGTCGCCAAATAGCCAACGCCAGCTCCATCCGGATCCAATATCAGATCCGGGGCTGGTGGATGGGCCATCGGTGGAGGACGTGGCGGATGAGGAGGCGTAGGTCCTGGAGCCAGTGGATGATGACGAGGAGCTGAGGTCGATGTGAAGGGGCGTTCCCTCGGCGATGGAGTCGTCGGCGGGGCATTGGAGATAGATTGCTTAAAGGGGGATATCAGTCTCGGTGCGATATACAAGAAGAGGGGGACATACCAGCTGCATAGTAAGCGTACGAGTCTGCGTTATTCAGCGCTTTCTCTTTATCCTGCAGCGCCTGCACCTCCTCATACCCATAGACTAGGTCCTCCGTGCCGGGACTGTAAACCCCCGATGCATGACTATACTCATGCACCACGATCCCGCCCTGGTCGAGGTAGGAGCACCAGTTCGACTCGGCGAGGGTATCATAGTACAGGTTGCAGTTGACGACGGTGTTAGACTGCACTTCGGTGAACGCGGCAACATTGCCAAAGCAGTAATCCGAGTCCTGTTGGTCTCTGGGCTCGCAGTAGTAGTACAGCGAGCCGGTCGAGGTCGTCTCCTCTGCAATGGCTTCAAGCCGGCCGGCGACTTCATCCAGCGCGTCCTGGTCGGATGTGAAGAAGAACTTCTGGAAGTTGGCGCTGGCGCCCTTGCGTGCGTCTGCTGCACCGGCGGTGGCCATTTTCGCCGCGCGGTTGATGGCGGCGTGGACTTTGGTGTTGTAGTCGGACTTGGAGCACTCGACGGTTGTGCGGGCTTTGAGGTTGTTGTGGTTTGTTGGGACGGCTAAGAAGATCTCGTTGGATGCGTAGTGGTAGTGTTGGAAGGTTTTGTTGTCGGTTGTGCTGGTGTACTGAAGGGTTCCTTTGGCTGTCGCGGTGTACTCCGCGCCTGGGGCGAGGTTGTACATGCTGGCCACGTCGAACACCGAGTCGACGGTTTGGTTGGGTGGGAGGTGCACAAAGGCCTCGTCGTTGAGGTGAGTGAGGACGTAGTGGATCATGAGGCCGGCGAAGTCGAGCTGCGAGCCTGCTCGATGTCAGCTTGGGTTTATATTATAGCATGGGGGAAGACTAACCACTGCTGTCCTGAACAGTAACCTTCTTCGTCGGGAGAGGATCCAGGATGCCCCCTCTACGGACGAGGCGCACCTCTTCATTGCCGACATTAGTGACCTCGGCCTTGACGGTGGTATTCCCCAGCACCCGGAGCGTAACATCAAAGGAGGGCTGGGACGTCTGCCGGGCCAGCCGGGGCATGGAAAGGGGCTTTCCAGCAGCCAACGCTGCCAGCAGCGAAAGAAAGGGAACAAAAAGCATGATAAGGAGTGACTGAAGAAGCGAAGGCAGGGATGAAGGAATAGTGCTGTGGTGGCCACGGCTCGATCTTTATGCCTTATTTCCACCGGCCTTGATAGGAAGCGTTTCAGGGTCGAACCAGGGTATCTCCTCCTGAAACAGGCATATCACTCCATACCGACGGCCAAGAGTATCCGAAGCAGCCTTTGTAATGGTAACTTGCATGGGCCACTGCTGCAGGACTCGGGATCCGAGATGTGCAGCCGTGCCGGCACGTCTCCACTCGGTGGGGGGCAGATCAAGGGTGAGACAATTCGATTGCAGTTGAAACGTGGAGATCTAACGGCTGTCTAGCAATGGGGTATCAGATCTATGGCTAGGCCCTGCACTTAGTGGGAGTGCGCGGTGTATAGTGCGGCAGACGCTTCGCCTGACCTAGGGCTCGGCGAGTCGCTCCTAAACGCGATGGTGGAGTCTGACCCCGTGGGTGTCCGGGCACCGTGTCTGGTACCAGTATCAGACTAGCACTCCGGTAGAGATCGGCTCATCTTCAGAGAAGAGTGGAATGACTTGGGGGGACAGACTTTGGTCGTCTGGACCACCTGCACGGATCGTGCCTTTCCGGTAAACATCCAGAGATGATGTCAACATGGTTTGCGCCCGCCTTTGTTTCCTGACAACCGACCGTGTACTGGACGAAATAGTCGAATCTCAATCAAAGACCTTGTCCATCATACGGCGGCGGTCATGAAGAACCGGAGATGTATCCCAAAAGCCGCATGGGCGGACCCCGGCTACGTCGATATCCGGTCGATCAAGCTGATAGCTACCAAGCCAAGCGAGCTATTAAAGCTTGATTAAGGCCCGTCAGCGCGAAGACAGCCAATCCCAGTGTCCAAGGCAGGGTTTGCTGTTGGTGGCGCAAGCGAACAAAGAAGCAGCGGTGTAGCGGAGCCCCTATCAACCCCCAGACCAGATGCAGAGCTTAAAGGCCCGAAGGCCGGGTACGACTTCCCAGTCTTCTCTTGGGTAGTACAGGACTTTGCCATGGCAAGCGCAGGGCTGCCGTCCAATCAATCTCCCGAGAATCTCGCCGAGTCGAGGACAACGTTGCTTTATGTCTTCATGTCCCTTCCTATTCCGCTGGAGCTGCTCTCCACCGGCCTGCGACTATGGGCGGAGCTGTACCAGCACCGGAAGAAGTTGGCAGTGGATGATTTCTTGATGATTTGGGCCACGGTATGGGGGCGGCGGCGACCTTGGTGCCGGAAATGTTTTGATTAATATGGATGCAGATGGTTGGCATTGGGGCCTGTGTGAGTGGGCTTATTGGTGCGTCCTTCATGGCTCCCTTTATCAAAGGAGTTGGAAATAACTAGACAAGCAACCAGTCAAGGCTTTGGCAAGCACATGGCCGCATTGGGGCCCACGCAATACGCCGTGGAAAGTGTGGTATGCCCTGCCGTCTGGTTGCATGATCGCAACGCTCTTCTAACAGCCCCAGACGTACTACGCCTTCATATGGATCTTCGATGCCGGGATCTCCTGTACCAAGCTGCCGGTCATCGCCCTCTACTACCGCGCCTTCCCGTCCACGACCATGCAGCGCATCGCCATTGCAACCGGGGTGGTTATCGTGATCTGGGGCATAGCCGTCGGCGGCACCTGGGCATTCGCCTGTCCTCCCTCTCAAAGCCACCCGGGCGCATGCCGGAAGGATATTCTTCGCGTCTCGGTGCTCTTTGTTGGCGCCACGAATCTGGCCCTGGACGTATGGATCTTGCTCCTCCCATTGCCGTTGATCGTTCGGATGCGGATCCCCACGTGGAAGAGGGTCAAGTTAAGCTGTCTGTTTACCGTTTGTTTAGGGTCTGTATACTTCGTATCCTGTCCCGCAATGCCGTGCTAAAACGGGCCTCCAGTACCTGTGGCATTAGTGCAACCCGTCTTGCTCTCGTCGCGCATACTAGCCATCCTGATTTTACCTGTAGGTATCCCATACCCTTCCTTAGTATCCCAGCTGACCCATCTAACCTGCTTACAGACACACAAGCGCCTGCCGCAATGCTGATGTGCTGGGAGCTCCTCGGCGGAATCCTCTGCGCTAATCTTCCCATCATCTATAAACCCATCGCCGTCTGGGTCCGTCGCCTGTTCGGGATCGCCAGTGAAGAGGACGAGTCGCCTACTGCATCGACGCTGCGGAGGTATGTCATGCAGAAGGCTCGAAGGTTCAGGCACTCAACGGTTGAGCTTTTCACTGCAAGTTCGGCCACTCGCACAGCAGACGAAGGGCCGATGGATGGACCGGGTGGCGTGGTGGAAAGAACCAGGGTGCAGGTTGCTTCAACAGAAGAGTGAAACGCTGTCCTCGTACAGTGTAGAAAGAGCCCTGGAGGCTCTTGGTGCTCCCGGTACATGGATGTTTCAAACGCACCCGACTCGTAGAGATCCGGCCCTTAGTGTTGTCTCGATCATGACCCCTTGAATTACCTCATTTCTTTGATGCATAGACACTTCATATGATGATTGATCACGTCTTCCCTTCCTGTTGCCATGTCGTGTAGAACGCCCTAACTATCAGGAACCTCGGGCCTGACCCCGGAGTATGTGGAGTGACCGAGTTGATTGGAGGGCGCGGCGGCCATCTTGGGCTGTGAAATCACAGGGGAACTTGACCTTGGGCTTCTGGCTCATTGGCAGGAGCATCGTTAGGTGCTGAATGTTGCTTTGGTTGTCTCTGCACAGCCACAATAGCTCCTTCCCAGCCAATCATGGCGGGATCGTACCTGCACCAGAAGAAGAATCTTGGGTGCCTAGTCCACCCACAATTAAAGATAACTTGAGCTCTCCCCGGATGTTGGCATTCAATTTGACACCCTACACATCCGTAATGGCTGCTGGTACAATGCCGCAGCCTGCTCCCAACATCAACCGCAAGACCGCAGCGTCGAAACCCTCCGATTACTGGCTGCGAATTCCTCAAAAGCTTTCTTCTTTTGCATCTGCCAGCCCAATTCACACTGTCGTTCTGATCTCCTTGCTTGTGAGCTCGGCGTATGTGGCCCTGCTGGAGAACAGTCTACGTGATCCTTTGGTGACAAGGCATGCGGCGAGGGCGTCATGGCCAGGGCCAACGCGCAACCTGTATGCTGGTCCAAACACGAAATGGCATTGGGAAGAGAAAGGTCTAGGAGCGGAAGATGTCGGTGACCATTGTACCCTGATCACCCTGGAGTTCCAAGGTTATTCAGCCGACATTCCCATCATTCACAGCGACGAGCGCCTCTCCGTCGTGCCGATCGAGCCGCTGCTTCAGAATATCGAATTCGTACCCGTCCCATCTCGCTCATACCCCGGTTCACAATCCTTTTTAGTTGCCTCGAATGACGTAGCGGAGTTCATGCGCTTCATCGAACAGCTGCCAGTCCCGAACGTCGAAGGTTCAGCATACAATACCAAGCAACAGCGCAGCAAAAGATGGGCTCCCAAGGCTCGGAACAGTCAGCTTACAACGGACTCCTGGGAGTGATTGGCAACCAGTGGTCGGAGCTTGTCTTCTTGTTTCATCACGCGTCATGGGCCGATGTCGCCATGATGGCCGTCGCATACATCTCCATGCACTTGACTTTCGCTTCACTGTTCATGAGCATGTATCGGCTTGGCTCGCGGGTCTGGCTTTTTACCGGTGTTCTGCTGTCGTCGACCTTTGCTTTCGTCTTCGCTCTGGTCACGGTGGTCAAGCTTGGTGTGCCCATTGACCTTGCTCTCCTGTCCGAAGGGCTTCCTTTCCTTGTTGTTATCATTGGGTTCGAGAATCCCGTCAGGCTCACCCAAGCTGTGCTGCATAATGCCGACAGGATTCCTCGGGTGCCAGACCAGGGGCAGATAGTTGTACCATCCCCGTTCCATACTCATATCGAACAGGCCCTTGCCGACGACGCACTCTCGATTGTCAAGCACTATGCCCTAGAAATCGCGGTTCTCCTCTCCGGCGCGTTGCTGGGAACCGATAATCCCGTCCGGGAGTTCTGCCTTCTTTCCGCGTGCATCCTCTTCTTCGACTGTATATTGTTGTTTTCGTTTTACACGGCCATCCTATGCATCAAGTTAGAGATCACCCGCACTCAGACCGTTGACGCCTCGAGTCATCCTGAGCCTGGCAGCAACTTGTCGGCGTCAGTGACGTCAATACACAGATCAAGGCGCACCCGGACGGATATCCGCAGTTTCAAGCTGGCTATGGTGGCCACCTTGATTCTGGTCAATGTCCTCAACGTCAGCATGATCCCGTTCCGTATGCGAACTGCTGGCGTCGACGGCGCGCCTCGTCTTTCGCCATGGACACTTTGGTCTGACTCCCATTTGTCGCCCACATTGGATGGTATCTTGGATGAGGCTAGGGTCAATGGCCGGTCCACACTTATCGCAGTCCACGAGCCCATTCGCCTGGAACTGCAGAGTCTCTCCCCGCCTGACCTGCGAGGTGACGGCGACGGTATACTCTCCGACATTGGACGCAGCAGCCTACTGAGAAGCCTCGAAGATCCGGTCATCGTGAAGGGCATCGTCGCCGCGTTGCTTGTCAGTCTCGTTCTCAATGGCAAACTCTTTACCGCCGCTCGAACTCGGCGAGGGTCCCGACGCATCCCTCCTTCGAATCCCCACCACTTGCCATCCTCAACGACGCCTGTTTCCCAGGAAGAGCGACCACGGAAACTGGATCAATCGGAGACCCAGTCAGTTGTGGTCCACAGTTCGATTTTACCAGCACTGGTCCGGTCCGACAAAGAGTGCCACCAGCTTCTTATTGAAGGCCGTGCTAATGAGCTCACGGATGACGAGGTTGTCAATCTCTCATTAAACGGACGACTTCCTCTCCACGCCCTCGAAAAGACCCTGAAGGATTTCACCCGCGCGGTCAAGCTTCGCCGCAGTATCATTTCGCATACAGCAGTTACAGCAGATCTGACGAAGGACCTTGAAAGACCCGAACTCCCTTATGAGAGCTACGACTGGTCCCGCGTCTTCGGTGTCTGTTGTGAGAATGTGGTCGGATACATGCCGGTTCCAGTGGGCTTTGCAGGCCCGCTTGTCATTGACGGCAAGAGCTACTTCCTCCCGATGGCCACGACGGAGGGTGTGCTCGTTGCTGGGGTTATGCGTGGGAGCAAAGCCCTGAACGGTGGGAGCGGCGTGAAGACGGTGGTTACTGCTGATGGAATGACGCGCGGCCCTTGCGTGACGTTCGAGAGCCTGGAACGAACAGCGGAAGCGAAGGAGTGGCTAGACTCGGTTGCTGGCCAAGATGTCATGAAGGCAGCATTCGATTCGACGACGCGGTACGGTCGGCTACAGTCTATGAAGACAGCCCTGGCCGGTACGAACCTGTACATCCGCTTTAAAGCCAGCACCGGCGATGCCATGGGCATGAACATGATCTCCAAAGGAGTGGAGCATGCGTTGAATGTAATGCGGGAGCACGGGTTTGAGGATATGGACGTCGTCTCGCTCAGTGCCAACTACTGCAGCGACAAGAAGCCTGCTGCGATCAACTGGGTGGACGGTCGGGGCAAGAGCGTCGTCGCACAGGCAACCATCCCAGCAGAGATCGTTCGCAGTGTCCTGAAGTCGGATGTCGACGCCATGGTAGCACTGAATATGGACAAGAACCTCATCGGGTCCGCGATGGCAGGCTCAGTCGGCGGATTCAACGCCCATGCTGCCAACATTGTTGCTGCCATGTACATTGCGACCGGCCAGGACCCAGCCCAGGTCGTCGAGAGTGCCAACTGCATCACCATCATGAAGAAGTATGCCCGGCACCCCTGCATCGTCTTCGCCTGCTAAATAGTTATATCAGCGTCGGCGGTTCCCTCCAGATCTCCGTCTCGATGCCGTCGATCGAAGTCGGGACCATCGGTGGAGGAACAACCCTAGGCCCTCAACGCGCCATGCTCGACGTCCTCGGGGTCGGCGGAGCGAATAAGGAACATCCGGGCGAGAACTCTCGCCATCTGGCGCGCATCATCGCCGCAGCCACGCTGGCCGGGGAATTGTCGCTTTGCGCTGCGCTGGCTGCGGGTCACTTGGTCAAGGCGCACATGCAGCACAACCGGGCCAGTTAGTGAGGATGGACAAGATGTCCTATCTGTAAATGAAACCAGCTGAACCTCTACTTGGCGGACTGTTGGTGGACGTGCAACCACTTCGTAATAGTCTATATTGTAGCTAAACAGAAGCCCCCCGCTGAAGCAGCAGCTCAACAATCGCAGGCTTCTCCTCACTCCATTCCGCAACGATCTCCTCGACATCGTCCATGTCGCCTCCAAAAAAGCGCACCATCCACTGCTTATCCTCCGCCGCAAAGTCAGCCTTCGCAGCCTGTAGCGCAGTAGCATAACGCGATTCTTCGTATCTTGTATTTACCTCTGCCCCGTGTTCGATCAGATACTCCACGCACTCTCTCTGCCCGAACACCGCGGCCGCAATCAGCGGACTGCCGTATCTGTTCCCCGGGTGTTTTGGATTCACATCGACGCCCAGCCCGCAGATGTACTCGACGGTCCCTTCGCCCCAGGTAAAGGCAGCAACCATTGCAAGCGGGTTGGGGAAGTCGTTGTTTGGGAGGGGCATGTTCACGTCCGCGCCTTTGTCAACGAGCAGCTGGATCTTCTCGAACTGCCGTCCCCATACCGTCGCTGCGAAGGGACTCCCGAAGATTCCGTGCTTGAGGGGCATGTTGATTTCTGCACCTGCTTCCACGAGATATGGGAAGACCTCAATATCGCCGTAGTCGCGGCCTGCACCCCCAGCAGCGAGAGCGCAGCCAAAGTCCCCATGTTCCAGCTGCATGTTGATGTCGGCTCCGGCTTCAACTAGCGCCTTGATGATCTCAACGTCAATGGACTCGTATGCGGCAGTTGCAAGGGCGCTGCCAAATCTGCCACGTGTGAGAGTAGTGTTGGGGTCTGCGCCTGCTGCTAACAAGCATTGAACAACTTCCGGTCCGCCCTGCCCACAGCCCACTGCAAGCGCGGTTTCGAAGTCCCCAGTCAGAAGCGGCAAGTTCGGGTCTGCTCCGGCTTCCAGCAACATCTTGAGTGTTTCCGAGTGGGATGAGTTTGACGACGCGGCAGCAAGTGGGCTGCCATATATGCCAGCGACAGCCTGTGCATTCACATCTGCCCCGGCTTGCACTAGGAATAGGGGAATCCGTGGATCTCTGCACATGGATGCTGCGTACTGGAGAGGATTGCAGTGGTTCACATCGGCCTTTGCCACCTGCACCAGATATTTGACGCTCGCCAGCTCCTGGTTCCAGACCTTGATGTTCAACGCCGTCTCTCCGATCGCACTGTCCACGCGCTTGTTCACATCGGCGCCGTTGTCCAGCAGGGTCTTGACCATGGCCGTGCCTGAAATGGCGGCAGCAGCCCCAAGGGCACAGCCATGTGGGGAGCGTGGCAGTCGGACGTCGATATCGGCCCCAGCCTCCTGGATCAGATACCTTGTAGTTTCCACATTTCCACTGTCAATGGCCGCCTCGAGGGCGTTGTTGAAGAGGCCTTCCCCATCCACAAGAAGCATATCCACCTCCGCCCCAACTTCAACCAGATATTTGACAAGCGCAGTATGTCCCTGGGATGCGGCTGCAACAAGGGCGGTGCCATGATGCCGACCGTAACACCGCGAGTTGACTTCAACTTGCCTGCTCAGCAGCCACTTGCAGATTTGCAAAGAGCCTGCTCTGGCAGCGATTGCAAGCAGGTGATGCCCATTAACGTTCACACTGGAGATATCAATCTTTGCCGTTTCCCACCAGTCCAACAGGATGCTGTCAAACGCGAATCGACACATGGCAAAGACGCTGGGGAGGTGGCTGGCATTTGCAGGCAAAAGCTCCTGCAGGACATCACGCAAATCATCATTATTGAAATGGCGGTCCCAGCAGTATTCGTAGCCACTTCTAAGATAAGGGGCTAGGAAATCCTGCAAGGTCTTTTTATACCATCTCCGATATTGCACGCTGCTCTCTTCTGGAGACCCAAGGAACGTCTTCAAAAGGGTGCTCAATTCCCTCATCGCCGTGCCATTCGCTCTCTGTACATGCAGAGGCCAGCAGTGCCTCATGTAGATGTGGAATGGGTGCATTGTCCCGAACCAATCGTCTGTTTCCCGGGGTGGTCCCTCATCCTCGCCAGAATCCTCCAGACCCTGGATCTCGGCCTCTTCCTCCTGGCCGTTATCTTCATACGCCCGCATAAAATATGAGAGCGAGACCATTCCAGCGTCCAAATGTCCTTGGGAAATGGAGACATGTCCCTCGGACTCCAAATATTCCTGAACCGACAAATGCGGGAAACGCCAGACCTGCAGCTGGCTGTCAATAGTGAGGAAACCGTTGCAAAGCGAGAGCAGGCCGCTCTCATCGAGCATCTCGTCCACCGGGATCATGGCTCTATTTGGGTTCATCCGGATGGCAGAGAGCATCTCCGGGGTGGTCAGGGGCTTGAAAGCAGCCGCTGCCCAATGGAGTGCGCGTATAGCAAGCATTTTATCATTCTCCTCCAAGCTGTTGATCTGATCCCAGACCTCATCATAGGCTTCTGCGAGCGAAGCGGGAAGTTTGTTGAGGCGTTCACGAACACTGGCGGCAGACTGGCATTTTGCGAGCTGCTGTACCTGTAAGACTGCCCACTGAAACATTCCCTGGGCGCCCTCCAGCAGCTTGGTCATGATTTCGTCTTTCATGCGCTTCAGGACCGCCACCCTCCTTGCCTGCTTGTCTAACGTGACGTCGAGGTACATTCTGATATCGTCCTGGTTATCGCCAGCCCGCATACCAAGATGAGGGCTGCTCTCGAACTCGGGCGCAATGCTGGGATCTGGGCGACTGGAGACGAAGATCTTGACTGGCTTTTCAGCATCAAGGATGAAAGAGTTCAGCGCGGCTATCAGCTCGTCGCGGGTATTAGGGTCGCATTCGTCCAAGGCGTCAATGACAAGGGTGGATTTGGCGTAGATGTTCAGGGAGGTAAGAATTTGCTCCTTGCATTGCTGCAGACGGAAATTCGTGCCCTTGTCACGCGCCTCTTTGACCGCGTCACGGAGCTTTGTCTGCACAGACTCGGGGTGGTTGGTACTGGTCGAGAGCTGGCGAACAAGACTCTGCAGGATTGACTGTGCTTGCGACCGGGACTCGTCGCTTTTGCGGCAGTAGAAGAAGGCAAAGCCCTCCTTCTTGGACGCGATCTGACTCTGGATGCGGTCGATAACAGCCGATGTGAGATATGTTTTACCAGTGCCCGGCAGACCTTGCAACCAGAACAGAAGCGACGAGTTTGACCTTTCCCAGTTTCGGAAGTCTTGGTGATTCAGCAACCAGTCGCCTGTACCAGGCGTCCGGTCCTCGCTGACTCCATCGTGGTGCTTGCCAAACGGCACTGGGGAGATCCACTCGAGCATCTCAATACGGTCGCTTTCATTCATATGGGCAAGCAGATGGGTGACGCCTTCATCAACGCGAAGGATCGGGTCGTTGAACGTCTTGAGCATGTCGATCATTGTATTGTCGGCGTCGGAGCTGCGCTGTGCTTCGCATGCTTGAACGTCGAGCAGAAGCTCCTCTTCGTCTTCCTTGAGCCCGGAGAGCTGGCCTTGGAATTTGCCCGGGTTGACTATCGCTTCGATCGTGCGTCTCGCGGTGTTGGCGTCCAGTAGCTTTCCTGAGTCGGCTAGAAGTTCAAGCGAGGTGTTGTATATCTTGAGCAAGGCGCCTTCCAGTTGCTTTTGAATCGACTGCATCGAGACCCCAGGTTCAGTTGAGAGGTAGACCTGCTCATAAACCTGGCCGCGACTGGTGATGCGGACGATGCGCTCGGTCGTGGCTAGGAGGGCACACATCTGCTCGCTTTCGTTGACGGGGATCTATTGCGCTTTGTCAACACCTCTACTTCGAATTGTTGTAGAATGCTCACCTTCATCAGCGACTTGATCATGTCCCAGGGCAGACTGGCCTGCGGGGGCGCAAACTGAATTGCAATATCCCCAGCCTTTTCTAACCACCCAACAATGCTCGTAGTGTACTCGCGGAGAACAATGTCTTCGTCCCCGACACGGACCTTCCAGAATTTCCTTTCGCATTCTTCTTGTTTCTCGTTGACCGCAGTGATCAAATCGCCGATACTGGACGCGACACTGTCTGACTGGGGTCTGTCGAAGCCCAGATCTTTCAGGATCTTCTGCTTGTCCGCGGGCAAGATGTTGAAAGCTTCTCTCCAGCGATCGACGATCGGAGTCGCACTTTTTGCTCGTTCGGACTCGGGTTCTGAGGCTTGTTGTGGGTTCTTTGCGGACGGTGTCTTCTCGACGGAGGACGGCAACTTGGCCACGGTCGCAGGTTGCGAGGCATTGTTCTCTGTGGGACGGGCTACCTGGAGCAGACTTAGTTAGAGAGGGAACCAGGACGAGGTGGACGTCTTGACCTACCGCATCGCCCCCGTTCCCATCTTCCTCCTTCTCCTGCCTCTTGTTCTTGAAACACCCAAAACACGGCATCAGGAAGTAGACCTTGTACTACAGCAGAAGCTTGGAAGAGCGAACGCCAGCAGGAGAATTGCCCCTCAAAAACAAAACATAGCGGAGCTTGCCCCGCGCGTCATCGTGCATTCCTCCACCAGATGCGGCAGGAATCGGCATCGCCCAAAGATCTGCGCGTCTGCTGGGCCAGTCGCTTTTCGTGTTCGAGTTTGGCCGGATGAACACGTTCTCCACGAGAGATTTGCGAATGACGTTGAAGGGAGCCGATGCCATGGTCTTGGGGCATCAATAGTCCCGGGGCTGGGGGTTGGATTACGGTATGCCGTGCAACATGTTCGGAGCCCGAGGGTGCGATCTTACTCGTGAGCAGGCTTAGATGTGGCTGTAAAAAGGATCATCTATAATAGTCGGGTTTTGAATTGGCTGACTGGATTATTGACATGATACGGAGTATGGATGGTGCGTGCTCATGAGACTACTCCAGCTCTATCGTCGCTGTCCCACTGGATAGATCTCCCGGGCCCTGCATCATTGCAGTCCCGGGCAGTGCTGAATGGTCAAGTAGAAGATGTCGAGCTTGTCTGTCCAGTGCATCTGCCTTCTTGTGAGGAATTTACTTATGCTTCTGACGAAGCTCCCACTCATACGCGGCAAGCAAGAACGGTCCGACACCCCTGGTATCGTTCGGGACAACAGGAATGCTGGTGTAGTACTAGTAAGGATGTCAGCATAGATTCTTCCATTCTTTCACCACTGGGGAAAGCCTCACCTCAAAGGTCGCATTACTGTTCAACGAACCAACCTGCACCGTCCCCTCCCAAGTGAGCGTCCCATTGCGATGCTTCGTGACAAAGTCGTCAATTAGATGTCTGTACGCCTTCGCCGCGGGTCTCGAGAACTTCCGCTCATCGAGGTAACCACGTCGCAGACCCGCAAGCCAGCCATACGTGAACATCGCTGCAGCCGATGACTCGAAGTAGTTGCCCTCCGCGCCAATATACTCCTTGCTCAGGACAAGATACCACCCGTCCGTCTTGGGATCCTGTGCCTCCTTGAGGGCACCCGCAAGGCGCTTGTAGTAGCCCAGCAGCCGCTTGTAGCCGGGCAAATGCTTGGGGTAGATGTCGAGGACCTCAATCAGCGAGACGAAGTACCACCCGACCGCGCGGTTCCAGACAAGAGGCGATGCCCCGGTCACCGGGTCCGCCCAGATCGCCGTCTTGCTTTCGTCGAAACCGTGAACCAGGAGGCCTGTGCCCCCGGGGTCGCGCGTCACGGCCTCGATCTTATCCCACTGTAGGACGATATCATCCCATGCTGTACGGTTTTTGGCATCAAAGAGCTTTGTCCACTTCGCGTAGAAGACGTCCGCCATGAAGATCCCGTCCAGCCACATTTGGTTAGGGTAGACCGGCTGGCGATGCCAGAACCCGCCTGTCTCAGTGCGCGGGTGCCGATCGAGCATCGCGCGGATCCGATCCGCTGCCAGTCGGAACTTTTCTTCGCCTGTGCGTTCGTACCAGTACAGGAAGTTGTTCCCGATCCGGTAGTCGTCTAGCGAGTAGTATGTTTCGTTGAAGTCGACGATGCTTCCGTCTTCATTGACAATATCATCGATCTGGGCGTGGTACCAGGAGAGGAGGGTTTCGTTGCCGTAGAGTTCATACGCGGCTTCGTAGCCTTCGTAGATTGTGGCCCGTCCGTACCAGTAGGCGCCTTCGTCCTCGCGATTGTTGAGGATCCACGAGTCGGCCATCCAGCTCAGGTAGGATTTTGCGGCCGCCGCTGGAGCGGCGAGTAGGGCGAGGGTTGCGAGTCGCATGGTGGCAGGCTACTCGAGAGAAGGGATTTCGTGAGGAGCACATTTCATACTTGCAGAACCATCGCAAGCATTTATAACAGCAGATTGCTAAGCCACAACATCATGCGAGAAAGCTCCCTCCAGGGTCTCTGGTGCAGAATTGTCCGCAAAAGCCAAGCCCAAGACGGCCATATTCAAACACACGAATAGGCTCAACAGGGTCTCTGCAGGAGAGCTTGGCCGGCCAGGACAAGTGTCTTGTCCCGCGGAGGACTCGCTAGCGCAGGTGCGGCACAGCATAGAGAGCCCTTGCGGCCGGGCAAATTTGGGGCCGGATACGATGCGTCTTGGGAATGATTTCTCCGGCGCGGGGGTTGTAGCTTGGCTGGCACTGTGGCGATAGGGGGCCAAGGGGCCAAGAGTTCGATTGCCGGCCCCAGCGGAAATTGGCCCGTAAGATGATATAGTCTGGCCCTTAGATGATATCGTCAATCGACATGGCGACTGCTACCGGGTAGGGCTAAGGTTGGCACGTACGAGGGGTACGTTCTTGAGCAATTACTAGGGGAATCCCTGTGAACAAGCGCCTGCCATTGTTCTCCTCTTTCTGGAGAGATATCTGAATCGTTGATGCGGAAGCGTTGTTTCTAGCCAGGAAAGGATAGCATGGTCTTTTCAGCCCTGTTGGTGATAATCGCGCAATACTCTGTACCTAGGTACTCCGTAGAAGAATAGGTTCCTAGAGCCGAGGCCGTAACGTCACTGGGCGAACAGGAGGTGAAGATCCCTGAGAAAAGAAAAGGGAAACAGAAATAGAGAATGAAGAAAGCGAGGGAGGGAAATAAAAAGGAAACCCCCAATACTCCGTATGATTACGGGGATGGACGACGAAGGAAAAAGCGAAGGAAAAAGCGAACGCCAACGCGAGGCGTACCGTATCATAGGCGGCTGCGAAGCCCGGTCGGAGGAAAAAGGTGCCGCCACTGATGATTGATAGGACAGATTGAGGGGATAATGGCGATTCGCAAAGAAGGAAAAAAAAAAAACAAAGTAGGAGTAGCAGCTGAGGGTCTGATGACTTGGATTTAGATCTGAACCATACGAACGATGCAGCGTTGGTCACTGGGGGCTGCTGTGATTTAAGTTCCCATGGCGCTCCCACATCTGAGTCTGCTCCGTCTTGCATGCCGGTCATATTACTCAATCGACCATCGACCATGTTCCCGTTCATAGTTCTGTGTCTCGCTGGAGTTGCGGCCCTCTGGGTGGTGCGGAAGCGACCTGCTTCGAGACCCAGGGCGCCTCTACCACCGGGGCCCCAAGGAATCCCGCTTCTTGGAAACATCAACGAGCTCGCTCCAAAAGACGATACACCCAGGTGGAAATTCTGGAGGGACAGCCTAGCTCAGTATGGTGAGTGCAAAGCGTCTTCGTTACGACCACGGGATGGACCATTGACTGTTGAGCTGGTTTGGCACTGCAGGCCCGGTCAGCTCGCTCAACGTCTTCGGCCAGACGATCATAATCTTGAACGACGTGGAGGCTGCGGTAGACATCCTGGATCGGAAAGGATCTGTTACGCAATTTGACACGGATTTGACCATGCCCAAAATGTGAGACCGTTGCCCTGACGGGACCATCCATGCATGCGGCTGACTGAGGACCTGGGGCATGGCAGGTGCGGATGGGGGGAAGCCCGGCCCCATCCCGGCGATCTGGGCCACTGGAAAGGAGTCCGCTCGAATTTGAAGCGCGAGATGGGGACGAAACAGGCGGTCTCGCGCCTGCATCCGCTGATAGATCGTACTACACGGCAGCTATTGTGGCATCTTCTCGAGGCCCCAGATAACATCCGAGACCATATTGGAAGGTAAGTGCATCTGGCCAGGTACCAAATAGCTCAGTTCATACTTCACCTTGCAGTATTGACGTTTGCACCTAACGAACTGGTAGGGACGCGGCCGGGTTCTTCCTCAATCTGGGTTACGGATATAACATGGCGCCTCGTGATCATCTAACTGGAAAGGAAGACCCTTTCTACGAGCTCACGCGCAAGGCAAACTCGCTCTTTTGGGAAATTTTCTCGCGGCAGGATTGGATAGTCAATCAGATTCCTCTGCGTGAGTGGTAACTCATGAAGCTCTCTGGGCAGACTGTATATATGCTAACGCATCGGAGACAGTGCAATATCTCCCTGCTTGCTTTCCAGGAGCCGAGTTCGCAAGAAAGGCAAAAGAGATCAAAGGATCCATCGAGGAGATCAAAGTGCTCGGACTCAAGGTCGTGCAAAAGATGGCCCGGGACCAAACCACCTTACAGCCGTCCATGCTAGCTCGGTTGCTGCAGGACGGGGCTCCCGAGCCAGGTTCCGAGCGAGAAGCAGCCATGATGTGGTCTCCTTTGGAGCTTTATCTGGGGGGTAATGAAGCAGTAAGTCGGTTTGAGAGCGCGATTGTGCAACCGAAAGTCACTGACGAGCCGGCTCGTCAGGCAGTCGCCACCTTCAATAGCATCCTCATAGCGATGGCCTTACACCCGCATGTGCAGCGCAAGGCTCAGGATGAGCTTGACCGCGTGGTCGGGCCAGATGCTCTCCCAGGCTTCCAGCACCGCGCCAGCCTCCCCTATATCAATGCCATCTTGAGAGAGACCCTGCGGTGGCACCCTCCGGCTCTCATTCCCCCACCGCATGTGTCGAATGCAGACCTTATGTGGAATGGATATTTGCTTCCCAAGGGCTCCTACTTGCTCGCGAATATTGGGTGCGTCGAGTCCAGTCGGCATTCCCAATTGAAATAGTACTAAATCCGGTTACAGGGCATTCACCCAGAACGCCGCCTTGTATAAAGACCCCACGACATTCGATCCCGTTCGCTTCCTGGCAAGAGGTCCAGATAGCCAAAGCCATACCCCAGAGCCTGATATACAAAAGTTTATCTTCGGGTTCGGTCGCCGCGTATGCCCAGGGCGGTTTCTGGCGGATGAAATGTTATTCCTATTCACTGCGCAGGTTCTCGCGTGCTTCAACATTGCGCCCAAGGTTCCCGGTACATCAGAGCCCAAATGGCTAGCGGGGATCATCTCCCAGCCGGGGCCGTTCGATCTCAGCATTGAGCCGCGGAGCCGTCAGCATGAGGTGCTGATCCGCGAAGCTGGAAAAGAGACTCTTGCAACGGCACAGGATGCGGAGGAGCTTGCAAAGTTGGCTGTCTAAAGGATTGCCATGTCTATGCAAGCTCGTAGTATACGGTTGTACGGGGCGCCCCGGAGGCGCGACGGCGGAGGGCTATTTCATTTCGGACGGTGTGGTAATGGTGACATGGAACTGGAGACTTTCAGAATTCCGGGGACCTGCGATAATGCAGGCATGTAAGTAAAGGTTTGTTGGAATCAGTCAGGACTTAGGGGGGCATGGTTTACAACCATCTGGCAATGTTCGACAACTCGCGAGGACCGTCGGCGTCGGGAATGAGGAATGTGTGGGGGCGCGCGGGGGATCATCAGCGACGGAGGAGAGGAGCGCGGGTGGATCATTCCATTGCCGGTACTGCTTTCACAGCCAGAGGCAAGTTTACCCTGGGATAGTCGCAGTGAGGCATAGATGAAGCATCGTGGGTTGATGATCCTGGTGCAACAGGCAGGAGAGAGCATCGCTTGTCAGGGAGCCCGATCGCGGAGCAGTGGTCTCACGTGACAGCAACCTGCGCTAATCCCAATCAAGTCCAACTCGTCCAAAGCTGGAGCCCCTCCTTGTGGATGAACTTGAGAGTTGAACCTTTATTATTCTTGTCCCTGCTATAGCTATTTCCTGTATCGCTAGTCCTCGTCGAGCTCGTTGAAAATGTCTAGAATCAGCTCACTTGGAGAGTTGATCGTACTCGATCTTGTACTGCACTCTTACGCCAGGCCCGGAGGTCTTGCGGACGGCCAGGCCTACAGAGGGAGATGAGTTTTTGGAATGAGAGAGCATTGAGTCAGTGTCACAGATTGATTTCTCTGAGTAAAATATGTATAATGTTATACGGACCTCTGGGGAAAGACAGAGAAAGTTTAGTGATCCGAGCAAACAACAGCCCTAAATATATATTTGTTGCAGGTACGCACTGTTCAAGTATAAGGACGGGCCTACAGCCAAGTGGCTTTTATGGTCTAGCTGTATCAATACACCCAAGTGAAACTTATAGGGAAGGTATAGAAAGATGATCCAAAGCACGAACGCTGTCAGAGATCGATTTAAAGAATGATTCTTCTTGTTTTGCAAGCAGGAGATGCGGAGTCGTGTTAGGCAGAGGCAGCAGCCAAGACTGCGAACAGAGAAAGGCAGCCTATCCCCGTCTTAACCCCAGCACCTTTCCCTCAACTTATAAACATCAACATTTCGCGGCTCTGGCTCTTGCTTTCTCTCCCATCTTCGTGGTCACGATCATCCATTCACAACACTGCTTGTCGAGTAAGCAGCTCATCCCAATGGCCCCGACGAACGAGACACTGACACCAACACAGACACGAGTTCCCAACACAATGCCCGTCTCCCAGCACCCAGCCTTGAGCGTCGCCGCCAAAGCCTTCGCCCTCATCGGCATCGGTTTCGGCCTCAATGCTCTCCTCCGCCCCGCCCACGCCCTCTCCTTCTTCGAGTGGGAGATGCCCACATCGCCGGCCGAGCGGCAATTGGTCGAGGCCCTGCTTTACGTCTACGGCGTCCGTGACATCTTTTGGGGTCTGTCATTCTACATTGCCAACGCCTTTGGGACCCGGAAATCGACGGGCTGGACCTTTGTCGCCGGCAGCTTGGTTGCGTTTGCTGATGGGGCGATCTGTTATACTTGGGGGAAGGGGCAATGGGGACACTGGTCGTACGCTCCGATGATGAGTGCTCTTGGCGCGGCTTTCCTTGGTCTGTTTGACTAGACGGCCTGCTGGGTGTTGGAGGACGTTATCTGGGGATACATAGGCGCCTACTGGATTTAGAAGCGAGCTGGAGTGATGGTGGCGCATGGAATTCAACCATAACGCTTTTAAGCCCATTCCTAAGGGCCATCACCTTTTTAGCATAACCTAGACCTCAATACCTGATGAACCGTAAGCTTCTACACCCTAACCAACCAGCGCACCGCTGTATGTGTTGGGGGATGCATGGTCACGTGCCGAGAGTTGCGGTGGTGACAAAGCAGAGAATGAAGGGTGAGTTGGCTCGAACGCTCTTCTACCATCACCATCACCTGTGCCTCCTATGAAGATGCCCAGCATCTCTCACCTGTCTCAATGGCAGGTCTGGCCTGCCATCTGGCTCTTAGTATCTTCCTTCTCTAGCCGTGTTAGCTCACTTCTCCGCTTGTCGATCCAGCCAGTCGCAACAGCACCTAATGATGTGAGGGATCTCCTAGTACCTTCTCAGCGGAGTTTTACTAAGGGTTGAAAGGAAGTACTCTCTCTCGATCTCGAGGAAAATGACTTCCTGTATCGGATAAGGAAAAACTCACGGATTGTTTACGTCTCGATCCTTGACGGAGGTCTCCTCCCCCCTGATTCCAGAACAGACAGCGGCCGGGTTCTTTCGAAGTTGCGACATCTCCCGAGGTGGGAGGAGGAGTGGAGGACACTCACTGTCCGGAGGGGTGCTCACGGTGTCCAGAGCACTCTGGACGAATTCTCACCGCACGGGCTGGACGCCGGCCAGCTTCATATTCCTGGTGCCATTTTCCTCAACCTCCTGGACCTGAAAACGGTCTCTCGGATCAGCGATCGCATTTCCCGTGTCAAGTACAATGGTGATACGTGGATTTTGAAAATCGCCCAATTCAGACATGAGATCTCGGCCTTGCGTCGAGAGGTTTCGGTATATTCTACGCTTACATCAAATGCGTTTCCTCTGGCTCCAAAATTCATTGGGTTCGCCTATGAGGAAACGAAAGATCGAGTAGTTGGCTTTCTAATGGAGGATATTTCAGGGCACCACCCGGATATACATGATCTCAAAGATTGCATGGAAACCGTACATCGGCTGCATACATTTGGAATCGTGCACGGAGACCTCAATAGGCACAATTTCTTGATCACGGAGCACGGCGCCAAAATTTTCGATTTCGAGGTTTCCGTTGTTGAGGGAAACGTGGACCCGGCAGCAGCTGAGGAGGAACTGAATTCACTTGCAATCGGGCTGGAAGATGAATCAGGAATCGGCAAACGTTAGTTCACTGTCGAGTGCTTCTTCAGGGTGCCCTTGTGGGTGGGTAAGGGACAACCTACTTTTGCGTCTGGTGTATCAAGCACTCTGCAAACACGTCCTGCATCTGTGGGTTGAAACCTTGACCTGCTCGAGCATCTCACCACCCTAGTGCGAGGACCGAGCTTTCTCCGCCTACTACATTGTCGCATAGTCTGCTGCGAACCACGAATGGCCAATGAGGCTATGAAACATTCCTCGCCAAGCTGGCATCGGTATGGCTAACTCCCAATGCGAGTGACATGGCACGGAAATCCAGATCCAATAGCTTTTTAGATATCCTCTCGAGACCTAATCCTCAAAGAGGTCAGCTCAGCCTTGTCCCTGCCTGACAGGCTGACAGCCGACAGCGCTGGAGCTAGCACCTCCAACGAACCTCCGTATCTCCTTTCTACCCTCACAGACTCACGCTTTGTGAAATCACGAAATCAGAAAAGACTTCTTTCCGACTTCTTGCTACCACCCGCTGCTACCATCTGGATAGCAGACTGGCGAGGATGCTATTTCAGTCACACCCTGGCGTGCGCAGCCTTCTCCGAAACTGGCCTCCTGGAGGAATCGCCAGAGTCAATAGTGACATCCGAGTATCCGTCAGCCGTGGGGCATTCCTTATGCTCAGGGCCGTCAGGCTACCTCCAAAGCCCGTGTCTCCAATACTGTTGAGAAGCAAGATATATGGTTATTAGGGCTTGACAATATAGTAAAACACCCGTTTCCTACCGGGTTGTACTTGACATGTGCCAGCGGTGCCTCGGTATAATCTGACCTGCATGGGCTTGAATTTACTCACCGGGTAGCTATATCCAGGCTACGATGTATGAGCTCAGTGCTTAACGCAACGTCCAATCATATTCACGCCAAATGGGCGTTCCTCGTATCCAACCGCGGCCCTTTGCCAACATTGGCGTGCAACCTCCTGCCCTGTTTGGTGCCGAGATTGGTGCAGGGGGTTGCATGTTCGGGAGGTCCTTGGTAGAGGGAGCTTGGAAGCGGATATCGCTGCATTGTGTTTGGAGAAGATCGATCTGGCCTGGTGAGCCCTCCTGGTCTTAAGTACTCTACGTCCCCTGCCAAATTTTAACACTTTACAGCTGTAGGTAGGTTCGTGTGACGACATTGAAGCAACGGTATCATATTTATAATGCATCTCAAACTAACATACGGAATCTATACAGTATGATGCACCACTCCAGCCGGAGGCCGCAATGGTTCTCTAAAAGTCCTGGCGGAAGCGCCCGCCTCTTTCGGCATATCCCGCATCAGTATCCCGCCTGCATCTATAGGATCGGAGTACGAAAAGGGATCCGAGTATGAAGTAGGCCGGGTCAGCGAGTCCTCCGTCGAGATCTCCCAATGCCGGTTCTGCTTCCGCCTCAACATCCGCTGGAATTGGTACCAGTTGCGGACCTGTGGACTTGTGGTGGGATGAAGCCGGCCGGTATCTCGAGGCCGTAACCCTAGTACCCGTCGGATTCCCGTTGTGATATGCTTGTAGACGATGGGTAGGTTGGCGCATAGGATCCCGCCTGTGCATTCCCAGATCCCAAGGAGGCCGAATGTGCTGCCATCCACTGGAGTTCATTAGCTTGCGGACCGTCGAGGTAGGGGAGTACGTACGCGTCGAGACTTTGAGCCCGCTATAGCTGGTGCTGAAAGGGATCCGGGCGGCGCCGATAGCGCAGGTGCTGCAGGTGAGTGGCCTTAGCTTTGTATTTCCAGCACACCGTCCGAGGGGGTACGCACGCTAATCCAACCGAGAATAGACAGCAAAGCAAGATCTTCTGGTGTCGCGTTATTCGCATCTTCGCGATCAAGGGTAGCGGCAGTATCAGAATTCCCAGGTCAATGGCGACATTGAACGAGCCCAAAACATAAATCGGGGCGAGCATATTCCGGCAGTAGCCGGCCTGGTCGAAATGCCAGAACTTTCGGATTGGATTGCATAGCAGAAACCAGGTCACTTCAAACCCGATCAGCCATCCGATGCTCAGCGTCGCCGCGATCCAGATGCACACGTTGAGGGTCTCGGAGGGGAATGCGCGGTGGTATAGGGCCAACACAGAGAGTTTCGTCAGCGTACTGGTCCAGGTGATGAGATGGAGGACGGCGTATAGGCCCTGGGTGGATGTTCTTAGCGGGGAGCATGGGAAGAATTGTGGTGGGCTGCAATACATGCATGAGGGTCTTGATCTTCTCTTTCCCTAGGTCCGACAACGTCACGCCAACCACGAAGCTGCACACTGGCCAAGTAAGTACTGGGTAGGGGATTAACCCTGAGGTAAACGCACGGTACATCGACGTAGCACATATTGAGATGATAAGAAGCTGGAGTACATTAGCGGGGCTTCGTGATGGGCGCGACAGCGCTCGTACCGTGGCCAATACAATCAGGCCATCATCCAGCGCCAGTCGATTCCGGTTATGGCGCAGCTCGGCCCATAACCGCAATGCTGTTGAAGGGATGACCAGGCAAAGAGGAAGCGCATTGCCAAAATAATAACCACCAGCTCCTTGCGGATTGGGGTACTGATTGCTTGAGCCGTCGGTGGTGGACATCATTAGGCAACAAAGCATGGGTGAAAGCCCCTTGTCGAACCGCTGGCATGCAAGAAAGTGAAGGCAGCGCTGAGAGCCCGTGTACAAGTATTCTCGACGCCTCGGGCAGGATCTAGCGGCAACCTTGAGTTCTTTGTTCTCTGGCGTGGGATCATCCCGAGGTCCTTCAGCTCCAGCCTTGGAGAGCGTTAAGCCCCAGCCGCATTCGAGCTTGACAAAGAGCACTCTCTGACACGCGATTCGGATACAAAGGACGCCCGGGTTACACGCTGCAAGCTGCTGGCCCAATTGGGCTCAGAGGAAGCATTCTTCCTCGGTCTACCTAGGTAGAAGGCACTGAACAAAGACGGGCGGCATGATGCGACTCCGAGGACCGCTCCCCAGCCAGGAGATCATTAAGCCCTGTTCACCGAAAGGTATGACTCTAGGCCGGGCCACGGACTTTGCTGAGGCCGGGCCAGCCTCCGGGTCCATCGAAATCTTAAGATGCTGCACCACTGGATCCTTCGCGCCATCCTCAGACGCCGAGCGCCCCTTTGTCAGAGAGCCCTCGTCTCTCGCCAATCGTTTGCAAGAGATTCTCGCTGTTGCCAAAGGTAAATACGGTCTGCATCCCAAGAAACATATGTTGCAAAATGACAATGATACATCCAGACTCCTGGGTTCGTCATGCGGATCGGCCAAGCTGGCCAGCCAGAAGGATCCAGCTGGTTGGGTTCCTTGCGGTATCGGACTATCGGTAGAGCAGGGGGTTATCTGCTGAATTGGATGAGTTCTTCCTTCGCGGTCGCACTATACAGTCCGTCGCCGCCGCCACTGTCGTAGGGGTGCGCCTCCACCACGCCAATTCCAGACAATCTCAAGCACTTAACTGAGTTTCACTGGAAATTTCCGTGTGCGTTATACCACCGCTTGGCCTTGGTTAAGTGCTCCATGGTAATTGACGTTGGGAAAGACTGCACCTAGTGTAAGCGCTCAGCACCCAGATCGTACGGTCGCTCACGTTGGGTGGACGTCCATGATAACTTAAGGTCACCTCTGAGTCTCTGGCAGCCAGGGAAGCACTGTCTGGATAAGGGGGTTTAATCCAACCAACTTTGGGCGGCGCCGCCACATGAAGCGGAGGAGGCGACGGCATTCGTTAGATCCGACGATCAGGCGACTGGTAGGAGTCGACTATTAGAGGCTCTTGGAATCCGACATGGGAGTGGGAGAAGTAAGATTCCGCTGAGCCAGGCTCTGGGTTGACTTTGTTGTCGAGGGAGTGGCCAGGAGAATAAGCCATTAGCTTGCGGTTGGGGCTGCATCAGAGAAGGGAGCAGTAAATACAGTAAGTCCGGACCAGTGCTAAGAGAATCTTGGGGGTTCAGATTTGATAGCAAGGAACCTGCGACCGACCATTGCAGTGTTTCCGTCCCCCGTCATCGACTGGGATACAGCTCACCTGCACCTTCCCTTCGCGCAGTCAGTTCTGGCCCTGGCGACGAGCTGTTAATCAGGACTGGACTATCGTTTGCACATGGTTCGCTACATCCCTCTGCACTTTCTCGCGGACTGTGATCTGGTTGAAAGTTGTGATCGTGTCGAACTCTTGACGCTCGGGTGGCCGCGGCGAGCCCTAAACCCACGGCCAAGGTACTGGAGATTCCAAGCATTCTGCCAACTTGGTTCCTATTTTCGGACAAGCTGATATCTTCGTATTGTTCTTTCAAAATGGGATTCGAGGAAACAAATAGTCGTCGCTTGTGGTATGTTTGTTGCAATCGGTCCAGTTAAGAGAGGCTCGGAGGTTCAGCCCTCACTGTCCAGCCATGCTAGACATAAACCTCAGTATGAAGTACGGCTTCTCTATTTGTGCTGAGAATGGTACACTTGCAATCTCCCATTGAAATTTGGTAAGTGATCTGGCCGAGCTCTGCGAGAATTTCCGACTCTTGCTCAGTCCCTCCTCTGGGTGGTTGTAGTGGACCCCAGCATATCCCTTCATTAACACTGACGTAGGCCAGACGGTTCACATCTCGATCTCTGAAAGAAGCTTTGAGAAGGCCAAACCAAGTGCCTTCGAGAGCGAGGGAGATTGGGTCGGTATGCATTCGCAAATCAACCCGACTACACAGACATGGTATGGTGCAGAGAAGGTGCAATCTGGGCTCACGTCGTGCAAGGTAACTTTTGCCTGAAACGCATCATCTAATTGATGCTAACGACATATACGTACCTGTTTCTTCTCTGACAACTATGCATTGTCCGCTGGAGTCAAATCTGGAACAACGTAATCTCGCAAGCAGGAGACATGGCTCTACATGGGACGCCGAATGATCTGCTGCATAACCTCGATCCAATTGTCCTTGTCAGTTTTATCCCACTGATAGATCGTAAGCAGCATTATCTTACTTTCATTCCCTTACTGACACTGACACCTAGTCGTTGTCTATCCCTACTCCGCCGGTACAAAATTGACTTTTGCCCCGAGCTCAGCGTCACAGGCGGCTTCTTCCTTGCAGTTCTGTCGATGGTCCATGCCTCTGTTGTTCAATATTACATCTACAAGTCGGATCCAAACAGCATCCACGTGTGGATTCAGACTCCAATCTACGTTCTGGTTGGGTTCTCCGAAGCATTCGTTGTCATTACAGGACTCGAGCTGGCTTATACTAAGCCCCCGGAGGGTGAAGGTTCTGTCGCTAAGGTCTGGATATGTCTAATTTGTGTAACGAGTATATTACAATAGTGCCTATCTAACTTCAACCATATACGGTACCCCGTCAACGGTGAAATTATATATTTTGGCCACTGAAGCCAGAGAACCAAACAATGGTCAAATGAAGAGGTCGTTCTCACGGATTGGTCAGCTCAGTCGTCCAGAAATACAACTTTGTTCATAGAAGACTGCCCAGGCTTGATTGAGAGGTTTCTCTCCAGTCCAAGTGTCTTTGACGATGAGGAATTACTTGAAGATAACTGATAAGACCTTCAGTGCAGATAAGATAAGATAAGAATGCTCGTATCTCCGCTCCACCAGTTTGAATGCGGCCAATCGGAAGCCAACTCCGAACTCCAAGCGAGAATCTGATGAGTCAATGACTCCTGGCAATCAAGGCATCCGATAGTTTCTACATCCAACTGTCTACCAAATATCTTCAGAATGGCCCGTGATAGCATTGTGATTCTAGGGCAAGTCCTGTCGCTGTCCCAATGGCTGCGTACTGACCACTTACTGCAGGGCCGGTATTATCGGGCTCAATGTTGCCCTCGAGCTGGCCAAACGTGGCTATGGACAGCATATCACAGTCATTGGGAGAGAACTGCCAGGAGACTCGAATGTGGACTATACATCACCATGGTCAGACGCCATCTTCTTTACTAAGGTCTATGACTGACAAGTGACAGGGCCGGCGCAAACTTCTCTGGAATCTCTGGCACTGACCCCAATGCTCTGCGCTGGGATAGAGCTGGATATCTGGCTCTCATGGGTTTAATCGAGCGAGGTGCTGAGGAAGCCAAGTTCCTGGCCAAAACAGAGTCGACCGAGTATTGGGATGAGCAGCCGTCGGCTGAGAAGATTAAGAGCGTGACTGAGTATCTACGAGACGTGAGGTTGCTGCAACTATGATGCTCAAAGGCAAGAACTGACACGCAGCAGGTGAAAGTCACTCCCGAGGCAGACCTTCCCGGTGGCGTCTCATTTGGCTTGAGCTTCACGACCATCACTCTCAATGCACCAGCCCATTGCCTGCACCTGAAGTCGCTTCTCTCACGTCCCGAATACGGATCCATCAAGTTTGAGAGGAGGGCAGTAAATGCATTGGAAGACGCATTTCTGTCTCCGAAAACCAAGATCGTGTTCAATTGCATCGGGAACGCGGCAAAGACAATGCCTGGGGTCCAGGATGCCAAGTGCTATCCAACAAGAGGGCAGATTGTTCTTGCGAAGGCGCCTGCTGTCAAACAGAACGTGATGCGGCATGGAAAGGATTACGAGACGTATATTATTCCCCGTCCGTTGTCAGATTCGACGGTCATTCTCGGTGGCTATCTGCAAAAAGGGGATTCTGACGGCCGCGTCAGAGAAGAAGAGAGTCGGTCAATTCTACGCAGAACGGGAGAGCTGCTGCCTGTGCTCAAGCAGAACGATACGAGGATTCTCAAGGTGGCAGTTGGGTTCCGGCCTTCACGAGAGACCGGCGCTCGCGTGGAGAGGGAGGAGATTCAAGGGCGAACTGTGGTGCATAACTATGGGGCTGGGGGAACCGGATACCAGGCAGGGATGGGAATGGCACAGGATGCAGTGGACTTGGCACAAGAAGTTCTTGGACAACTGCCAGTAAGCAAGTTGTGATACTCATAGATTGTCCATAGACATATAGACGCTGGTCACGTGCCCCGGCCTGTACCTACCCATCGGCTGAAGCAATTCCGAACGTGGACTCTACAAACCTGCAACTTCGCAACGGATGGAGCGACGACGGTACATGAGCAACGCCAGCGCGCTTGAGATGGCTGGCGTACGCGTAAATCGGCCTGTCAGATCGATTCGATCGGTCCATATCGACTTTGCCGAGCTCATGGCCAAGCGTGCGGATTTACGTCGCGACAGCGGAGAAGACGCCATTGACCATGGTACTACGACTCCCTCCACTATGCAGATCTGCCAGTCCAGTCCAATCTGATTTACGGCCACGGCCCACAAGGAAAACTCGATTTTGGCCCGGTCGGGGATAGCATGCTTGACTGTGCGAGCCTTGCCAGTCGTCCTTTCCAGAAGTTTCTGCATACAATCGTGCTCATCCTCCTCAAGATGGTCAGAGCGACCCGGAATACATAGCTAGTCGAAAGCTACTCGACCAAGCTGCTGTCAAGACGCCCGGATATTGTTCGGTTTGCGCTTTACGGTTTGACGCGGTATTCTGGAGGGGTTGGGACAAAGTCCTTGGCTTTGGATACCTAATCTGTCGAAGAACATTCGATGGAAATAGGTTGAGCCGCTGAAATCATCGCATCAAGAGTACTATCAGCTAGCCATTCTTCCGACCGGTAATCGACTCAGTACTGCGTGCGAAGCTCCGGATCTACGCCCCTCAAGACAGTCACAATCTCCGCCCATACCCTCTCCCTCACGGCAACCTGGTCCGGATCGCTCACAACGCCGCCAGGTCTATCACCCTTATGAGCCTATGTCATACTCTGGAGGAAGGTTTCACTCACTCTGCAATGGCCAAATCCTCAAACCAAACCCCATGGCTCTCGACCCCCTGAGTGGCCGCATGCAGGAGCGTCTTGGCCGCCTCGTCGACAGTCCTTGCTCCACTGTTCTTGACAAGCCCCCTGGCCCAGGGCTCAGAGTACCCTGGAGTAACAGAGTTCACGGCGACAAGAGGATCGCCGTTTTCCTAGCGAGGCACAATCCGAGCGATCTCCGTGGCGATAAAGATCTACAGGAGCTTCGTGACAGTGTATCGCTCCGTGGCGCCACCGCGGCTCTGTGATGTCCTCGACTACTCCTGGTTGTTGAGGGCCAACAGGATGTTATCAAACCCGAGTTCACGTAACAACGCTGATCTATGAATGTCCCTCGCCACGATGGTCAGAAACGGCTTCGACAAGTACAAGTAAGGGTAGGAGCTCCAGGCTCAGCAAGGCTGCGGAGAGGACGTTGGCCTAAAGTGCTCGTTCCCATCGATCGATCGCGGTGACCCAGTCCGAAGACGCGACGTCAGAGTTGATGATTGAGAAATCTATGCGGCCTCCGTCATTCACGTATTACCTCACCCTCGATGCAAAGGCCTGAACGCTGGCGAAGGTCTCCAAGTCAACGTGGTTTACATAGACGAAAGCGTCGACGCACCCTTGTGAAATCTCAGCTTCGGTCTTTTCGCCCTGCGTCGCGGAGCGGACTCCTAGGATGACTGTTGCTGCGAGGTTCAGAGCATGCCGGGCAGCTTCACGCCCCAGGCCAGTGTCTGCATCGGTGATGAGCAAGACTTTGCCTCCGACACACTTGGAGGGAGGGAGGGAGGGGAGTTTCGGCGGGGAGAGCCGGCTGGACAATATACCCATGTTGAACGAAGATGGCAGGACGATGGCTTTTGCCGCGTCGGCCGGCAAGAGGGGTTTATATGCGACGGCATTCTAATGGGCTGATTGCAGGGTAGGGGTAAGCTGACTTGTTCTCCGTGCATCCCGGGGCGATCGGACAAGGATAAATCCTGCAGCACGATTGAGGAAAAGGGCGTTCTGCAAACACTACGGAGTAATTGGCATTCTGAACCCTCCGGCTGACCTTGCTGTACCTAGGACTTGAAGCCGATTTCCATGCTTGCTTTTCGCAGTCACCCGAACCCAGCCAAAATACAACCCAGAATCGGATGCCGCGCATGCATGATGTTGCTCAGAAAAAAAGAACGTGAATTCTGAAGATGGACCAATCCCTTGCAAAGATGTTTCCTATTCCTCAGGATGGCCTTATATCATCCTGCGGTCTTTCCGTGTCAGCGACAGACGAAGAACTGAGCGCCGCTTCCATACAGCATGGCATGGCTTGGGATAGGGTTAGCTTCGAAGAGAAGCATCGCGAGCACCAGCCAATTCCCCTTTCCCGACCTTTCCTAGGCAGGTCCCGTCCGACTCTAAGGACCCAGCTGTTGAAAGATCCCCTCGAATAGTTGGAACTCCCGGGGCGCCAAATATATATAGTTCTCAGGGTGGATGCGACCTTTGCAAGGCATCCGCCAACTCAGTCCACTACTACGATATCTTTCCACTCATAGACTGTTTGGGTGCCTCTGCCATTGAGTGACGGTCATGTACGGAGTACAGTTGAAGACCGTGCTTCGACCCTCCCATGGAATTCCGAGGTGCAGTGCCGGATTCGATCCACGTAGTGTGGAGGCCGTGGGCCCATCCCCAAGCACGGGACCGTGACATCATACCAGAATGACTCGTGCACCGACAACCGTAACTCGACTCCGAAAAAGCAGCCATTGCCATTTGCTGTTATCGTGCAGCGGAGCAGCGGAAGATCCACGGGCCTGCGGACGGCGACGGCGAATGGTACGGAGTCCCGACCGAGAGTGAGAGTGATATCATCGCAGACCCTGAGAGCAGACTTCCGATTCCGAGAACGAACCGCCTCGACCGTGCCCAGCATTGGCTAAACTGCGGACAGCTGGGCATTCAGAGCAGGTCAGCCGAGCGATGCCAAGTGGTGCTAAGCTTGTGCCGTGCACAGAGCCCAGCATTGTCGCCCCAAGCCGAGTCTGTAGTACTCGGGATGCCGTGTTCATCGGATTTCGAGATCGCAGTTCGCGACGCAGGACAGAACCCCTTTAATATAATGTTCACGGGGTAGAACCTGGGGACTCGGGGGAGGCTGGAATGCATTGCTGCGACCGTGTCATGACGTAGGGCCTGTCCCATCCCCCGAGTGGGTATCTGCTAGTTCGATGGGTCTGCAGAATCCGGTTGTCTGCTCAAGAACCATTGCTTGTTGCCGCTAAGATCTGCTCTACGGTTGTCTCGACTGACGCAATTGGGCCTGTGCTCGAAAAATTCGAACTGTCAATTTTTTGAACGGGGGTATATGAATACGCCCGCTCATCACCTCATTCTGATCTAATCCTCCTTCAACACCAAAATGTCGGAACGCGAGCTGGAAAAGGCACTCGAGAATCATCACAAGCCATCTTCAGAGAAGGAGGGGAACCCCGACAATGGTGGCACCGCCGACGCCCCCATCATCCCAGACACGCGGGTTGAGCAGGCGGAGAGGCAACATGCCGCCGTCGAGAAGGAGAGTGTTCGCTCCGACGGAAAGCGCGAGCTGAAGGAATATGAATGTTACGAGCAGCTGGGATACTGTTGGCCGACGTGGAAGAAATGGACGTATCTTGTTGCGGTCGCCTTTGTGCAGGTGTCCATGAACTTCAACACCTCTGTCTTCCCCAATGCTGTCGCGCCTCTCTCGGAAGCCTTCCATATCAGCGAGCAGCATGCGCGAACGGCCCAGATGGCATATCTGGTTACGTATTCGGTTGGATGTGAGCTGTGGGCGCCGTGGAGTGAGGAGTTTGGCCGGTGGCCCATCCTGCAGCTCTCCATGTTCCTCATCAACATCTGGCAGATCCCCTGTGCGTTGGCGCCTAACTGGGGGACTATCGTTGTCTGCCGCGCTCTTGTAAGTCGACTTCACCCCGGCATACATATATGTCTCTAACAGAACAGGGTGGTCTGTCGACGGCCGGTGGCAGTGTGACGCTCGGTCTGATTGCCGATCTGTACGAGAAGGAGACGCAGCAGTTCCCCCTCGCCTTCATCGTCCTGTCGTCGTGCATTGGAACCAGTATCGGCGGTGTCATTGGCGGTCCCATCCAGCGCTGTAAGCTCCCCTCCCGTGCCTTACTACCATGTCTAACCTGATAGTCCTCCACTGGAAATGGTTCTTCTGGATCCAGCTCATCTTCGGCGGCGTCACTCAGGCCATCATCTTCTTCATGCCCGAGAGTCGATCGACCATTATCATGGACCACGTCGCTAAGAAGATGCGCAAGACCGGCGAGGACCCCAACGTCTACGGGCCCAACGAGCTCAAGAAGCCCCGTGTCTCGGCCAAGGAGGCCTTCCATATCTGGATCCGGCCTTTCCACATGCTGCTTACCGAGCCGATCGTCTTCTGTCTGTCGCTGCTGTCCGGTTTCTCCGATGCGCTTATCTTCACTTTCCTCGAGAGCTTTGCCATCGTCTACGAGCAGGGCTGGGGGTTCGGCATCCTGGGCCAGGCGTGGGCCGTCATTCCCATCAACGCGGCATACTTCATCGCCTACGTCAGCTATCTCCCGTGGTTCCTGCGCGACAAACACCACCGCAAGAAGATGGGCGGGGACGACATGGCGCCCGAGCGTCGTCTGAAGTGGCTGCTCTGGCTGGCTCCCCTCGAACCGATCGGGCTGTTTGGCTTCGCATGGACCTCGTTCGGCAAAGAGCGCGGCATCCCCTGGATTGCGTCGATGATCTTCTCGACCTGTGTCGGTATCGCCAACTACGCCATCTACTTGTCGTCGGTTGATTACATGGTCGCTGCGTACGGTGTCTACTCGGCCTCAGCCACCGGTGGCAACGCTTTCGCTCGAGACCTGCTCGCCGGTATCTCGGCCATGTATGCCACGCCCATGTACACCAACATCGGCGACAAGTGGCACGTCGAGTATGCGTCGACTGTCCTGGCCTGTCTGTCGTGTCTAGTGGTGCTTCCAATCTACGTTTTCTACTGGAAGGGCCCGCAGATCCGCGCTCACAGCAAGTTCGCCCAAGCCCTCGAGGCCGAGAACAAGACCAACCAGGGTCGTCGTGTTAGCAGGATGAGCAGCACGAGCGGGGGATGGGGGTCTGTCTAGCCTTAGACAGGCAGCGGCAGTAAACGATGCATTGATAAGATCCTCGAGTATCTTGCATATCATGTCTTGATGAACATATTTGTACATATAGCGACGCGATGAATATAGTGATGACCTTGCATTTCTGCATTTCCTCTGAGAATCTAGGAACCTACGACATTCGAGGTGGAATCTCATGGTTGTGTAAACTCGAACTCGAACTCGATCCGAGGAACATCGGAGCTGTTCTCAGGCATCGAGAAGGTGACATTCCAGAATTCAAAGCCACTACACCCTATTAGCAAACAATCTCGCATCAAGAAAGCGTCACTTACTGGATCACATCGCAAGCCCCCCCAAGCAACCCGCAGAACGAGATCTCAGGAACCGGATCGACCGTACCCCCAACCTTGATATCCAGACCATCGACATCATCCAGAGTGCCAATATCCCGCTTCCTACCCAGAGGATTTGCCGCGAGAACAAAAGTGAATGTACTCGACGCATCACCAAGCGGGTACGTGAGATTCAGCCCATACGGCGCAACCTCAGCCTTCAGCGCCGTCTCAACCGGATACAGATTCAAGTACCCAATGGACTCGTCAGATCGAAGCCACTGCACAACAGCCGGACTGAACGAACTCGAGTCCTCGGAGAAGCCACCCACAACGCTCTGGTTGAACGACTGCGTGCCGATGGTGAGATTTGCCGAAACCCAGGTCGTGATATTGCGCGGCTCGTAGTCCGCTGGAGGGGCGTAGGCGTGACCACTGTAGGTATGCTCGCCAGAGAACGAGGTGAGTCTGGACAGTACCTCTCCTGAAACAAGCGTCTTGTGGAATGCAGACAAGACGGCGATCACCGGCGCGATCTCGAAGTCGTCGGCGTGCGCCATGGTCCAGATGGGCGAGGTGTGGTTCCACGCTGTCTCCTTGCTGCTCAACGCCCAGATCCACAGCGACATGATGCCCACGTAGTTGTTCATGTCGTACCCGTACGAGCGGTCCCAGGGGCCGGCGAGGTTCCGCATGAGTGGATTCCAGAGTTGGGACTCGTAGGCCCAGATCTGCTGGATGATGCGCTCTGCGTTGCGGCCGATTGTTGAGTTCGTTGAGCCCAGGTACTTCGCTGCTATGGTGAGGGCGTAGAGAGAGACGCCGGCGTAGGTTGGACCGTTGTATTCGGACAGCGTGTGGTCGCGGTCGAACAGCGAGAGGAAGGAGGCGGCGTCGCTGTCTCCTGCTTCGGTCATGTTGGTGTCGGCGAGCTTGAGTCCAGCCCATGAGCTGGCTACGGTGCGCATCAGCCAGGCGTTTGAGTAGGCTGGGTATAGGTTGTCGCCGTCCACTCCGCCGACGCGGTAGCTGTCGCCGACTGTGCTGTTGTAGACACTCTCGAGGATCAGGTCTTGGATGTCGGTTGGCAGGAGAGCGTGAAATTCCTCGTAGATGAGGATCAATGCGGTGCCAATGAAGCCTCGCCAGTTGGGATCCCACGAGTTGTAGATCTGCCTTGTTAGCCCTAAGTAACCCGACTAGATGATGCAGGAGTTCTGTAACTCACCACCGGCGGATATGCCTGTGTCCCCACGGTCGGCTGCTCCGGGTACTTGGTGTAGTCGCCATACCATTGCACGGTGGTGTTCTTCTCCTGGTCGCGAATGACATTCTTGAGGATGTTGATGGCTTCGTCGGCGTCGTTGCCCTGGTTCCGCTGCAGCAGTCCGACCGAGTACCAGACCGACGATCGGGTTTCGTGAGGGCCGGCAGCCAGTGGGAAGTAGAAGTAGCGGAGGTACGAGGCTGCTGGATCGTAGATGGCGTCTTGTATAGTCATGGACTCGTTTAAGAGACCCCATGCATCGTTGCTGATCTCGACCGAGTGCACTGCAGCTGCACCCACGAGGGCGAGCAACCAGCTTGTTCTTCCCAGCATTTGGACTGTGAATAGAATTGACCGCTGGTTACAACCCTTGAAGCTATTTATTGGTCTACCCCGCCGGGCTCGGTTGCAGTTGGAGTAGATGCAATCAATGCTGGGGCCATGCTAGGGCCGAAACGGTCAAGAGTGACTCCAACGCCGGTGGGCGCACTCGTTATCTTCAATTCGTAGCACAAAAGATAAGACGATAGAAGCAAGGGACGGGGTTCAATAAATATCGGCCGGTCAGCCTCGTCTGTCACACAAACCCCAACCCTCCGACATCCACGATGAAGCCCAAGGAGATCAGCGTCTCCCTCGCCAACGAGGCCGACATGGATGCCGACGAGTTGCGTCTGGCTCAGATGGGTATTTTCACGCCTCCAAGATAAACAGGATGCTGACCGTCCAGGCCACACGCAGGAGCTCGAGCGCCACTTCAGCATCGTCTCGCTGATCGGTCTCGCCTCGACCACGACCATCTCCTGGACAGGCCTCGGGCTAAGCATCGTCACCGAGATCAATGCGGGCGGGCCAAGCGCGATTATCTACGGCTTTATCCTGGTCACCATCATGCAATCGTTTCTGGGCGCCTCCTTGGCCGAATTTGTGTCCAGCTACCCGACCGAGGGGGGCATGTACCACTGGATTGCGGCCATTGCGCCCAAGAAACTGAGTGCCTTCTTGAGCTTTATTACCGGGTGGCTGACTGTTGCTGGATGTAAGTGACAAGTCCTACTGTCTGGTTAAGCAGGACTGACTGTCCAGGGATCTTCACCACCGCATCGACCAACCTCATCTTCGCGCAGATCGGTACGGCTTCACCGTTGATAATTGGTCCTTCGCTAATGTGACTCAGTCCAGGCATTGTACTCGCTGTATCACCCCGACGACGCAATCAAAACATGGCAGACCTTCATCATCTACCAGATCCTCAACATCCTCACAGCCGCCGTCGTCCTGTTCGGCAACAAGATCATCCCCTCGCTGAACAAGTTCTCGCTCTTCTACCTGCAGATCGGCTGGTTCGTTGTCCTTGTTACGGTCGTCGCATGTGCCCCGACGCACCAGAGCAGGGAGTTTGTCTTCCGGACGTGGGTCAACAACACTGGCTGGGACAACAATGTCATTTGTTTCATCACTGGACTTGTCAACCCGCTGTATAGTCTGGGAGGGCTGGATGGGATCACGCATATCACGGAGGAGATGCCTAATGTGAGCACCGTGACTCGTTGATATAGATTGTCGACTGACCGTGTAGCCCTCGCGCAATGCCCCCTTGGCCATTGGAATCACGCTCACCATCGCCTTCACCACCGGCCTCAGCTACCTGATCGCCCTCATGTTCAGTGTCCAGGACTTTGCTGCCCTGTCAGACACAAACACCGGCCTGCCCTTGACCGAACTCTTCCGCCAGGTGACGCAGTCGGTCGGGGGTGCCTTTGGCCTCACCTTCATCCTGTTCATCGCCCTCGGTCCCTGCGTTATCTCGTCGCAGCTCTCTACCTCCCGGGTCCTCTGGGCCTTTGCCCGCGACAGGGCGATGCCATTCTCCGACACTTGGGCGCGAGTCAACAAGCGGTTCGGGATTCCGTTCAACGCTCAGCTCCTGGTCGCGGCCGTTGTTGCTGCTCTCGGCTGCATCTACCTTGGCAGCAGTACGGCGTTCAATAGTATGCTGGGTGCTGCTGTCACCATCAACAATGTGGCCTACCTGATCCCGATCTCCACGAACATGCTGACCGGCCGGGCTAATATGCATCGTGGGACATTTCATATGGGCAAATGGGGCTGGATTGTCAACAGTGTAACGGTTGGCTGGCTTCTGTTTGCTATCATCTTCTTCAGCTTCCCGTATAACATGCCAGTGACGGTGGAGAATATGAACTACACCTGCGTGGTGGTCGGCGGTATCCCCATTCTCATCTTGGTCTGGTGGTTTATCGGCAACAGGCAGTACAAGGACAAGATTGCACGGGCAAAGGAGGAGTAGAGGACGGACAAATAGTCTTGTGTCAGAATGATCCCGATATACAATGGATGACTTTATCACCATGTCAGTAGTTCTGATCATCGTAGTTGATCTCAATGGCCGGCATGCGATGGCTCAACCTTCCTTATAATATTAACGAACAAGGCCACCGCTACCATCTACCATAACCTTTCAAGGGGGGAAATGCTCTAGACAAGAAACCCTTGTTTCCATCCAAGCAATACCCAACCACCCATAGTGACCATTTCTCTATCATTCGAGCAGGGGAGAGGTAAAAGGCAGTAAAAGTTAAATATGGAAAGAACGTTTCCGGCAGCAATACATGCGTACCTACATACATGGAAGTGCTACATCCCATCAGCAACCATCGCATTCACCAACAACACATTCCGATCGCCATTCGTCTCGCTCCACTCATCATTGTAGTTGAGCCCATACGGCCAAAAGTGCCCGCCACCGCAGTTAATAACCGCATCTGGTCCATCCCACGACCGCAGAAGGGGCAGGGCGCGCGGCCAATCCCCGCTCGCGCAGAGCTCGTCAAAGGCAGAGGTCTGTCCGACACCCAGAGTATGCGAGATCTCGTGCAGCGCCGTGCGCTCATTCATGTAGCTGCGGTCGCTGCCGAATCGGATGTCCCCGTTGTAGTTGGCTTCGGCGGTGGGCACGCCGGGGGAGTAATAGACGTAGAGGGTTTTGGTGGCGGCTCCGAGCCGGGCGTGCCGGGCGACCGCTGCTTACATTGCGGCTTCGATTAGGCTGTAGGCGTCGGCTTCGTCTACGGTTGGGTTTGATGATTTTTCCAGGGACCAGGTGAGGGCCGCTGAGGCGGATGAAATGGTTGCCACCAGGGCAGTGAGTAGCGAGACGCGCATTGTGAGAGGAAGCGATCTGAAAGAAAAGTAAGTGGTATGAACGGCTGATGTTATGGTTCAGGGACCATTTTATGTCTTGCCGGCCGCGAGTAGAGGGCAAGGGTCCCTGACTGCTTGGGTTGTATCCAGTAGATTGACCGATGTCACAGGTTGATCTGCTGAAACGGACACACTCAACTCCACCAGTCCAAGGCAACATCTCCCAAACGCCAAGGGCCGTACGTCTGGGTTTGCCTGCTGTCTGTGCTTGCCAAGTGTTGATCTTTTCCTTGCATGTTTCATGTTGGGCCCGTCCGCGGGATATTCCGTCCGCTCCTCAAGGGGAATGGTCTAGATGGAAGGCGCAAGATGCTGTGAAGCAACTAGATGAGTATACAGACATTGCTTTGCTGTTCTTACAAGATTACCTCCAACGCATCCATGTTACGCTAGGATAGCTCCGATGTGTCTCCACAGGAATCTGCCCATTGTCACCCACGACGCTCCCGAGTGAACGCCCTCAATAAACCCAAGGCAAGATCCTCCATCTCACAGTCCGCCTGTACGTCTTCCAATCCTCGCCATACTTCTTCGCGCACATGGCGTCGTCCCGGCGCTCGCGGTGGATGAGCAAGACCCCGAAGTACAGCACATAGAAGTAGGTGAAGATCATTCCCCATCCAGTTGCAGGTCCCTGGACCACTACTCGCCCGTCGAGCATGGTGCGAGACTGCGAGTCCGAGAGATCGGCGGAGGTCAATGCGGCCCCGGCCGGAAGAATCATGTATCCCGCAATCCCCGTAGGCAGACTAAATGGCAAAGCCTGCATCCAGTCGCCGAAGTAGTTGATGTGCCGCGAGAGTCCCCACCAGCCAGCTGTGAGGAGCCGGGTGCCGCGCTTGGTTCTGATCGAGGATAGACCACGCACTGCTGGGTGCTCTGGCTGGGTCCGAAACAGATGTTTCTGGTTGTTCGCCGCTTTGAAGATGTATATGCCGAGTACGAAGATAGCAGCAACGCCGAGAATTCTTGGCCAGCCAAGGTGCACGGGGAAAGCTGCGAGGTAACGAGCCTGCGTAGAGTAGAGAAAAGGTACCCAGACAATATCGCCGAAGGAAAGCATAAAGCCCATGCCATCCGTAGTGATATCCATCATCGTTAATATGGAGGACTCGTTGTACTGGCTGCTGAGGACGTAGTATGCTTGCACGGCTGTCGTAAAGATAATGCTGTCAGAGATGTACCCGTAGCTGCGGTACTGCTGGGCGATAAATGCCAGGTCAAGCAGGATCCACGCGGTCAAGCCAGGGCAAACTTCGCACCAGGTCTTGATGTCGACTTCCCCAAGCAGGGGCAGAGTAACCCGGGGGTTGAGCTCGCGGCCGATGTAGAAATCATAGATGAAGTTGCCTGTCGTCCCGCCAGCAGCTAGCTCTCGAAGGCCGCGGTTGGGATACTTGGTGTCGACGGTGAAACTGTTGACGTACAGGAAAACAGATAGGGCGTATGAAATAAGGATGTTTGCTGTGAGAAGTTGCACATAGTTGTCGGTGATATAAGTCCAGACGGGAAACTCGGCGCCCTGGAAGTAAGTGCCTGCCGCGCAGATTGCGAGAACCACCACACTTGCCGAGAACGCTGCCACGACCGTCAGCCTGGATTAGTCCCGAGGGTTGCTAGGGGTTGATACCATTGAACCGATACAAAAGGGGACGATGATGATGCACCAACTTGGTTCCATAGACTTCGTTTGCAGGAAGAACCCTCCACAGGAATAGCCCGATGACATAGTAGGCGACAGTAACAAGCATCGCTTCCCTGGTAAAGAATTTTGATAGACTGGCATTCAGTAGACCAGCATCAGCGTTCAGACTTTCCCAGGCAAAGTCGCAGGGGTGTAAAAGAATTGGGACAGGGCAGCCAGACACGTCGTTGCAGGCGAATGCGAACACGTAAAGCAACACGGGCAGGCCAAATGTGATGCCAGCGGCACCCAGGCTGAGAGAGCATTAGCGGTAGCCACAGCCTATCAAGAGGAATTCATACGGGCCACCAAATTCGTATTCGACCATGGTTGTAGAGAGACGAGGGTTAATGTTGTTGCCAACAAACCTGTGGAAAGGGGCAGACGCGCCAAGCAATTGAATGACTAAGCTGGCCTGCTGTCACGTGCTGGATGGGCTGTACAAGATACAAGACGGCATAAGATGGACGCTGGACTTCTTTGAGATCCGGAATCGAGTCAGGTAATACTTCCAACATCCAGGGGTATTTAGGACCAGGCTTAGGGCTTCGGAACGACAGCACTCCGCGCCTGTATCAGATCCATGTACAACGGATGTCCTACTGTCAGCCAAAGGTGGAGATCTCTCATTTTAGTGGAGTTCTTATTTGTCAACACCTCCACATGCCGTGTTAGTATAAAAAAGTAAGGCGCTTAATGCCTTACTATTTTAATAAAAAAATTAGGCTATTAATAAGTTTTTAAAAACTTAAAATATTTATATAAACCTTTAGGTAGCTTTAGCTTTTAATAAATAACTTATTTTTTTTTATTTTTTTATAGTATTTAATTAATAGCTTTATTAATTAATATAATATATAAAAGGCCTTATAATTATAAGCCTAAATATTAATTTAATAATTTAGTTTATTAAATTTTTACCTTTTTTAAATATTTTAAAATTATTTATATTTTTAAATATATACCTTAAAGTTATACCAAGCCTTTTATAATTAATTACCTTTTATAATTAATTACCTTTTTTATTAAATTAAAATAAATATTAATTAATTTTTAACTTTTATACTTAATTTAAAAATTATTATAAGCTTTATTAATAATATTATAAGTATAAAAGTTATTTTTAAGTTTAAAAATAACTAGCTAGCTTAGTATAGCTAAATCTCTTGCTTTACTTAAATAATAAAAGTTTAAAAGTTTTTTAACCTAAATATTTTTAAAAAAAAATAATTTTTTTTTTAAATTACCTTTTAAAAATATAACTAAAAAAATATTTAAAATATATAATAAATACTAGCTTAATACTAAGTATTATTATATTAAAGTTTAGGAAATAAATAAAGTTATTTAAAAAATTATTACTATTTTTATTTAATAACTTATTAAAAATAAACTTATTATAAAGGTTTTAGTTAAATTAAAGTAATAGTTTACTTTAATTAATTTTAAGACTAAACTAAAGGTATTTAATAATTATTTTATAGCCTTAAATACTTTAATTTAATAAGGCAAGATTAGTAATTAGCTTTAAAATTATAAAAATACTTTTAAAAAATTAAATACCTTAATTAACCTAAATTAAAAAATAAAATAATTAATATAACCTTTCTATAAATAATTAGCAAGTATTTAAATTTTTATATAAAATAAAATATTAATTAATTAAACTAAAAAGGTGCTAATTTAATTACTTACCTTTAATTTATATTTAAATATTAATAATATTTTTTTATAATTAATAGCTTTTTTAAAAACTCTGCCGGAGCGGTAGCCTTTATAACTTTTAATAAAAAGTTAAATATTTTTTTTAAAATAATATTTATTAATAATAAGCCTTTTTATTTATATAACTATTTTTAAGTAATAAAATAATATTAATACTTTATATAATTACGCAAAAAGCCATGGTATAAACCTAAAAAAATATAAATAAAAAAATTAGTAAAGCTTTTAATAAAAATAATAAATATAGTAAAAAATTTTAAAAGGTAAGGGCTAAAAATAAATAAATCCTTAAAAATAAAAAAAGTTAAAAAAAAGCTTAAAAAGCTTTTTTAATTACTTAAGCTATAATAAAAAAATATTATAGCTATATACTTATTATAAGTATTTAAAATAATTTAATATTTTAAAATACCTTTATTTTTAATACTAGTGCCTTTATTTATATTTATAATAATTTTAATTATTTTACCTTTTTTAATTAATTAAAAAAAGGTAATATTTAAGTAAAAAATATAATTATTATTATTTAAGGCATATAATTAATACTCTTTTATTTTAAGGCTTTAAATAATAAAATAATATTTTTTACTTTTAGTAAAGTAGCTTTTATACCTAGCTTTTATACTAATATTTTAGTAGCTAGGCCTTTTAAAAAGGCTAAATATTTTTAAAATTTTAATACCTTAATTACTAAAAACAGCAAACCAGTATTTTATTTTAAAAATTATTTATTTAGCCTTTAAATAATTAAGTTTAAAAAAAACTTAAAGCCTTAAAAAAAGGCTAATACCTTAACTTAATAAAAAGTTAAGACCTTAACTTAAAAAATTTATATTAAAAAAAATTTTAAAGCTTTTTACCAGTGCCTAAGCTATATTAATAATAAAATACTTTAATATTTATTTATTATAATTAAAAAAGTTTAGATTATTAGTTTTTAACTACCTTAGTAATATAATATTTATAAATATAAATAAGTTTTTTAATAAATATTTAAAAGGCCTAGAAATCCTACTACTATATTATTTAATTAAATTTACTTTAACTTAATTTTTATAAAAAAAGCAATAAATAAAAAAAAGTAAGTAACTTACTTTTATAATAAAAATACTAAGTTTTACTAGGCCTATGTTTACTAAAAAAAAAGCAGGTATAAAAATATTATTAAGTAATATACTAAGCTTATTTAAACCTAGTTTAGTATTATTTTAAAGGTTTTTTTTAATAATTATAAGCTTATACTTAGTAATAATATTTTTAATTTTACTATATTTTAAAATATACTTTAAAACTAGTTTGCCTTTTATATTTTTTTTAAAATAATATAGCTAAGCACTTTAGTAGTATATTAATTAAAAAAGTAAAAATAATAGCTTTTTATAAAAAGATTTTTTTTAATATATAACCCTGGGTTATAAAAACCATAGCTTATATTAATAATCAAATTTTTATTAAGCTATTAAATTAAAAAATATTATAAAAAATACTTACTAATAAAAAACCCTGTATTTTTAGTATTAAAATACTAGATTATTTTACCTAGGCAAAACAAGCCTAAAAAAAAGTTTTTATAAAATAAAATTAAAGGCTTTATTAAAATACTTACTAGGCTATATTATTTTAAATATTTAATAAATCTAGTTTCCTAAAAATAGGTTATTTATGCCTGTAAAAATATTATTTTTAATAAATTTAAATTATATAATTTAAAAGATTTTTTTTTACTATTAATATTAAAATTAAGTTACCAGAGCCTTTAGCCTAAGTTTTTAATATTTTTTTTTAAAATTATAAAACTAAAAAGATTAACCTTAACCTTAACTTTAGTAAATTTTTTAAATAAAAAAAAATAAGGGTATTTTAAATAAAAATAGGCCACGGGTGGTAAAGATTTTTTAAAAAAAAAGGTATTAATAGTAGTAGTAAGTATAAAGTAAAAAATAAGGCTTAAAATATTACTAGTAAAATTAAAAATATTATTAATAAAAAAAAGGCTTTTAATTAACTAAATAAGTTTTTATACTTGCTAACTTTTAAGGTAATTCCTAAACCTTATTATTATAAAAAACTTATATAAAACTTAGCCTTATAAATAGCTCCAAGGGCCTATTTAAAAAATCCCTAGTAATAAATTTTATGCCTTTAAATATTTTAATAGTTTTTTACTAATTTAGCTAGTAAGTAGTTACTTAAAAAAAATAAATAAGCATGCCTAGCTTTTTTTTTAGTTTTTAAGCTTAGCGCGCTTAAGGGGTAAAACTTTAGTAACTTTAATTTTTTTTTAAAATAACTAGGCGCAGGCTTAAATAATATAATACTAATAATTATATATATAATTTAAACTTAAATAAAGCTCCCTTAAATAATTTAAATAATTTTAATTATATTTAATTTACCTTTTTTACTTTTTATTAAAACCCTATAAAAAAATACTTTTATTAAAATAATTTATCTTTTTTTCCCAAGCGCTAGAGCAATCTTAAAAATTATTTATTTTATAATAATTTTTTAAAGGCTATAAATCTTAAACTAGAAGCTTTTTATAAAAAAAATATAAAAAGTAATAAATAAATAAAAGGTAAAAATAAATAAGCTAATTTTTTTATTATAAGTTTTTACTTATAAATTTAATATTAATAGCTACTTTATTAAGGCTAAAGCTTAAATTTATATATATAAAAATTTAAAATTAAAAATTTTTAAAAAAAATTAAGTAATAATTACTTTAATAAGGGTTTTTAAAGCTTTTATAACACTTATAATTATTTTTAACCTTAATTTTAATTAAAAAAATATTATTAATATATTTTTTAATACTGCCCTTAAAAAGGTAGTATATTTTTACTTTTTAAATAATTATAAATAATAAAATAAGTTATTAAAGGCCCTTAAGGCTATTTATAAACTTTAAAAGTTTTTATACCTTTAATAACTTAATTTAATAATAATATTATAAAAATTTAAATTTACTATAGTTTTTTAAAAAAAGTGCTTTTATATTAGTAAATTTATAATTTTTTTATTTATATAAATAATATTATTATTATAAACTTTTTTATTAAAAAAGGCCGAGTTGCTATAATTACTTTTAAAAAAAACTAGTAATAAAGTATAAGCTTTAGTATCTTAGTAAAGTAAAATAATTTTTAAAAATTTAAATTATTTAAAATAGGGAAAAGCGCAAGGTTTAGCTATATTAAAACTTTTATATTAAAGTAATTATAAATTAATTTTATTTAAATATAATAATTTAATTTTTAAAAATACCTTTTTTAGCAAGCTTTATTTAAACTTTAGTACTATTATACCTTAATAAATTAAAAAAAATAAAATTTAAAGTTAGCTTAGTTAAATATACAAGCATGCTTACCTATTTAAATATTTTTTATATTATTAATTAATTATTAAAATACTTAGTTAATCTAGTAAATTATTATTAATATATAATAAATTAACTTATTTTTTATTTTTATAACACATGCTTTTTAGCCCTTAAATACTTTAATTTAAATAGCTTTAAAAATAAGCTTATTTTAAAAATATATAATCCTTATAAGGCCTATTTTAATATACTTTTTATTAATTAATTTAATTATTTTTTTAATATAAGCTATATTTACAAGCTATATAATAATTTAATTAAATAAAAGGTTATAAAGTAATATTTAATTATAACTTTAATAATTAAGATAAAATTACTAGCTTTATTTAAAGCTTTTAAAGTAACTTACTAGTAGCACTAGGTTTTTAATTTAATATAATTTAATTTTTAATACTATTTTTTAGTTTAATATAATAATAAATAAATTATTAATATTTTTACTAATTTTAATATTTAATTATAATTAAAATTTTAATATATTAATATTTATAACTTATAGCTTTAATAAAAAGTTTAATATAAAATTTTTAAAATTAAATAAACTTTTATAAATTAAATAATTATAAATAGCCTTACTAAGTTACTTATTAAATAATAATACTATAAATTTATTAAAATACTTAGTTTAGTAAATATTTCTAGCCTTATTTTTAATATTTAGTAGGTATTAAAAGGGTGTATTAATTAAAAGTAAAAATTTTTTATTTTAATAAAGTTTTTATTTATTAACGCCTTTATATACCGTGTTAGTATAAAAAAGTAAGGTGCTTAATATTTTATTATTTTAGTAAAAAAATTAGGTTATTAATAAATTTTTAAAGGCTTAAAATATTTATATAAACCCCTAGGTAGCTCTAGCTTTTAATAAATAACTTACTTTTTTTTTATTCTTTTTTATAGTATTTAATTAATAGCTTTACTAGTCAGTATAGTATACAAAGGGCCTCATACCTACCTTCGATGTCCTGGCCGGTCTGTATTATCCGGCTAAACTGAATACACTTGCTGAGGGCTCCGTGCGAGAATCCGTCCTAATTTATTCAAGAAAGTTGTCAGCTCGCCACGCAATGGATAAACTTAAGCAGTAGGGCAACGGAGCGTCCATGACCAGGCAATTCATCAAGTCGTCCAATAGTATCTGTCTTGTAGGTCCGTCAGGTTGCTGGAAACTCCGAAGTTGAGCCGGCCGATCTAGAGATTACCCCCTCTCTGTAACAATTATTGAACTATCTGCGGGAATTGCGTGATAGAGATGCACCGTTCCTCCAAGCATCCTTCGACCCGGTGCCGTAGTGGCATGCAGAAGAGGGGTGGGCCTTTCTTGGGATTGAGCAGCAGTGGGATTGGTACAGAAACAGGTTACAATAGGCTACGAGTACTCTAATGAGACAAAGGCGCCCCGCAGAACCCTGCTCTGCGCACCCAAGCCGACATATGTGGAGATCGTAATAGTTCGGCAGAAGGAGCGGGGGAGTACCATCCAAAGCAGTTGGATAGCCTCGGAACAAGAAATGCGCTGACAAACTCAGCGCCACCCTGCAGCCCAGAGGGTCCGAGGGCGAGGAACCCGGGGATTCCGCCCTTGACGTTTGTTAGGGCTTGATGAGATTGGAGTTGAACACACCGATTAGATATACATCGTGTTCCAACGTCCATCGCAGCTGTGGGTGCAATAATGAAAGAGTTCTGTCGGACACACCCTGGAAAAAACGTGCTGTAGCATCGAATCTACAGCCTGGATAGTCCCTGCTTACCCCACGGGGCTCCCCGTATTCCCTCCACATGCCGGGGGAAGGCCGGTGGGCTGATCCTGTCAGCAGCCAAGGTCTCCCCACCCGAGCCTTGGAGAGCTTAGCTGCATGACTCCAAGTATTGACAATGGGTTCCTCCGATATAAACCCGAGCACACTGTGTAACCACAATATGTCACTCAAGTGCTTGGACAGTCCCGGCTAAACCGGCAAAGATGGTGGTTGAGGGGAATCACAACCGTAAAGCGCTGAAAGACATTTAAAGGCCGAAGCTTCCCTACAGGTCGGCAGAAGGCAGACAACCTATTCTCTACCGGCTGCACCATGTTCACTTCGTGGGGAAAGACTGCCCTGCTGCTCGGCCTTGCTCTCGGCAGTGGAGCACAGGATGTCATCACCAGTGACACTGCTTTCTACGGGCAGTCGCCCCCAGTTTACCCCTCCCGTACGTCCAGTTCTCTACAGCCTGCCCTGTCCATCCTTTGCTGTACTCTTAATTGTACATCGCCACCGCTGACCTGCCCAAGCCGAGGGGACTGGTCTTGGTGACTGGGCTTCTGCTTACACAAAGGCCAAGGCATTCGTCGCTCAACTCTCAGACGATGAGAAGGTGAACCTTACCGCGGGCGTATCCTCCAACACCGGATGCTCTGGATTCATCCAAGCCATTGACCGCTTGGGATTTCCGGGCATCTGTATGAGCGACGCCGGTAACGGCCTGGTTAGCGTCTCCACATATCTTCGTGCCTTGTAGCCTTTACTGACCATGGCCATAGAGAGGAACTGATTATGTCAATGGATGGTCGTCCGGGATCTCGGTTGGGGCTAGGTATGCATGCCCAATCATCCTCCCGTTCAGCCTGTTTCGCTGACCTTGATAGTTGGAACCGTGAGCTTGCCCTTTCACGCGCCACCTACATGGGCCAGGAGTACCGGAAGAAGGGAGTCAACATGATTCTCGGTCCCGTTGTTGGTCCCCTGGGTAGGGTGGCGCTTGGAGGCCGCAACTGGGAGGGATACTCTACCGACCCCTACCTTAGTGGCATTCTGGTTTCCGAGACCGTCAAGGGCCTACAGTCCCAGAACGTTGCTACATCTGTCAAGGTATGCCAGGTCCAGCATTCAATGTAGAACAGAGCTGATCTGGACTAGCATTACATCGCCAACGAGCAAGAGACAAACCGCAACCCGACCACGGATTCCGATGGAAACGCAGTCCAGTCAGTCTCTTCTAACATCGATGACAAGACAATGCACGAGCTATACCTGTGGCCATTCCAAGACGCGGTTCTTGCTGGTGCTACCAACATGATGTGCTCGTACCAGCGTATCAACAACTCTTACGGATGTCAGAACAGCAAGACCCTCAATGGCTTGTTAAAGACTGAGCTGGGCTTTCAGGGTATGCAACAATGAAACATCAATTCATCAGACAGAGACTAAACGATGTATCAGGCTACGTTGTCACCGACTGGGGTGCTCAGCATGCCGGTATCGCTGGCGCCAATGCTGGACTCGACGTTGTGATGCCTCGGTCGAGCACCTGGAACAGCAACCTGACCGACGCCATTGCCAATGGGACCATGGAGGCTTCTAGATTGGACGATATGGTGACAAGGTACGAAATACCTCTTCATAGCTCTATCCTCTAACATAGCTTCAGACTCATCGCCACATGGTACTACCTCGACCAGGACACCGTCTTCCCACACCCCGGTGTAGGCATGCCCAGCAGCGCAAGTTCCCCCCATGAGGCCGTCATAGCCACGTCCAAAGAGGCAAAGCCTGTCCTCCTTCAGTCCGCCATCGAGAGCCACGTGCTGGTGAAGAACACGGACAATACCCTGCCTCTCAAGTCTCCAAAGCTAATCTCCGTCTTCGGCTACGACGCCTACGCGCCCTTGAAATATGATCTCAGCAACAACTTCAACTTTGGCCTGGACAGAGAGAGATCAGATCTGTACCAGAACGGGACTCTGTATGTTGGTGGTGGGTCGGGCCAGAACTCACCTGCCTACATTGATGCGCCCATCGATGCTATCAAGCGCCGTGCTTACGAGGATGGTTCCTCAGTGCTATGGGACTTCACGTCGGAAGCGCCCACGGTTGACTATACCTCTGACGTGTGCTTGGTCTTCATCAATGCCTATGCCACGGAGGGTTACGACCGCGAAGCGCTGTCTGACACGTACAGTGATGCCATTGTCACCAATGTCGCCAACAACTGCGGCAACACGATAGTTGTTGTTCACAACGCTGGAGTCCGCACTGCCGAGGCGTGGGTAGATCACACCAATGTCACAGGTATTATCTACGCACACCTTCCCGGTCAAGACACCGGACGAGCACTGGTAGAGCTGCTATACGGAGACTCCAACCCCTCGGGACGCCTGCCGTACACCGTTGCTAAAAGGCCGTCTGACTATGGTGCTCTCCTGGAGCCGTCGCAGCCAGAAGGACAATATCAGTACTTCCCTCAGTCCGATTTTTCCGAGGGGGTGTACATCGACTATCGTGCTTTTGACAAGGATGATGATATTGAGCCACAGTACCCATTTGGCTATGGGCTGTCATACACCACGTTTGACTACTCGGACCTCAAGATCTCCAAGACATCAAATGCGTCGTCCGCAGCCTACCCCGCCAGTGCTTCAATTCTCCCCGGTGGAAACCCGCGTCTGTTCGATGAGTTGGTGACCGTAACGGCCAGTGTCAAGAACACCGGCACTGTTGACGGCCAAGAGGTTGCTCAGCTTTATATCGGCATTCCTAACGGTCCGGTCCGACAGCTGCGTGGCTTTGACAAAGTCTCCATCAAGGCCGGTAGCTCTGCCTCTGTTACTTTTAGCTTAACTCGTCGTGACCTGAGCACTTGGGATACTAATGCTCAGGAATGGCTCCTGCAAAGAGGAACTTATAACTTCTACGTTGGTCGGAATAGCCGAGATTTGCCTCTGGAGGGCACTTTGGTATACTGATCCATAGTTACGAGAGGATAACGGGGTTGATGAAGTTGGGGGGTTTTGAATCTGCAAGAAAACGTTATGTTATAAACTATCAATCGTCGTCGTGGTAATTAGCAGTCCACAGCCACCTTAAATATGCATGTTACCTCATCTGGCCTTTGCGTATCATTAGGCAGGAAGCGTGCTATTCTATGTCATGCCCTAGAATACGTAGAGCAAGTGCTACAACGACAACGGTATTCACGAAGCAGGCCACTATATGATTTGATGCTCAAGTGCAGGGACAGTGCTCAGCCAGTCTTCAGCATCCGCTGATGCCAGGCTTGATAGTTTGCGGTTGGTTTGAGCCACCACTTTCTCATGCATGCCACATCTCGATCTTACAGTACACCTATCACTCCTTCTCAATCATTGGTGGAAGCAATGGCCGACCACTGACATCCTTCTGCACGACATATAGCCCATCAAGGTGCCCAATCTATGCACCGTCGAGTTGAAGTCACCCGTCTCATTCGTCGAATGCTCGTCGTAGCGAATCCTTGTCATTCGCCGATCCTCGTGTCATACACAGCTCCAAAATATCTGGCAGAGAATCTGTATACTCCCGCCGATACGCCAGCGAGCGTATGATCTTCCGTTCGCGGTAGGCCTGGCCATACGAATCGAATCCCCAGTCTTTGGACTTCTGCATGAACCGAATCTCTCTTGTCTTGATTGTCGTCAGTTCCACGACAGCTTCAAAACTTTCCAGTATACTAGCATCTAGTTCGAGCTCTCGTAGCCCGGTGCACTCTCGTAATTGTAGCCAGCACTCTGGCAGTTCGTCGTCTTGCAAGGGATTATTCTTAGGTGCAAGCAGCGAGACGAATCTGATTGCTGCACGCTTCTGAGCACCAACTGCTTCCATGAATTCGGCCAACAAGCGTCCGCTCTCAAAGGCAAATGTATTTTCTGTCCAGAAAACCGGCCATGCCTCCTGATAAATTTGCCGGCTGGTTAAGAGGATTGCCAGATTCTGCCTCCGTGCGCAGAGGCACTCCAACCCTTTCATAGACGGGCACTTCTCGAGGCCAAGTCTATACTGCAACTCCGGATAGCATATGTCGCAGAGATACGGGTTTCTTTTCGGACGGCCCCATTGACTACTCGCCGGCGTGTCGGATGTAAGGTCTGGGTCTTGCGATCGCCAATTGTGGATGTTACACTCTGCGCATCGAAACGTTTTGGAGGTGGCCAGCTGGGCAATAGGGCCTGGTCGGAATAGTCCAATTATTCCTACATGACAGCCAAACTGGTGATGGAGGTCAAACTTGCACGGTCGGACAAGGAGAATGCGGTAGATCTGGAGACGAAGCTCGACCGGCAGACGGAAGAAGCGATTGGGCAATATGGAATCTGATTTGGGCGGATAATGACAAACAGGTAGAACCAGTAAAGACTGAGTGAAAAGCTGTGGTCTGGTTGTTTTGTTGTTCTCCTGTTCTGATTCCTCCATTGGCTTGCATGGACGCTGGGGGTTAGGGCGTTGGTGTGCATTTCGTGGGCCATGTTTATCTGTTCTGACCTCCAATGTGGCGATGACATTTGATACTTGATGTCTCGCTGTGAGTCATACAAATCACTGATGATTGGCAGTTGGCAATGCGCCACCGTCCTGTGCGGGCTAGTCTCAGCTTACACAGCCCTTACTAAAACACCCTATCCAGCCCACTGGAGTGGTTAAGGCGTGGCATTCTCAATTATCGGAGGCCAGGGTCCATCACCGAGGCAACCATTTGTATCCTTTCGCTGTGTGACCCGTCCAGCTCCTCCCGGAACCCCTTGCACCCGCTCCTTGACCAAGGATGACCACCTCATTGTGCCTGGGCCAAGCTGTGCGTGGCCAAAAGGGTGTGTATACTATTGTTAGGCACCTGCAGGACACGGTCTACCTTGCTAGGTAAGAACCATCTACTGTCTTTTGATACTATACACGATCTAACATCTCGACGTAGAAATGCAAAGGACGAGACCGTCATTCTCAAAAGCGTCAACCACTTTCGTCTGCAAAATGAGCGTGACGTCCTCAGACGTTTCCAGTCTCGCACTCCGTTTATACGCCCTATAATTGATGAGATAGTCGAACCCTCTCACCCTCCGACGCTTGTCTTGAAACACTTGGACGATCACCTTTTGCATGCGTCCATTGCGCAGCGCCTTACCCGGCAGGAGGTCAAGTACGTGGCAAAGGGTGTATTAGAAGCCCTAAAGGTCTTGCATCAAGCCAACTACGTTCACACTGGTGAGTACAGTTGTTTCTGCGGTCAATGCCGTGTTTGATATTTGGCTGTAGATATAAAACCGGACAATGTGCTTGTCAATTATGGGGCCGATGATGTGCGCTTTGCCGATGTCCAACTGGCAGACTGTGGAAGCACTGTCCCTGCGGATTCAGGTCATGCCAGAGATGGTGACTTGATCGGTGCCCCTATCTGGAGGAGTCCAGAAGCCCAGCTACGGATTGGCTGGGGTCCCCCAACGGATATTTGGTCTTTCGGCGCCATGGTATGTTGAAGCCCCATGTACTGCCTGATTTTACTAACTCTGGTCAAGCTCATAACCTTACTCTATGGAGGCGATTTCTCCCTTTTCAGGCCCGACGTCCCCGTCGATCACGAGGAGTACGAATTCAGAATCCTCCAGAGGCAATGCGAGTTCTTTGGGCCCTTCCCTTTGACATATCGCGAGATTTGCCCCGAGGAGACCCTAGGTTTGCTGGTGTATATCATGCAGAGTATCCCACCCGAGAAAAAGAAACCGTTCTCACGTATCTCAGTGGCGGAACTATGCAGGGAGGACCAAGACTTCATACTAAGGATCATGAAGCTCGATCCAAGGGACAGGCCGTGTGCCATGGAGCTCTTAGAAGATACATGGCTCACCAATTGTGGTGCTACTGATTCAGACGGTAAAATTATATAGTTTGTATACAACGTTCAGCGAGGTTTCTCGGTCAAGAGGATAGATGGATACCAGCCACTGCCGCTGATACAGGGAGATTACCATGGTAGACCGCCACGTCAGCACACCAGTCGCTGGAGAGGGTCAGTCCATGCATGACGGCATCCTTGCTAGTGCTTACCTGGCGGCAAATGTCTCTTTCTAATTTGCGTTGTCCCAAACCTCCAAGCCTATGATTTTCAGCCCGAAAGCTAAGAAAGTAGCATTGTCCCTTTGGCATCATGTCCTCGAACGACGGGGGTCTTACGACAGAAGAAAAGGAGCTCATGACTCAAGCACCTACTATGCTAGTTACGATTACTACAGGTCAACGAGTTCGTCGATGCTGTAATAAGAGGTCAGCGTGCCCTCGCTTGCCTGGTGCAGTTTATTGTCAACGAAAGCCTGCATATTGAGCTGCTCGTTTGGACTGAGTAGTTGAATACGATCCTCGAGAGTTGCAAATGGGCCGTAGAATCTTGTATCGATAAATTCCCAGTAGATCTCGTCAAACATAGAGCTGTGCCGTGCAGCCAGACAAACCCAAAACAAGCCAGTTTCCATGGATTTTTCCATTGCGGACGAGAGTCGTTTAGACTCTGGAAGCGAGCCATCTCGTATCTTCTTGGCTTCACAGTCTTTCAAGACGTCGAGAAACGTGCGCAGCCGGGGCATAAAGCGTATCAGAAACTGATTGAGGTCGGGGTCCCAGTCCTCTGGGCTTTCTAGCAAAAGCCACCAAGGAGCGGCCAGTGTGAATTCGACTGGGGCAGCGTAGCAGAACTCCCAGTCAATTACTCCGGTAACGGCCAGTCGTGTGGCATCAACCAGGACATTGTCCGGTCGGAAATCGTCGCAATAGAGCCGAAATGGACCATTGCCCCATTCGCGAGGTATCTCACGAGACAGTTTGCGGAAAAGACACCGGGCGATGTATTTTTTGCGGCAATCAGCCCCATCCACAACTGCATTATTGCGTTGCAACTCGAGATGGTGAAAGTGGTGACGGGCAAGCTCCTCGAAATAGTCCGCTGCGTTGTTGAAGCGTCCAGACTCAAAAACCTCGAGGGGGATATTGGAGAATTGCGCCAGTCGGTTCATGTTGAAGGTTAGCGGTCGCTTCTGCACAGTCCACCCGCCGGTCTCGTCGTGCCTTATGGCGCCAATGGAGGGAAACTCGGGCTTAGACAGCTCTAGCAGGACCCCAGCCATGGCGGAGTATGCTCTCCTCAAGACCGACGTTGAGATGGTGGAACTCAGAGTGACCGTGTGATGAGAGGCATCTCGAAGGAACTTGCCCAGCGGTTCTCCCTGCACAAAGTCCATCACAATGTACGGGCCAACTGCGCATCTCCCCGATCCGAGGACATGCGGGACGGGGATTGCGGTGTGTTGGGCAAGGTATTGCATAATAGCAACCTCATCTCCGACCTTTTCATTCCGGGCAGTGACTCGACCAAGGCCGACAAAGCGAACGACAACGCGACGGCCGCTCTCCAAGGTGACACGGTAACAGACATTGAAGGCGCCATTGGGGAGTCGAGAGGCCGTGACCGGGGTGCTGCCAGGGCAATGCCGGGAAGCAAGCTTGCCCGCCAACTCCTCGGGGCTGTTTCCAAGCAAGTTTTGGATCCAGACCTGGAAGACGCGGTCCGACTGCTGCTGAGCAAGACTGTCAAAGTCCATTTTGTAGGCGGGCGGCGACTGCAACTTGGCAACGACAGCATTCAGGGGGAAGCAGCCTCACCGACGGTCATGTGATGCTGACCAATCACGGTCTTCTGATGCTCACCAGTCGGCTTACCTAATACGGTACCGTCCGCAATGAGACAAGCGTCTCCTTTGTGGGCGCGGCGGACAAGTTCGGGGTTATGCAGTATCTGGATTGGCATATGCTTCTTCTAGACTTTGCTACAGGACGACGGCGAGGGGTCCAGCACGGCTCTCAACAAGCGCTCCTCTTCCCAGGACGACCACTCCGCCCCAAGGTTTTAACCCTAAAAACCCTAATCTTCCTCGACCTTCCCAGGTGTCAACCGGACTTTGTACTTATGCCTCCAGCAGTCTGTAATCGAAGGAGATGTCTCATTGGGCGAATCAAAGACGGGAGGGAGGGTTACGCAGTGGCTTGCTTATGAGTCACACTAAGTTGGCGTCTCCAAGTCTGACACCATAAGATCTCCCCATCCGCAGCTCTTTAATGAGGCTATAATTTCAAGTTCCATCGCCATATACACAAACTCAATCAGCCGTCTTGATCCCAACATGTCCACACAACCCGACGCCGCCTCTATCGCCCGTCTCTCCCTACATGACCCCTCACACTTCAACATCCAGGACTCCCAAACACTTCACCGGCTGGGACTCCTGCAGCACTGGAACATTCCCACTGGCTCTAAAATCCTGGAACTAGGATGCGGACAGGGAGACTGCACGACTGTCCTGGCCTCTGCTGTGGGCGAGCAGGGGAGCGTAGTGGCGGTCGATCCGGCGGATTTGGACTATGGTGAGTCCTTTCGACTTCCTTACCCTGCTGCTTCTCAAGCAGCTGACCCATAGCTCCTGCAGGCGCCCCGTATACTCTCGGCGAAGCACAGAGTCACATATCGCAGGGCCCGCTGGGGAGGCGGATTACTTGGGTGCAACAATCCCCTGTTGAATACCTGTCCTCTCTGCCCTCTCTCTCGCCGACCGCCAGGGAAAGTAAGTCTTTCGACGCAACAGTGCTCGCCCACTCCTTGTGGTATTTCGCCTCCCCCTCGATCATCCTTGCCACCTTCCGTGCCCTCAAGCAGCACAGCAAACGTCTCCTCCTTGCTGAGTGGTCGTTAGTAGCCACACACCCCGCTGCTCAGCCTCACGTATTAGCTGCGCTCGCCCAGGCAGCGCTGGAGTGCCGTAAGCCAAACAGCGAGTCGAACGTCCGCACCGTGCTGGGGCCAAAGCGGCTTGCTGAGCTGGCACTGGCTGCCGGGTGGCAGCTGGAGAATGAGAGCCGCGTGCAAGGTGGGGAGGGGTTGTTGGACGGACAATGGGAGGTCTCTGCTTGTCTTTCTTCCTTGTTTGAAAAGGAGGTAAAGGAGCAAGTGAGTGATGAGAGGGAACAGGCGGTGGTTCTTGCGTTACGGGATGCGTGTGAAGCGAGCTTGGAGGGTATACCGGGGGGTCGGAAAGGAGTCAGGGCCATGGATGTTTGGGTTGCGAATTTCGTCTGATTGGGCGATTTGAGCTTGTCCTAGCACTTTCCTAGGCCCGATCTCTAGCACCCCTGCTTTTTGTGCACCAATTTGGCACAGACGCTTTGCTGTTTTACCGTGGAGGACTACCGGGTTGTCGCTCAGGTTTAGCACCATACTTACCCACATGCGCCGTGTCCAATATGTACTGTCGGCGCATATAATGCGGCGGGGGACTTCCGCTTCATTTTTCACCATTTTTTGCATTGGATATTTACCATTACCCGTTCAAAAAAGACACATACAACCACAGGGTGTGGAGAACAGGGCTTCCCGTCCGCTTAGCCGTACTTAAACCATAAGAATAAACGTGGTTAATTTTTAAAAAAGCCCTCTTAGCAATATATAAATGCAGGCTATTACTAGGGTAAGTATGGGTAATTAGGGTAAAGGATAAGCTACTTACCTTTTATTAATTAAGCTACTTACCCCTTACCACCAGCTGCTTACCTAGGGGTAAGCTAGTAATATCTTTTTTTTATTTTTATTATTTTTTTTTTTTAGTAACTTTTTATTTATTTTAATATTCTTACTTTTTTATATGCGGTATAATATGGCCAAGTCTAGAAGTAAGCTAAATACTAAATGTATTTAATAACTTATAATAATAAATAGGTTTATAAAAAAGTATTAAAAAGCATAGCTTACTACTAAAAATACTATTTATAAAAAGCGTCTTGCCCCTGCAATTAAGATAAAATATAATATTATATATTAAAACTAAAAAAAGTATATTATACATTCCTTATAATTTATTATAATTTTTATATTTTAGCTAGGTATATAACTTTTATTAATAAACCTAAAAATACATACTTTTAACCAGGCAACCTAGATATCCTAATTTAAACCCTTAAAATATTTACTAAAGCCTTTATTACTATTTATAAAAAGGGGGAGGTATATTTACTGCCAAGTACTATAATAAACATCCTAATATATTTTATAAGCCTTTAAAAAAAAAATAATGTTAAAAGATCCCTAGGTTAAATAAAAATAATATTACTAATATATATTAAAGGTATATGGTTTGCAGAAAATTACATTACTAATATATACTAGTATATTATTAATATATTAATTAACTTATACGGGCTTTTTATTAAACACTAAGAAAAGTTTACTATAACACACATAAATATTAGCATTTTTATTTAATATTTATATAAATATAATATATATAACTATGTTTACAAACACACTAAAGCTTAAATTGCATTTAGCCTTGTATTATATATATTATTAATTATAAAAATAAGTATTATTATAAAGTCTAGCTTATACTAAGGGTTAAATAAGTTTATATATTATAAGGTATATTAAATAATATTACTACCATACTTTATTATAAGGTATACTAATTTTTATAAGAACCTTTAGTTATATATATAATTAAATAAGAAGTTAGGTAAACCTATATACTAGGTAATAATATTCCTAAAGCTTTTAAAAGGTAAGTACTTAAATATATTAATTAAGTATAAGCCTAATGCTACTATATTTTTACCCCTTTTAATAGCTTTTAGGCTAAATAACTACGTAAGTAAAAAAAGCTATTTAAAAATAAACTTTATTTTTTAGCTTATAGTATTTAGCCTTGTTAATAATACCTTTAGGGGCATTAAGTTAATTAACAAACTACTTTTAATTTAACCACCTATTAGTTGCATGTTTTTAACACTTAAGTAAAAAAGCCATGCCCAAAACTTATTAATTTTTTACTAAGTAACTTTAAGCGGTTCTTATTTATTTAACGCCTTAACCTTTTTATTATTATATTATAATAACTAGTCCTTTTTAACACAAGCTAGCTTTAAGAATACTTTAAGGGTTTATAAAATAAGGGGTGGGGTTACTATAATAATTAATTATAAGTTAATATTTAAAAAATAATATAGTGGTATATTAAACTAGTATAGCCTATACTTTAGTAGTAACTTACTTTTATATATTAAACTATATAAATAATTATATAATCCATAGCTACTAGCCTAAGGTTAAGTAAGTAAATATAAAGGCCTGCTTTTAAAATAAAAAAATTAACTTTAGGTTATATAATATCTAAACAAGCATAGCTTACTATTATAATAGTAAGGTATTAATAAAATTTAATATTATTATTAAGCAAGAACTATATAATAATCCAAACCTATTACGCGCTAAGTAAGAGATTAATAAGATAAATAAAGTAATTACTAGTAACCTATATAAATACCCTAACCTTACTATAAAATAAGCCAAGCTTTATAATTTTATTTTTAAAATATATTATGCCCTAATAAAAAAGCACAGGGCCAAGTAATAAAAAAACTTTTTTAAAAATTATATTACTAGAAAGCTAAATAAATAAAATACTATAAATATTTTTAACATATACCGTAAATACATGCCTAAATAAAATTATTTAAGTTAAAACTTGTTTTAAAAAGTATTTATATAAAGCAGTGTTAAAAGGCAGTACCTAAATAACATGCTTAAGATTATTACCTTATAAAAATAGGTAGCATACTACCCAGGCAAATCCCTAGTTAATAAAAAATACCTAATATATTTTAAGGATATAAATAGGTTAGCTATAAAATATTTAATATTATATTTACCTATTAATACCTTTATAGCTATAACTTATAAACTTGCTTAAGCCATATCTTATATTATAAAAAAAGCTTTTTTAATATAGCACTATACTAGTAATAATACTTTAATAAAAAAAAAGCATATTAAAAGGTTTGCCGTGCTTATTTAAAGTAGTGCTACTTATATGCTAAATAATTTTATATACTAAAAAAATAGGACTAGCACTGTTTTTTATATTTTTAAAGGCTAAAAACATAATATAATTTTTTATTATTTTATTTTACCCTAGTAAATCCTGGTTTCTGCCCATTTTACTTAGGTAATAATATAATAAAACCTAATAAATAGTTTAACTAGTGGTAAATAAAAATAATATTAATTAATTATATTAAAAGTTACTTAATAAAGTTGCCTAAAAATAAATAAATTAAGTATTCTTACCCATGCTATAAGGGAAGATAGTATAATAGCTACCTTAACTTAAAATATTACTTTTTTAATATTTATTTAATTAAGGAACCTCGCCGCAACTATATATTAGTTAAATATAAGTAAATATTAAAAAATAGCAGCAAGGGTCTAAAAAAGCAAAAATTAATAAAAAAAAATTAAAAATATATATATTTTATTTATACTTATTTTAATTTTACTTAAAATATTACTAGCGCATTGTTTTATAGTAAAAATATATAAATATAAGATTATTTATAATTAATATACACCACTATAAAATAATATATAATAAAAAAATATTTTATAAAACTAATATAAATAGTGGCTTTATTTACTCTATATTTGCCTAACAAGGGAACAAAAGTTTTCTTAACCTTATTATATATTTACTACTGGAATAAAACCAGAGTAACCACATGGCGTGTTACCTGCTAGGTTAGGGATATCTAGAATTTATTATTCCTATAATTTAGTAACTTTAGAAATAAAATATATGCTAAGATTAAGCAACTATAAAAAGGTAAGTATTTTAAAAACCTAAAGGGCGGAACATAACATAATATAAAAAAATTAATAAAAATATAAATATAATAAATAATAATATATTAAAATCCTTCCTATGCTACCTAGGCACCCTCCTGGGCTTTTTATGCTTTAGGCTTTACTATTACTAGGTAAGGCTAAAATAAGGCTAAATTATTAGTTAGAAGGTTGCTAAAATTACTAAATAGGGATTATTATTAAGGACCACCAGGCCCAGAGCGGCTATTACTAAAGATTACTAGTTAGGATTACCAGCCCAGAGCGGCCACTATTAAAAATTACTAGTTAAGACTACCAGCCCGGAACAACCACCACTAAAAATTATTATTAAGGATTATTATTAGGGGCCACTAAGCCCGGAGCGGCTATTACTAAAAATTATTAGTTAGGATTACTAGCCCGGAGCGGCTATTATTAAAAATTACTAGTTAAAACCACCAGCCCGGAATAACCACTACTAAGAATTATTATTAAGAATTACTATTAGGGGCCACCAAGCCCGGAGCGGCCACCGCTAAAAATAATAATTTAGGACTATTAGCCTGGAGTAGCCACTATTAGGGATTACTTATTAGGATTACTAGCCTAGGGTGGCTACTACTAGGGACTACTACTAGGCATGGCTAGTAAGCACTACTAGCCTAGGATAACCATTACTAGGGATTATTATTAAGGGCTACTAAGCCTAGAGCGGCCACTACTAAAAATTACTAGTTAGGACCACTAGCCTGGAATAACCATTACTAGGGATTATTATTAGGGATTACTACTAGGGGCCACCAAGCCCGGGGCGGCCATTACTAGGGACTACTATTAAGGACTATTAATTTAGGGAAACTACTATGCTAATATATCCCTAGGTTTAGGAAAAAAGGTATTAGCTTTTTAGGCTTGGGCTTTATATTAGGCCTTACAGGGGGTAACTTTACTAATTAAAAATAATTTTTTAATAATTTTAGGTTACTAAACAAGGCCCTAAGGCTTAGCACGCCCCCTTATAATACTAGTAGTAAAAAATAGCATGCTAAGGGTAGCTATAAAAAAATAGCTTAATTTAATAGGGGTATTATAGTATAGTAGGTAATTATTTAACTTAACATGGCTAGTATAATAAAAATATGCCCGGGGGCTTAACTTACTAGTTAGGTTTTAGGCTATAGCGCTTTATTTAATAAATATAATACCTATTATAATTAAATTTTAAAAAAATTATTTTATAAATAGCTAAAGCTTTTAAAGGTTTATAAAATATTTTTATATTTTTACTATTATACTTTAGGTGCTAGTTCACGGTAAAGTAAATAAAGTAGGGTGGAATACTACTAAGTAGCAGTGCTAGAAAACCTTAAGCTTCCCGGGGGCGCTGTTAGTGCTGGTATAGTAAATTACCTAAGGCATGCGCTATA